CAAAGAAATTATTGACATTTTTATTTGTGTCTATTTTCAGAGAGATGTAATTTGCGCATTTATATTCTATGAAAATGTAACGCTATGAATGTTCGGTGGCAACATCGCAAGTTTAAAACGAGCGCTCGCGAAAGATTCGCATACTGAAGTCAGAAAATGTCCACTACGATGGGTTCCCCGGTAACTGTATAGACTAACACATATCTCTTGTAGTGTACGCGTTGCAAACGATAGACACTACTGTGTAAGATAGAGAGAGAGAGAGAGAGAGAGAGAGAGGAAGAGATCGAGACGAGAAGAGGGAAGAAGACACGTGACGATTTCTGTGCAAAGGACGCGCACGTCGAGCCGACAGCGGACGTTGTCATGCGGTGCATATATGCACAATGTTTGCGCATCCTCGACGATACGATTATTGTCCTGGGCATACCAGCGCGGAGCCGCGTTTGCCGTCCTGAGACATGCACATACGTGACTAACGTGTTTGGTGACCGCGCATACCACGAAAACTGGAAGCCCCTCTCTCTCTCTCTCTCTCTCTTTGTCAACGTTATCTCGCTCTTGTCCTCTCCTGGGTGTAACGAAGAGGTCTCGGAGTTGGCCCAGAGACCTGAGCCAGTATGGTGGTCACCGGTCAGAATGGAGAGTCGGCCTCAAGGGTGACGCGGCGGATTCGAAACAAGGGGGTTGTTGTACGACCGGACTCGTCCCGCATACGTAACACCGCCTTTCCCTTACTCGCGCGCGCCGAGATTTATGGCACGCGCGGCTACACCAACCACGAAGAAGATAAGATTTGGCCGCGATCGAGGGTAACGAGCACTTGCGAGAAGTCTGCTCGTCCTGACAAAGAGTCGTCGGAAGGCGGATCTACGAGCGATCTATTGTGGCCGAGCACGATGCAATTAGAGTGCAATTGGTGCGACCAAGATGTACGTACGATTGAATGCGCGCAATGCTGAGAGCATGTAAATATTTAAGAAGATTCTATTATACAACTTACTTATATTTCACAAACTGTTAATGTAACTGCTTTAAAAAAATGACGAATTTATCAACACATTTTATCGAATCTGTTCGTTAAATCTTTTTTTCCAAGAAAAAAAATTTGTCAGGATATCAACACGTTCTCGAAACAGAGATTTTCTTAATTGTTTAATTCAATTATTTAATAACAAGATGAGATTCAAAGGCGCGTCCTTGAAAAGCCCTCTTATCAAGCATTGCTGAAAATGTCCTCCGAAAGGACTGAAAATGCGCAATCGTGACAGTTACGAGGCGGCGAGGCATATCATCTCGGTAAACTGGTCTAATCCAGGAAGCGGGTCTCAGGGTGCCGTTGCGGCTTCTTCATCTTCGTGTGGCCAACTTTTGCGAGAACATTCTCTCGACGGCCTTCAGACCAGTCATTTAGTTATATTAAGGAAAAGTTGTGTGCCGCGATCTCCGCTGAAAGTAAATGCGACGAGTTGGACGGGGAGAGTACGGGAGAAAAGAAACTTCCGAGCCTAGGTGAGCCGACCGACGATTAAGAGGAGTAGAAAACTTTTCGCAGACGCTCATGTGTCCTGCGCGAGATAACAAATGTCATCTCTTGGCTATACGCGCTTTCCGCGTTGACAGAATTATGACCGCAAACATGGCGGCGGCGTCGTAGACATTTGCGCGCGATTATTGCGCGATTATATAAAAATACACGGTAATAGTAAATTTTATTGTTTTGACAGAGTTTTACTCTCTCATCACACCAGATGCGTGAGATATACATATATTTTATCTGTGTGATAATTTGTTTTTGAAATTAAATTTCTTTCTTAATGGCAAGAACGATCCTCTTCCTATATAAAAAATCCATATGTACCGCGAAGTGCGCGTTTTGATATCGAATGTATCGCATCTATTGTTGTCTTTTTTCCGCGTTTCCGATTAGTTGGTTGATTGAGTCGAGTCGAGTCGAATTGAATCGGTAAAATCGAGAGAATAAATAATGACAGAAAAGCGATTTTGAGTTCGTCGTATACGTGGAGAAAATTAAAAACGTGACTAAAGTAAAGTCACTTGACAGGAAAGAATAGAAAAACAACACGTGACTATTTAAAGTAACGTGACTGTAATTTATATTGTATATAACATTAAATAATATATATTATATACATATAAATATTATACATATAATTTATTATATATTTATTATATATATTATACAATATAAAGTATAATATTATATTTTATATTGTATATTATATATATTATGTACATACTACCGTAAGATCACTGACCTCGGCCGCGCGACCTTGGCGGAGTCATTGACCGCAGCGAGATCACTGACTTTAGTCACGTGATTACGGTATATATATAGATGTGTGTGTGTGTGTATTACATAAAGATATAGAATATTATATATAATATATATAATATTCTCTGTTTTACTCTTGTCCCTGTCACGTGACTTTAGTCACATGGTGTTTTTCTACTCCTTCCTGTCTCGTGACTTTAGTCACATATTGTTTTTCCATTCTCCCTTTTTTCTTTTATTTTTTGAGTTTGATTTTCATGCGTTATTTCTGACATCTCTCATATGTACATCATGTGTATTATATTGTTTGTAGAACGTATATATTAGCTGTCATTGCGGTGACAGGTTAAATTCACTCACACTACACGTTAAAATAAAAGCAATAATAGCGTGCGCGTAGCGCCCGCCTGTATTGTGCTAGTCTTGTAAAAAAAGTAATTTAAAGATCTCTATATTCACGGTACTTTGCACATTATCCTGGTGCGAGAAGCACAAAAAATCTCCTAAGAAAGGAAGTGTTGCCGCGCTTTCACGTGCTATTAGCTACGATTATTTTTGTATTTAGTAAACTTAAACATTGAATTTAAAAAAAAAACGAGAAATATCTCGAATGCGACGGAATTGTAAAAAATTTAAAGTTTTCAGATGTTTTTTAAAAATCAATCAATTTATGAATATTATTCTTATTATTAATAAGAAACTTTTTGCAAACTCTAAAATCGTATAAAAAATACAGCAATTATATATAATAGATTTAAAAAGTTAAATTAGAAGGATTGTCGGCAATCTGTGCTGTAGAATTTAATTCATAATATAATTAATACACTCTGTCTCTTTCTTTTGCTTTCTCTCTCTTTTCATAATGCTAAATTTAAATTTTAAGTCGATTTCCGAACTTTTAAATCCATTTCATTAAATCCATTTCTTTCTTGTAAAAACAGAATTCATTTTAATTTTATTGGAATAACCTGGATTAAAAAAAAATTAAGTTTTTTTATAGAAACAGTTAAATATGTTAAAATTCTTTCTGATTTATATATATTTGGTTTTATGCAAACTGTGTTTGTACTATTTTTATAATATAAGTGCAAGAATTGTTTATCTAATCTACCAAAGAAAATAAAACATAATGCTGATTCTTTAGAAAAAATTTACATGTTTAAAAAAAAGATAATTTTTTTTCTTTTGATTGTCTTGACTCTCTCAAGTTAGCCAATTATTTCAAAATTTTAATATTTTAAATTTTTACATTAGGATTTTAATTTTTTATTCAAACTAAAAGCAAGAGCAAGTCAAACCGTACAGAATAAGACAAAGATACAATCGTTGAAGCCATGGACGACAATTACCACAAGGGTGATTCGGCGCTATCGAAAATTAACTGCGCTGACTCGGACTAGTGTGATCCCTTGGCAATAGTACATTATTGTACTAGGCTCTAGCACACACATGGTTAGTGGACATACGTTAGTCTAGAGCTCTGCATCGTAGATCTTCATTATAATAGCAACTCTGAATTTAGTCGAGTGAAGCAATAAAAAGGGAGGAAGAGAGATCAAATTAAAATTTTTTGTCAAAACTCTCTCTATTGAGATTAAATATATAATTCGCTCTGGGAATAAAAATATGTCGCGTATTTTTATAATACGCAAGTCTCTTCGTAAAGTGACAGAGATATTTCGAACGCGCAATGACGCGCGCGGAGTATGTGCGCGTCGAAATTGTATTATAAAAATTCACCCCGCTATTCGTTCCGCCGTAAAATATTCGCCGCTCTGTTTTTAACATCATTGCATATTACGTGAAACACGCTTTGATTTCTAATATTTTAAAAATGTATCAGTATTCGCGCGTATGTGTTTGCGTGTGGTTCTGCTACACGAGATATTTCGCGAAATTAATAGAATATTTGTTGCCCAGTTTTTTATGTTAAAAAATTGGAACTGTGTATATATAACTCGTCGTGGAAATATGCGGCGGTTGTTACCGGGCATCAGTATACTCGACCACGCGTTTTGCATATTTCAGGTAGAATGTCAATTTCGTGAATCAATAGCGAGCATTGCCGCGCCGCGCACCAAGATATTCCAGGTAACAAAAGCAATTTGGACTATTCCCCGTGGCAAATGAGGCGCCTCTGATTAACACACATTGGCTCAATTACACGGGTTAGCCGAGGGAACACGAAATTGCCTGCTATTAACGGTGGCGCGAGGGTGGATAGACATACGAGATATATCAGCTGGATAACACGACGATACGTTGAAAGCCATAGAACGTAATGGGATACTGTGGAACAAAATGTTTCGCTATTTTCCTCCTTTGCGCTAATTTAGGCCGTTCGGTGCGTTTGCGCGTGCAAACCATTCGCGAAAGCGCTAAATTAACGACGAAATGGGCCCGGCGCAAAGTGATTTAAGTTACGACCGTTGTGTCGCGATTCAAAAACAAAAAAGAAAAAAAAATACTCTTTTTATAAAATTAGAGTTGCACATTAGTAATTATTACACATATATCATTATGGTGTATCAATATATTATTATTATATACCACGTTTTTAAAACATCAAAAATAATACGGAATATATTACGCTTTACTGTAATTTTATATTGTATTGATTGCACTTTACAAAGAGAATTGCGATTCAAAACGCAATTAATTGCAAATTTCAGAAATTACAAATTTGTTAAAGTTGCTGACTCACCGACTGTAGAAGTCGCCAGCATTTTCTGCCGCTCACTTTGTGTATGTGTAAATGTGGCGATCCCGTGATCCACAATAATGTAAGATTGACCGCAAAACCTGGAAAAGATCGACAATGTATTATACTAAATATTTCTCGTGCATAAATTTATTACCTAATATGGTCAAACTAATATTTATTTTAAGTATTAAAATCATTGCTGAACAGTGCTTTCATTACGCAACATATTATTTGCATTCATATATTACGCAACATAAGTATTATTTTGCAATAAATGTCTGTAAAGGTTATTTCATTTATTTTCACATAATTTTAACACTTTGGGTAAAATAAAAGAAAGCGAACACATAAAATAGCTAAGATGGTTGTCATCGCTTTAGCACGTAAAATTCAAAGTGCAAATCTAATATGTCTACAATTATATACATACAAAAACACATCACTTGATTACTTACTGAAAAAGCTGCAACATCCCTCGTCGATGCACTCCCGTGTAATTAATTTGAGCACAAATACAAATGCAACGAACGCGTTAAATTTTACCAAGTACCGCGCACCTCTCTTATACCGCAAACCGCGGTAATATTCACTCTGAATTTGAATTTGTGCATTGCAATTGGCTCGCTGCAACACAGAGGACGCCACTTTCTACATCCACACATCGGTAATGCAGATTTATTGCTAAAAGGTTATCGACTTCTAATCAGTAAATATACGTATTCGTGTATTCCAGGGAAAACTTGGTTCACCTCTTTATATGGTTAATTTATAGTGTTTTTGCTTGGTTTCTGATATTTTTAATCTTCGATTGCCAGAGCGGAAAAATTAATTTCACAACAGATAATAAAGTTTTTATACGGAAATTATTAACCACCGTAATAATTTCAAACTGTGTTTTCTCGAATGTTTTGCTTTCTTTATTTGTTTATTATTATTTATTATCACATAATAAAGCAACACCACGTAAAATCCAATAATCCGGATTTTTATTGGTTTGTAACCAAAGTGATGTTATCAGTAAGTTGTAAGTCCGTTGAGGTTTTTTATATACGGGACACTGCAAAAGATTTGTATAATAATAATAATTATTATTATTAGTATTTCAAAATAGATATTTGTTCATACTCACTTGATATAATTGCAAACTCTTGTCTGGCACGTTATTATGTATAACAAAAATATGTATTACCGGCATTAACACGTAAAGAACTTTGTGAACCGATTCACACAAACGATTGTTTCTCTTGTCCCAGCCAGCACCCTCCAGAAAGAGTCCGTAAACATAAACACCTTCCTATTTCGCAAATATGATGTAATTAATTTTTTTAATAACTTAACAGTAGCATTGTGTGTATGTTACAGAAATATTGTATACAGGAGGTGGTTTTTTTATCTCTTCTGTCATGGCTCGTAAGACTTCATTATGAAATATGACGTTATCTAAAGCCCATTTATGTGCTCGCGTCACTTCCTGCTTCATTGCCGTCAAAAATCCTGTAAATTCATCATCAATCAAGTTTCGTACACGAAGAGTTGTATCAAAATTCTATGTGTTTAATTTACTACAAGATATTAACTTACCTTGAGGATTAAAGAAACCAGTCATCCAAAACTTTGCTGGTCTCCCTATGTATAACCAGGTCAAAAATTGCTGATTTCTTTCTAATAGTTCTGTAAACCAGAATCCCAAAGTGGCGGATTCCCATGATCGAGCTTTCCAAGCTTTCGGTATTCTGGCGTCGTATATGTTATCAAAAGTATCTCGCAATTCCTTAAACATACGTTTATATAAATATATTTGTTTGGTTTACATATATAAAAACAATTTTTTTTGTTTTAAAAAGTATCAATTAGGAAAAAAACAATAATACCTCGCTCATTATAATCACGCCTTCTATAGCCAGTAGAAGATTCTGAAGCATGACGCGTACCAATTTTATAACTACTTGTATTCTGTCGATCTCTTGCTTCAAGAAAATATTCATGGGAGCGGTATGACCCATTGCGCGTAATCTGCAATCAAAGAAACGTTTTATCATCGCGTTATTAAAATGTAAAAACTAGACAAAAATAATTGTTTCATAGTTAAAATATGAAACAATTATACAAGAGGAATTAGTAATTATTCATGCAAGATAATGTAAGACGCGAACCTGTTTTTAATTTCGAACATATCGTATAATGGCGGAATCTTTTCTAACATTTCCTTTGCCTGTCGCGTAACAACCACTTCTCGAGACTCTGCGCCAACAATCCCCGCTTCCTTTGGTTGCACAGATACGATCGTGTCCAGCACGGTCTGTGTAGTGTTGCTCTGGTATCTACAATGCGCGCAACATGCATAATTTTTCAATTACTTTGCATATTTTTGCATAAATATATTTACATTCTTTCTTCACAATAGCTTACGTAATATCCGCATTCGGATGCAAGCCATACACCTGCGGTGGATCTACCGTGCTCATGGCATCTATCGCTTTTAGATACTCGCTGACTAGCTTAAATATTAGAAGCGGATAACCTTTGTAGAAAGCAAAACCTTCAGTAAAAAGCGCATCCGTGAACCACATTTTTGCAAACGTATTTAACAATCTCTTGTCATAGTCGTCTGTGACACGTCCACCGTATTGTACTTCGCTTATCATGTAACTGTGAAAAAATACGAGCATACATGTAATATTAACGCGAAAAAGAAAGATCAACATTGTGAATCTTCTTGTTTACCGCATGATCTGCCAGTTTATTCCTCGCTTTGGGTCAAGATCGTTCAAATGATTATTTATAAACATGCAGGAAGCGAGCCAGTCCGCCGAGTTAAATTCATACGGTATGTTCCATCCTAGAGGACCGAACTTGCGCCTTTCCTGAATCACGGTGTGCAGGAAGGACACAGTGTATACTAGCGGTATGTATTGCGCGGCATCGCATTGATCCAGCATTTCCTGATTCATAGCGCTGTACGTCGCCAGTAAACCCGCGCGTACTCCTAAAAGGCAGAAATGGCGCGTTTTGACTCTTTCTCGTTTCCTTTAGTTCTTGATATAAGAAACTTTATCTAAAGAAATAAAAATAGATGCCTTGCGGGGATTCGAATGTATATTTTATAGACATTTGCAGTAGGGAAACGGGAAAGTCTTTGTGCGGTTCTGTTGTGATCCATACGCGGAAATCCGGATGAGGGGCCTCCATTTCCAGAAGGAAGGTCGCCAGTTCCGTCATATAGTCCAAGCCTAAATGACAATTCTGGCACAATGCCCAGAAACCCTGTGCGAGCAGCATGAATGAGTAATACACTTTGTATACAAAATACACGTTGAAGAGATTTATTTTCCCGTATTATACCTCAGTTTTCGCGCTCTGAAGCAACCGACGAGCATGAACTTCTTGACCCTGCCCCATCGATACGCTTTTACAAACGATCTCCATTCTTTTCGCGAGTTGCTCGATACTCGGCGTGGGATCCGAGCCCATACTTAAAAAACAGATCATCGGCATGTTTGGCCGCGACTCGCTATGCATCACGTCCAAAAGCGTGATCACGGGTTCGGCGTATTTCGCTCCCAATGAGAACGCTATGTACTTTCTAGATTGCGATAGCGCTCTGTCCAAACACCAAGCTCTAAAAACAAATATCGCTTACATAAACTGGAAGTAAATGAAATTCAGAGTGAGAAAAATTTTCGAAAACATCTCGGAAGATTACCGTATCAGTAGCAATTTACGAAACGTGTCCAACGTGTTATAACCATCCGGTATAACTTCCTCTTCCGGTGCCTCTTTGTCGAACCAGTGCTTCCAAGCCTTCTCGGAAGCGGTTACTTGCGACGTGATATACTGGAACTGTCGTAATGACGAAAGCGCGACCAGATTTAGCCACGTCACATCCGTGATCCATCTGCAGGGTTTTGGTTCGACAGCTTTCAGGTCCAGCGCCGCGCCGCCTTTAATAAGATACTGAAATTCTTCGTGTGAAATGCTGCCACGTTGCAGGTCGATTTTCAGCGTCATCAGCAAAATGAACATGTATTTGTGTATCTCGTAAAGTCCGCGCGCCTTGTACTTAAATACGTCGTATGTCAGATATTCGATGATGTGATTTATTCTTCTTTGATTGACCGGACTTTTCTCGGATCTGAACAGATATCGTGACTTTATATCTTCGACTTTTTGTACGATATCAGAAATATTAAATTATTCTAGAATTGTTTATATTTACCTAGCCATAGAGATATCAAATCGTTCCAGAAATTGAGCGAGAGACGTTTGGTACATGCAATTGACGTGCGGCATGTCGCATATCAAGAAATATAAAACGCTACCACGTGTCGCAACCGGTCGGAATTCTTCGCGAGCCGTATCAATTTTTAACTCCGTATCTTTCGCGATATTCAGCTTTTCATTCACTTCCGCCGCTGTCTGTTTTGTGATATTTAATACCGCCATTAATTCAACGTCTTCTATCAAAGGTCCCTTTTAACAAAAAGTAAACATATCGTGAGAGAGACAATTTTATGTACTTGAGAATTACGTAATTAATTAACGCTATGTTCACTAGAAGAACAAAACGCGCATACGTGCACAGTCGCTAATTTATGTAAAAGATTATCTTCTAATTCTTTGATTTTTTTGATATTTGCGGACACGTCGGCGATCAGTTGTGTTTTTTCCATCTCTAATTCTTTTTTCTCTTGTAAAATAACTCTTCCTAAAAGTTGATCTTCCAAGCCTGTAAACATAAGACAATTCGAATAATTTATTGAACAAAATACTATTTAAAATATTAAGTATTTATATATATAACTGTACCTTTCATCGTTACAGTAAAATCGATTATAGATGTGTGAGCAAAGATTTCTGGAGTGTAAAAAGGATTCGGTAGCTTCGTCGTCATATAAAGTCTGAAATCTTTGCTAACATCCACTTCCTTATCACCTAATTTCACCTAAATAATAATAATACTAATAGTATGTCAAAATATAAAGTTGTGCGAAAGATTGAAAACATGTTTTACCTTCAAAGAAGTTCCTATTTTTATAAAATTCTTTTCCAGTAAATTATCTAACACCGGATCTATTTCCTCTCCGACATCTTGTATCAATAACGGTCGTCCTAACGATATCGAATCTTCTAGATGGTTTCTGAAATATTTGTGCGTAAACCATGTCACCTGAAAAACAGATTGTGTAAAATCGATATTGTTACACATTTCACGCAAACTATCGAGTACTTGTAAATCAAATTTCATTTCTTTGTTTTTGATCCACGTTTTGCCTTGTAATTGTGGGTCGATCAAGAGGGGATATCTCGGCGCTTTTGTCACAATTATTCCATTCTGAAGCGACAGTTCGTCGGTAGGCAAACCTTGCAAACTCCACTCACCGATCTGCAGCGAATTACACATTTGTTCATTTGGCACAAGTTTCAATTATATTTTTCTCACAACTAGGTATATATTACGTACGGTAGCTGTATCCGTCAACGCGCTAACGACATTTATAGTAAGAGAAATCGGGATTTTTTTATCTTGTATGAAATCGATCCACTTCCTCTGCAAGAGAAAACGTAACTCTTGATTAAACGGCCCGCAATAAGACAGGAATCCCGTTAGCACCAATATGTCTCCGACAAGACGTTCCGTTTCTGATTTAAAAACGTCTATTTGATCCGTCCATCTTGTTCTTTCTCCCGACAGTCCTTCGATCATGGCACCTGCGGTGTCCAGTTTTGCTTGACAGACCGCAGCTTGATCGATTATCACCTAATCACAATATGAGAAACATATAGAGAAATATATTGAATTTTGGTTATATAATGTTACCACTAATATTAGCGTACTTGTCGCTCTTGTGTCACAGTGTCGAACTCTCTTTGCACTATCTTCAAGTCGTCATCCTTTTCTTTTAACCGTTGTTCGGCCTCAATTAAATTTTTATTAGCTTTCTCATATTTAATTTCTTGCACAGCGAGATTCGCCTGCAGAACATTATTCTCTTTTTATTAAACATCTCTTCCTTCAGTTACACAAGCCACGGCATAGAAATAACTGTTTTCGTCCGACACAAGTGCGTAGTAATGTTTATTAATAGATACCTTTAAAGGTAGCACATCTTTATTTATTTCGTAAAAAGCAACCATAGAGATGGTCCACTGTATGAGACCGGCAACGTTTCCACAGGCTATCTTTGCGGCCTCGTAAGTATACATAGGATAATTTAAATACGGCATCATTAAGTCGATCGTTTCGGCGTTAATGTTATCTTTTGGAAAATATTGTAAGTTATGTAAAAATCGAGTGTCGGCCATGACCTGTAAAAAACAAATTACGAAATGTGTTTACGTATCTAAAATTACATAGCGCGCTTCTCCTTCACTTTTATTAATATGTTAACATATTTATTAATTTATATACACATAGTTTATACACATCCTAATACCTTTAACGATTCCGACCACGACGGCACTAGAAATTGATGTTCGTAATCGGGTTTGACCGGATCTAATTTTCTTCCAAACAAAATCAAAACGCAATCCATTATGAGCATAATTAAATACGGTGGTTTAGCCAATTTACGAACAGTGGAAATATCTACTGGTTTTATAGTCTAAAATAAACCGATATTACCGTCATCAAATTATTGATGTTAACAAAAACAAGGAGGACATGTGATTAGCATATTTTATACGTATTAATTAATTATAATACCTGTAAAGCAGCTTCAGCTTCTAACAAAGCAGGTTCCGCGGCTTTCAACGTTTGTTCCGCCACTGCCTTATCCTTAGCTATCAATTTTAAAATTGTTTCCGCTTCATCTTTTGTTACCTGCACTTTTGCCTTCATGTTTTCAGCTTCTTTCTTTTTTTCATTTACACTTTCTAAAATCTATAAATATCATACGCCAGTAAAAACAACGGATTTTGTAAATATAGCATAATGCTTACCGCTTCTATTTGTACGTTCTTTTCTGCGATCTCCTTTTGATTTTTTTCTAATTCCTTCCGTAACTCTTCCACTTGAACCGCGGCATCGATCAATTTGTTTAAACCACTGCTCATGTGAGAAGTAAGCGTGTTAATATGCTCTAATCGTTGCTTGTAAAATGTCTTGTAACTGTCGATAAACGTTAAAAATGACTTTGGAGTCACATATACTTGACGACGGAATCTACAATTGTTGAAATAAAACTGCTTTACATTTTGCTTTTACACAGATATCAAACTATTAGCGAGAGTGGTAAAGTAAACCTCTCGTAGTATTCTGTGCAGGTGTCGTTTACGTCGTCTTGAATGTCGCCCATAACTTGAATTAATTGCTGTTTGACTTCTGGAGTGGATATAATTCTATATTTGTCTAAGAAATGTTCAGCAACCGCATATAACGCGTCCCTCGGCCATCTTGAAAACCAATTTATCGTGCAACCGGATATAAGACCGGGAAATTTCAACGCTCGTGACCTGAACTTGTCGCCGACCTATGAAACTTTTAACTCAATAACTCGATACAAAAGTCCAAATTGTTAAAAACAACGATGAAGAAACTCACAGGTGAAAAACATAAAACTATATGCAAATTGTTTCTCGCTCGAGATATGAAGTAATCGTAAAGATTGTCCTGTGTCGGTGGGCGACGAGGATCGTCCTTTTTCATTAAGGGCGTGATAATTGTCAGAATCTCATCTAACTCTTCCTTTGAGAAAAGATTGGCTACCTCGCCGACACTCAGCATGTTGTTTATATATTCCAAAAACGCCTCGTCTTTTACTTCATTATCGGTGAAAATAAAGGTGAGACCTTTGCTTCCTGTACCAACGGTGCGATATAACTTTCGCAAATCGTCCATCAAACTGGCCACATTATAAATCCTAAAAAACACTATTATTCAGTTACTTTCTTCAAATAATTATATTTTTATTATAAAAATATTTTATTTTCTTACAAAACAATATATAACAAAATATTAAAAAAATAAAAAACCAAATTTTATTTTATAATTATTTTTGTTGTTTTAGAGTTAAATAAAGGATGGGGAGATATTCGGTGAAATTTTAATTCTTGCCTAGTTAAAGTTATCTGGAAGAAGTTAAATCCCGCAATAAAAGATGCCAGTCGCGTCAAACTCTGCTTGCCGGATCCTCCCACTCCTACCAAGAGTGCATTCCCTCTGGGAACTCCAAGTATTCTCGATATTCGTATCAAGTGTACCAGAGCGTCGTGGAAAAAGACTAGATCGAGACGCATGCCGCGTACATATTCATTAAACTGCTCCATATTTTGAACAACTTTCTCAACAACGATATCGTAACTGCAAGTAACGCAGAAATATTAATGCAATCTCGTTTTTTAAAATTCATCAGCATGAAGAATCGCTGTATCTCTCTTGCTCAGATACCTCGGTATCTCTTCATAAATCTTGGGTGCCTCAAACACAAAATCTTCCGGTTCGTCACCTGTCGGTTCCGGCGGTTCGCGAAGAAAATTAACGAAGTACGTCTCAACCGGAGAATAATGCTCGAAGTCCGGACCTAATAATTTCTCTGCCGTGAGCTTTAAAGTATTTTGGAACCACTCTTTATCGTCAACGGTCGTGAAACTGCAAAAGAAGCGAGAGATTCATTGTCCTAACCAAGTACTTAAAAATAGTTAAATTTAAAAAAATATTTAATGATATATGCAGCAAACCGATCTGCTATCACGCGCGTGCATTCGTGTTCCCACAATTTCAGCAGAGTCGTTATAGACTTGCACTCGGCTCTCTCTATTCGGAGTATTCCCTCCCAAATGCGAGACAGATCGCGCAAGTTAAAAACGTAGTGGAACTTCGCTGGAGTAGGTAACATCTTTGTTTTAACTCGCTGCCATAATATTCGTGTTAACGGCACGAGCTTCGGCAAGAAATCGACAATGGTTTCGGAGAATCTTGTGGTACAAAAGTAGCCTTGTCCGATAGTACCTGCGAGTTTTGCACGCATTGCAATAGATGTTATTATTTTTCTTATTTGTATTTTTTTACTAAAGAGATAAACTTTTTCTGCTCACTAAAAATCGTATCCATTGATTTGTTGGAGGGCAGGGTACAGTTAAAAATATTAAACTGCCGTTTCAATCGTGGCGGAATATCATTTCGTCCTCCGCCGGGATGTCGCATAGCTGCAAGTAACATAATGTCTTGCATGGTGCAAAAGTCGCCTGGTTTATCCAACGAGTAAAATCCATTGAACTCCATTAACTGGCGCACCACTTCGTTCGTAATTTGATCGCCCCATTCGTTTATGGTCGGCATATTTATATCGTCGATAAAAATAGTCATTTTTCGACCACCGGGAGGTCCGTAAGTAGTTCCCACTCGTTTTTCAACGTAACTCTCAAATACGCGCTGAAAACAAAACATAAATGACGAACATAATAAAAAATACATCTTTATACATATAATCCTATTGACGTTAACAAGTTAATTTTGTGTGTATATTAAATATGAAATTATTACTTGAACCATGTTGGGTGTGGATGCCGAAGAAAAGTTAAAAAATTTATTTAGATGAAATTCAGGATCATGCTTGGACATGTAGCTTTTGATCATTACAGTCTTGGCGGTACCTTCTTCTCCTGTTATGTAATTAATCCAAAATATGTGTGTTATTATATAAAAGTTGAAATATCAAACACGTTAAAATATTTGCTATTAAGATTATTCAATATTTTGATATGTCTACCTATTAAAAGCACTGATTTTTCTTGCTTTGCTATAATATCCACCAAAAACAACGTTCTCGTATTATCAACGTTAGGAACGAGAATAGTGTTGTATTCTAAAACACGATCTTCGGGATATTCAAATTCCGACACTATTTTGTTCCAGTGTATCCATTTTCCATCGTCTGATACCAAGTACTCGAAAATAGTTTCATCTTTCTATACGCGGACGAGACATTTACAGAATACAGATATTAAAAAAAACATGTCACATTACGCGTTTACTTCATATGTTAAATAAAATAATATGTTGTAATACAAAATATATTATATTCTACGAACTGTACAGTTTGGCCAGTTGCATTTTGATTCGTGATTCACAAAATATTCTTGCAACGCAAGTCGATCGTCGAGTTCCAACACCGCGCCCAAACTCCACATGAGAGAAAACAAGAAAAGCTTTTCGATGTGATGCTCGGGTAATACTCCTGTAAATTACGACCTGGATGAAAATCTCTGATACATATTCTGTTCAATAACAAACTGTAACTGCAAAATTGTCAACATTCACTGTGTGAATTGTAACATATTTGAAAGACAAAATTTATTATTTATAACGCTATGGTGTGTATATCGTGTTGAAATTGTGCATATTTATATATTTCCAGCGGAAAAATATCTCAGTGTAAAAGGGATTTTATATTTACTGGCTGGATCAGAATTTCCGACATTCAAACCTTCCAACAAATCAATACATTGCCGTATGTAAAGCGCTTCTAAAAGCATTATTTTAGCATGAAGCTTTGTTTGAACGAATATGTGGGCATCTCCATATATTTTATGGAACAATGTTCGTAACACTCCGGCTTCATACACGGTGCATTTTTTCAACCAACCCTGTATTAAAAATATTGCGACATCAAAGAGTAGAATTTTGCATATAAAGTAACGACAGAATAACATAACAAAATAAAGATTATCAACCTGGACTTATATTACCTCTAAGATTGAACTCCATTTTAATACAGAAGCACTGACAAACACCATTCCCATGCGGGATATAGTCGCAGGAGACGCATTGTCTACGTTGTCGGGCTCGAACACCAGTTTGTTATTTGGCGCCATTACAATGCGATCTCCGTTAGCCAACGTTAACGTCTTATTGTCATCGAGAACGGAATTTAAATTTTCGATCCATAACGTGTCGACTGGGCCGTCTAGTACAATCCACACATTTTCCGTTTTTTTTGCTTGCATGCTCCTTCGCCATATAGTAGAAAATATACCGTCGGTCCAGTCATTGGTCGCAACATCGAGTCTCCCGAACATTTGGGATGCAGTTATCGCCTATTGATAGTTTTGCTCAAAGAAGAATTTACTTTGATAACAAAGAATCATATTAGATTATCGAAAGAAAAATATTAACTTTTGGATTCATTCTAATTTCTTTGTGCGGTATGCCCATTTCTGTCAGAGCTCTCATGAGCGCCCATATGCATCGCGTTTTACCGGATCCTGTTGGTCCAAGAACCATCAGACCATGGCGAACAAGTGATGTCTCGTATAACTGCGAAATTCGTAGTTGTCTTAAAAGTAGTTACCAAAATCGATGAAGATTCGATATGCAATTATGCACCTGTAAAGTTTTCAAATTCCATTCACTATGATTCATTATTCCAAGAGCAGCTGTAGCGTTAGCTATAGCTTTCTGTAACTCTTTATACGTCTTGGTCGTTAACTTTATTCCTGGGAACATGTCTTCGATGAGGGACATGAACAGAGATTCATCCTCGTCCACTAGTTTGGAAAGATTCATATCGCTAATAAAAATTAATACACATTTAAAACATCTTTATTTTTTCTTTTAATTGATTATATAAAAAGTACAAAAAAATATACCGCAACACTCTCATAAGTGTGGTTTCTTCCGAATCGGTAGGATTCGCACGTTTTTGAGCACCGAGTGTGCGCAGACACGACAAGATGTTTCTCAATCCGAAATCATAATGCACTTGCTTGCTGAGCTGTTCCTCGCACAGTTTGTACAATATGAAAAATTTTCGCGCCAAGACCACGTTCTCTTTGAAGCCACATGCCGCAAGTTTTACTCGCATTATGATCTACGGAGAAAATTAAATTAATTTGCAAGTTGTGTGTAATGAGATTTCTGTTACAAAAGTCGTATTTATTAAGAGATGTACTTGTCTATCGGGAACCATCATAGCTACACTTCTGAACTGTATCTTTAAATTTTCCGGTAATTCCTGCCGGCCAGCGTATCCTGGATTCATAGTGATAAATATTCCAAACTCATAATTGAGTTTATATGTTTCACCGTCGCTATAGAAAAATATATTACCAAAAATATATTACTTTTCGATATAAAAAAATTGTATGCAATTTTTTCAGGTTTAATTTTTTTACGTACGTTCAATAAATTAATTTTTCATAGAAATACCTGAACAAAAAGCTCAATTTCCGTTCTTTACGCGCGTTAAGCACAATTGCGATTTGTTGTGCGGCGACCGATAACACCGGTAGATCGATCCGATTAAATTCGTCGAAGCACCCCCAAGTACCGGACTGCGCCAGTCCCTTAAATATTCTGCCCAAACCGCGAAAGTCCATTTGATCGGAGCAATTAAAAACAACAACATATTTCCCCAATGCTTTTCCCATGTCCTTTGTTGTTTCCGTTTTTCCCGTGCCGGCAGGACCTGCGGGAGCTCCGCCGAAATTCATTCCTGAAAAAAAACGAACATGGCGCAAAGATAGCAATAAGTGATGTGAATAATGCGAATGTTATATTATACAATTTTTAAGGTGCAAGTATCATACCCACAGCTTGTGCCAGCGTTATATAACACCTGTCTGTGAGCGGAGTAATCGCGAGACGATCCGTACAGCCTAAGAATTCATTTTGATAAGTAAAATCTACATCAGTTATTCTGATCGGAACTTCTTCCGTCTCTTCATTGTAATAGAATCGACACTGTTTTGCCCACTCAAAATCATAAACGCTTCGAATTCGGAGTCGACATAAATCGTCAAATATGTCTCTGAAAAATGTCTTGATAACTTCTCGGTTTCTTTTGCTTCACACTTACACGAAAGAAATAATTGTTCGGAATTAACACCTTTGATGAACGTGTATCGTTATTAGACATTCGTATTTTACTCTGACAAATTTCGTCAAGTCTCGAACGGTCGCTTCTATAAGACTGTTCAAGAGGTCCAAAAACCACTGATTAGTTCTTTTCATTATAGTTCTGTCGCGCTTGGCTGTCGTGACTGCTATTTCGGAATCGCGCGTCCATAGAACTTGTAACGCTAACAAACCCACCTTAAAGAAAATTAACATATTTCATGTAATTAATTTAATTTAATTTTATATTTTTTTTACTTTTTTGTTTATTAAAAGCTCAATATTACTATATAAACATTATCTTACTTGCAAAATAGAGTTTTCTATCAATGACAAAATGTCAAATTCTGTCGTGTGAAATGATTGCAGTCCCATTGCAATTACAGCACCAACAGATTGTTGATGAACGGTCAACAAAGTATTCAACCAGTTCTCTACACCTCCTATACATACAACTTCTTTCTCAAATATTATTTCCTCACTTTCGCGCGAATACATTGCTTGAATCTTTTCATATTCCTTTTCCGAAAACTTGAGCTGTAAGAAACAGTAGTAGTAATTTTATGATCGCCACAGTTTGTAATTTTACATTTATATCTCGTTACTCTTGCTATGTTGTCGAAAAAGCCGTCGAGATAATTCTGTATGGTGTGGCAATCGGCAGCTTGTCCAAGGATCTCCAACAAAGTAGGATCTGATATGAAGCAGAATCTTGGAAAAATAACTCGCTTGGTTTCCAGATAACTGTATGTGTGTTAATAGAATTTGTTAATTAAATTTAACACGGGTTTGAGCGATTGTTTCGACTTAGCAATAGTTTGTATACCCGCTAAGGGACTTCTGCAAAGATTCTAGTTGTTCCAGCAAATGAGGCAAAAACTGACTCATAGTTTCGTCTCCCGTACATGTTTCTACCGCATTTAATTTTTCGTGAGCGCGAATCATAAGCTTGGTCCAGGCTTTGTCGATGGTCTGCAATAATAATTAATTATATTATCTTGTTGTGAGTTATTACGTGCGGATTTCTTTACATTGAAACGCTTTGCCTCAGTGGGCAGTTGCTTCGATATGTCGCCGCCGATAAACACCGCTTCTAAATAAGCCCACAGATTCTGCACAGTCAACCATTTTGCTAATATTTCTGACGTGTTACTGAGTTTAGTCTGCCATAACTGAATCTCTTTCTTAAACGGAGCGTTGTAACTGCGTAACATTTATTGAATATAGTTGCGAAACTTGACACACATGATTAAATATTCGAACGTAAATGTAACAATACCGATTTGCCAGCAACGAACTTATGATCATCAAACTATCTTCAAGTTGCGCTATTATCTCAGCCGTTTCGATACCTTTCAGTAATAGTTCGCCTCTTTGTTTAAAAGAGGAGAATTGTAGATTCACAACCGACCAATCTGCAATCACTTGCTTCAATTTGAATTCGATATCTTGCTCTTTTACAGCACTGATACATATATCCTATATAATACGATTATTTTGATTTAAAGTATTTTTATGTACGCATAATATGTTTATGCAGAAGAAAAACAAGAATAATTAGCATTAATTAAAATCAATAATTTTGTGGCCCCCATTCAGATATACACCTCTACGTCATCTTTATATTTTAGCAAAGGTGCTTGCATAACATTTGCAAGTGTAAAAGTCTCAGATTCCACGTCAAAAAAATATTTGCACAAGGCGGACAATCTCTCCCAATGTCTGTTTTTCATGGCTTTATTAGCCATCATTTCTAATAACGGACACATCTCGTTGAAGTCGTCAATCTTCTTTTTTAGATCGATATAAGCTGGCCATTCTCTCATAGCTTTGGGTAACTTTCGGCATCTACACAATAACATTAGAAAATTATCACGATATTAAATTTTATGAATTAAGCACATTAATATAAATTTGTGATAGTTTTACTTGTTTTGGAATTCGGCTAATTCATTTATAATTGATTCAATATCAATTTCCGACCACGGAATATCATAGTAACTGTCAATAGTACGCATAACTTGCAAATACAACGTGTACAACTTCTGCAGCAGATTGAGCTCTCTTTTTCTTCGGTGCAAAGTTGGATATTCCGTTACTTCTATGCCAAATAAACTTTCGCCGCTGCTGTAAGTTTCGTATCTTTCCCATAATTCTTCGAATTGTGCTTGGAACAGAATGAGCCTTGAAAAATACAAAAAAGATTTTTATATGTATATTCTAATCTAAATTTCAAAATTATTTATACAAAGACTGAATATTTGTAATTGGTGTGTATGTAAATTCATAAAAATATTAAATACACTAGTAAAATTATATACCGTTCACTGGCTTCTTTTGCAGGTATTCCTTCGACCATCGGACCGTTGAATTCAAAGTCGATATCGAATTTCTCCACGTTCTGTTTGAGAACTTCGACTCCGTCAGTGAGTTCCTTTCTCAAAGGCTCTTGCATCTCACATATAATTACTTGGACTTGTTTTGCCTAGAAAATATCAATATTGTGCAGCATAATATGGTAATTTCAAATTATTGATATTAACAGACAGCGTATTAAATATATTTTAAAGATCTATGCAAGTAGCGAATTATTACCGTGTTGAGCATGTTGCTAAAATTATATCTCAGTCCGTCTACAATGTCCTGATCTTCTTTTAATATATTAATGTTGTATTTTCCCATCAATGCGTAAACCTCCTCGATCAGAATTAGTTCCATATCCAACGATATAAAATCATCTCGTATTTCTCTTAAACACTTCATCGCGACTCTGACATCCTCTAAGTCTTTGATATGTCTAGCGAGGACTTTGTTCTTTTCGTAAATGTAGTCCATAATACGGTGTAACTTTATCTTGTATTTCTGTGATAAAATGACACCCAATGACGTTTTCCATGCATTCGCTTCAACAAAGAATGCCAGTTTTAATTTATCTGTAAAAAAATATAAACACAGTAATCTATCATGTATGTACAAAATCGATATAAAATTATTTGTAATTTCCATACTAATTACCCATATTAATTTGAAGCGGACCGAGAACGTGTTGATCGGGCAAATTTTGAATTTCTGTCATTAAATTTTCATATTCCGTAAACTTCTCTTTGATTTCTTGTACAATGGGTTCAGAATCAACGAATTTTTGAATGATCTCGATTCTATTGTCCACCCATAGGTAGGAATATCGTAAATATGACTAGAAAGCAGTAATTAATACAGCATTGAAATTAATGTAAATATACATAACGTTTTTCTTGTATCTCGATTGTATTTGAAACAAAAAAACAAACTTACATTGCCAATTTTGGTAACATCATCTCTCATCATTAATATTAAGCCTTGTACACTCATTGAACTGCGAATTACATCCTTGTGATCGGATATGCTTTGAAAATAGTTACTGAGCGAATTATTGTCACCTGAGATACAAAATAAAACGTAAAAATACGTAAAAATATAATCAAAGATAATAAACACATTTGTTGTTTCCATTATTAACATACGTAAGTATATTTACTTAATTAGTATAATTAGTATAATACTTAATTAGTATATAAATTTGTTTTACAGAGTGTTATTACCAAGCGATTCTTGCGTGTTTGTAGAATATCGATGTCCCCACATAGTCACACTTCTGCTCGCTTCTATAATACCCGTTATAACTTTGCCGAAATGATGCTGCAGTTCCTCTATTGTCGGAATGATTACAATATTCGGTATTTGTAGAACAAAGTGCGTCATCATAATTGGAATTTCTTGCTCTGTTGTAACATCATCAATCACCAGACTAAAACGTAAAATACAAATAGCGGGATACGTTTCTACATTCAATAAATGAAAAAATATAGATACGCATAAAAGTACGTAAGATCACCTCGTAACAGTTGCTTTTTTCTTCAACAACTCCAAAGAATTTTTTGTGCATTTTACTAAAGCGTCGATCAATTTGCAATTGAAGTACGCGAAGAGTTCCATACAGTTGTTGTGCACGTGTTGTATATTAACTTTAATTGTTTTTTCAATGTGACCAAAGCCTATTTGATTAAGTCACTTATTTTAATTTTGTAATTATAGGCAATGTAAACTTAAAATAATTTTATCTAAGCTACCTGGTTCGTACGGTCCTTCTATTAATTTGCTTTCGGATCCTACTTTATGTATTTTTTCAAGGTCCATCCAATTATACTTAACATCTTCTACACTAGGATCAGTTATAAGATCCATAAATTTGTTAATAATCGTGACAACGGTCTTTTCCGCTGCTGAAGATTTAACTTCTAAATCAATTGCTATTGTATTTGTAAAAGCTATGTTATCGGCGGAAAACTGTTCCGGGCTTTTTGGATAATTATCTACTTTTAGCAGTATTATTTCCGCAATAGTCTCAAATACTTCATCTACTCTCGCTTCCTTCATGTCTGTCACTTTCTTGACAAATACCTCCGCGTTTTTTATTGCATGTTCCAGGTTGGTGCATACTTTAGAAATCATTAATGACGACCACGTAACTACCGACAGACAAGGCTGGAAAGCGATCTCGAGATGGACCAGTGCGATCTTCATTAAATGCAAAAATATAAGCGGAATAGATTTTCTATGAACGTATGATAAATATATAAATATTTTCCTTCCTTCACATTTACTAATATAAATTTATTAAGCAATTTATATACCTAAGAACATCATTTCTTTTAATCAGCTTTTTGACTCTTTCGCGGAATGACAAAATCTTCTCTTTGCAAAACATCAAAACCTGTATAAAATCTGACACATCCAATCTCAATTTAGACATGTGTTCCGATTCTCGTATCACTTCGTATATGTAGGAATCAAAATTTAAACAATATTTATTTGTTTTAGGATGACGCACGATTATAGGCGTTGATAACGCCAGACGAACCTGCAGCGATTTTAAAACTGAAGACAAATGGTCTTTCGAAAAAGCAAAATCTTATAGGATAATTGTCTTAAATGTAATTAAACTTACAATGTCGGCCGAGTCGTACCACGCTTTGTGATATATCATCTCGTAGTGAATAAATACGCCGATAAGTACATTATATATCTTAATGCATTTCTGCATAGATTCATGCAAGATCACCTTCTGATACGATCTGAACATATTCATAGGAACTTCCACGCGTTTATATAACTGCCGAATCCAGAGGATTCTACCGGCTACGAGTGGAAAATTCCTCGGCAGAGGCGGATCGGATCTGTCTATATTGTATCTATCGCGAACATCTTCAATTTCTCGTTCGTACGTTGCGACGAGCTCCAGGCACATTCTGTCGATCTTCAGTATTTTGAGATTTAATTTTCGAAATCTGGGAAAAAGAGAGAGCGGTTGCAATTAACATTTTTGTAATAACTTTATGCGCGGTCAAATGTGGTTAAAGAGATACTTTGTAAAAATATCATACCTATCGATCAACTGTAGAGCTAATGTAATATTTGGCACGAGAGCGACGCAATTACGAAAGAACGTTCTGAGCTCCACATCGGTTTCCGTCACGCTTTTCTTGTACTCCTCATAATCGGTATCGAAGTAAAGCTTTCTATGATCCAGAGGATCGTATTCTTGCGAGGAAATCTTCTTAAAAAAATTCGCGTACTTTTGCGCATACACGTCGATTCCTTCTATAGTCGAGCTGTGCAAAATAGCGTACATCCGTGCAGATTCAAGGATGTCCATGATCTGCGTATTATTCATCGCAAAGATAATGTAATTCTGCCCACACACATACACGTGTGACTTGCGTTTATAATTTGATTCTTTTACTCACTTTTATTAGTCTCGTCTTAAAAGTGTTAAATTTGCCAAAAACATACATTTCGGATACTTCGAAAGGTTTCTCATCGGGAGACTGTTCGACCTTCTTGCACATCTCGTTGTAACAATCATGATACGTCTCGCATAGCTTAATACAGTCCTACGAGATGATTGCTGATTTTATATTTACATTAGGAATAATTTTTCACCAAAAAAATGAAAATTTTATGCATTTTTGTATCTGCACCTTTATCTTAGATATCATTGTAGATTTCGACTCGGCCCAAACACTCAATATTCCATTTCCTGTTAAATACGCTTTACACGATAGTATCATTTGGTTTGTTATCTAAATACAGATTTAGATTGATGATGCATGATCGCAAATAATCTGCGCGAATGAAATAATTCGAGAAGATTACCTTCACATATACCGCGGTAACCATCTTTCTTGTGTTAAAAAATCGCGAGGTAGCGTAAGTCATTCTTATAGCGTACATAAGCGAAGGCAAGTAATCACCGATTTTTGTAGGATCTAGCCTATACAACGGTTGAGTAAATTTTTCCAAGGAATACAGATACTTCACATTATCTTGCGACAAAATATATATCGTTGTAACGTGATCTTCCAATGTTCTCCATTTCTACATATAAAACTTTTCAGTGACGAATACGACAATATAAATTTATAACTAATTGATTATTTTGTTTTTCACCTTGATAAGTTTTGATTTTGCTTCTGTTAGGAGTTGAATAAATGATTCAGTGTAAGGCGACTTTATATGATTCATTATCGATGAAAATAGACCGAGTAATCGACGCCAATACGCGAGTTCTGCGGTTGGTCCCACAGTCTCGGTTTCCCTGCGCAATTGTTCACTCTCGACAACAGCCTGAAAGATCGTTTTATAACGTCGAGAGAGAGATTTACATAAATGATTAATATTGTATAGTTTACAATTAATATCACAGACTCGTTCCATTAATTTCATCCATATCTGTACATCAGCTTCCGCCACTTCAATAATATCCGGATTGTGAATATTTTGTTTTATGCTTTCCGGAGTCGCCAAACACTTCTGATAAAAATCCCAATTAATTTGGAAGCATATAATGTTTTCTAGATCTATCTTTGTCACTGTAGAAAGACGAGAGAGAACAATTTCCGAATAAAAAACAATATACATGTGATAATTAAAATGGATAAAAATCACAAGTTGCTCACTATTGAGAAATTCGCAAAAATCTTTAAAATCGCCTATGAAATCGTTTTTGATCTTTTCCCCGATTTCGCTCTTTGTTAGTTCTTCCCATTGTACGTTAGCGGTTAAGGTACGTATGTGTAAACGTGAAATTAAATCGGATATCCCTGCTAAAGCGCTTCGTGATGTGGGATCCACTTCGGCATAAGCGTAATATGTCTCCTACGTGGAAAACACAACACAAAAGCAACGTGAAAAGTAAAGTTTTAAGGATAAAGCTTTTAAAAACCACTACTACCACTTTTTTCAAAAAAAAAAGAAAAAGGGGAAGAAAAGGAAAAGAAAAGACGCTTAGTTGACACCAAGTATTTACATCAAGTAACTGCTTTACTCCAAACTCAATGTTTGACTTTAATCGATAAACTATCACACATTTGCCTGAAAACTCTTCGGTGGTGCCATCCGTGACACAACAACGTATAACTTGTTGTTCTTTGCTGAGTTGCGGCGCCCATCGTCCAGATTCTAAAGTTTATAGATATAGTTCATGTATAACGCATTACAACGCGATATGAAGATTAAAACTGAGATAAGAGAAAAGCAAGAAGATAACAATTATTACCAAACATCGGAGGGCTCATAGGTTGAAGATATATAAGAATCGCTTGTCTTCCATCGGTGGCAAAGAAGCTGCTGAACACATTCACGTATTCATCTTTGTCGAGAACTCCTTCCTCCAGCAATTCGTAGTTCGTGTTTAAAATATAGGCTACTATCTCCAAGACATGCCGATGTGTAACTTTTAACATTCCTTCTCTGGCGTTGCGATTCTCCTTGTATTTTGCCTACAGAAAAAGAATATTGTGCGAATTTGTTTTAATCACATAATACTTTGAAGAAAAAGTTGTAAATACTTTGTATATCGCGTGCTTTGTTTTTTTTTTTTTTTCTACATGAGAATAGAGCAAACGACAAAAAACGTAAGCTAAAATATTAGCGTTATCTCGAAGTATCAAAAATAATAATGTTTCAGAATGGACAAAATTGTCCGTAATATTGTTCGTTAATTAAAAATATTTGGTAGAAGTATTTACAAGTCGCTCTTTTGTACTCTCCGTGGGTAGATCTTCTCGTGCGCCGATTCTTCTTTTCACCAACTCGGTGATACGTTGATCAATAGCCGGTTTCGTGTAATCTCGCGTTGCGGAATGTACATTTGCCATTTTTTTTTGTTGCAAATGTAACAAGTATGTGGAGGATCTTCAAAAGAAAAATAATATACAAGAAATATATATAGCTGCAACTACACTGATAGGACACCTTTTAATTCTGACAACTGACAGTTTCTAATCACATTACTTGAAATCATACGTACATGCACATATGCGTATGAAACGAGACAAAATAAACAAAGGATAGTAGAATATTTTAAAATATGCGCGATTTTCCAGTTTTGTTTTTCGCAACTTTTTTATTAAAAAAACATAAATGGTTCTGATCTTTGCTAATGAAGTGGTTTGAATCTTTGCTATGTTGATTCTGACCCACGCTAAAGTAACCAATTGCAAAGTTTTTAATCGCAAGCTAATTGACGCTTTATTTGGTTTTATCAAAAAAAAAAAAACTAATAAATAAAACAGTTTTAAAGTGTTCCTAATTAAAAAATTCTAACTCATTTGCGAACACACATTCTGTTTTGCGCGTGCGCTTTTAGCTGCCATCATAAAAGTTTTGTCTCTAAAATCACTGCTACCATACTGCTTTGAGCAACACTCCCCGAAGAGAGGTTAGCTGTGATCATATCATACGAGTAAAGAAATCACGAAATACCTGCGATTGAAGTTTTAAATTAAAAGTCACGTTCGCTGAGAGTAACCAATGTCGTTGCTTCATTCATTTTGCAGCGAACAACGTGCTCATACAACAGTATTGTGACATATGTTTACAGAAATTGCGTAGCCTGTCATCTGACAGGTGCGATCAGCTGTGTAAATTTTGAATATTTTTTATAATCCTTTAATATTTATTCAAATCATATATTTTTTGGAGCTGGATCATTGTAATAAGACAAGCATACTATTTGGAAATAGAGCTTGATTACAAATAAATTTATTTTCTTTAAAACTTTATGAGATAATTCTATATACACTATTTTACATCACTTTCTTCCTTAAGTAAATGGTATAACTGATAAGATAAAAGTGTGTAATAAACATTAAATTAGATATATCATATTTTATTAGATACACACTAAAAGATTAAAACTATATATTTATGTGTTTAACATTGTTCTTATTGTAAAATCAATTGCTAATTATATATTTTGTTTGCACATATTTAAAACTGTTTTCTCATATCTAATTACTATTTTCTTATATTTAATTCTATCATATTTGGTTTTTTTACAGGTAAATTTGTGTAAGAAATATATGCCAAATTGCATTTTTATTCCTCTAATATACACACTAAACAAAAATAGTATAAATTATAAAATATATTTACATAGAATTCAAAGAGAAAAGAATATTTTGAAAACTACTTTTTGATATCTCTCACTTTCTAAAAAATTTTATAAAAATATGCTCAATGCTCTGTTTTGCCAAACACAATGTTTAAACTGGAATCTTATATAGCACCAGTGATTATCAGTTGTGTAGAAAAGTATGTAAAAAATTTGAAACCGGAGCAGTCACAGGTAAGCATAAAAAACTTGCTATTTCTTTTACTAAACTACTACTATTTTTTATATATTTTATTAATAATAAAGAAAATAACAATGATTTTTATAAATATAAAATTGATATATTTTTTTAAGTATTAAGAACTTGTGACTCTTTTAGGTGTCTTTATGGGAAGGAGATGCATATTTCCAAAACTTGGATCTGCGATCAGAAGTTTTGGAAGAACAACTAAATCTTCCATTTGTTTTGGTTAGTGGCCACATACATGGATTGTTCATTCATGTTCCTTGGGTGAAAATTACCTCTGAACCAATAGTTGTTACTATTAATACAATAGGTGAGATAAAGAAGCAATAATTTCAAGTATTATATTAAAAACAAACTCACACATTTTGTTTATTCATCACAGAGTGTATCTTAAAATTAAAAGATGAAAATACTACAAAAGCTAATACGCCTACGTTACAAAAAAAAAACGAGACGGTGCAGTAAGTTTTTTTGTATTTTGATACCATCATGAAATTGAATCTCTATCATATTATAGGCAAATATATAAAAAACATTATATATTTTATATCTCTTGTAATAGAGAAAAAACTCCACCTGGATATATAAAAAATATAGTTACAAAAGTCATCAATAATATAACTATTAAGTGCAACAATTTGATCTTGAAATATGTAGAAGAGGACATTGTGCTTAGTGTAAATGTGAGATTTTTAAGTATGCAAACTGTTGATGATAAATGGAAGCCCACATTTGCAGGTATTTTTAACAATTACACATGTTTCTCAAGATAAAATTGCTATATATGTTTTTCAATGTGATTTTAATATTTAGATGTCAATAATCAAGAAGTTATGCTTAGAAAAATCATTACCATCGAAGATTTAACGTTATGCTTGGATAAAATGGATGCATCCGGAAAAATAGAGATATATCAAGTAATTATTTACAAGTTGTTTTTTAAGAAGTATTGAAAATGTGAAAACAATATTATACTTTGATTTTGGAAAAGAAATTACTTATTGACATCAATTGATATAGGATCCCGTTTTATATCGATGTTCAATGACAATCCGTATGATAATAAATTATCATAACAACATCTCGAAAAGAGCGTCCGTTACAAGGCTAGATCTTCATTGTGAAAAAATGGAATTCAGTATAACCGAACAACAAGTGCCAATGCTTCTCAGATTGGCAGCTTTACTGCTGGCGTTGCAAACAAAACAGTTTCCACCATGCAAAGAGAAATCTTCCACCATTGTAAATGAAAGAGATGTTGTACAAGGTGTAATAACTTTTACTATATAATTGTTTGGATTGCACTTCCATAAATTTATTTTGATAATGATACATAATTAACATATTTCAGATGATACAAGTCAGATAGCAAGTACTTCTACAGATGTAGGATGGGGATGGTGGGCCTGGGATCTGGTATCGTCCGTTCTACCTGGTTATTGGGACAACGAATGGTCTGCTGAGCAACAACTTGCGTATTCCAGTCATAACTTTCATTTAGGTCTTTATATAGATGATGCTACTGTAACGTTCAAGGTACAAAGATGTCTACTTCAAGAAGCATATAAACTTAGCAATGGAAATAATGATTATTTCGTGTATTTTGCAGACTGTTGAAAGCGTGAAAGAGCAATTGTTTTATAAATCTCGGAAACTTAGATACAAATCGTTTTTATCCCTTCAGTTGAATGGTGTTGTGATCGATACCATAATTCAAGGAATTTCAATGACAACCTTCCAAGTCGGAGTGGCGTGCATACAACTTTATCCGCGTGGGCCGTGCAGTTGCGGACATCTCGAGGTTGTTGATGGTGTACAGGTAAAGTGATCGGTTGCCATCGCCAGATGTGAAATCAGATGGAGTATCTGAGAAGTAAATTATTATTATAGCCGCCTCTTTACGTAACAGCTGGGAACGTTAATGATGACTATCTGGAGTATTCGTTGTTCGATAAGGAAGCTGTGGAAAATAAAGGGGAGAAAAGAGACTACATACTATCGATGTATTATCACTTGACGGCAAGAGAGGGTAGAGCGTGATATTAAAAAATATACATTGCGTTTTATGAACAAAAAAGTTTAGTAAAGTTTTTTCTTTTTAGTTTTTAGCTTATTCGAAAGATGCCCAGCACTCGTGATGGACTATGTTTATCGTGTGGAAATACCCGACGATATCACGCCTGAGAAGTTACTCGAGCTTAGATCAAATTCTGAATATAGGTATAGAAAAAAGCTTAACAACTATATATGTACGTAGAAAAATATAGAACGAGGTTTTTATGTACACAAGTTGATTTTGCAGCAATTTTAAGGAATACAGAGTAACAAGATATGTAGGTGGAGATATAACAGTCAGATTATGTTCAGGTTTTTTTCATCGTATCGATACAATTAAAGAAGCTGCAGCAAAATACGATTACAATCCGTATCTTGTAATCAAACCAGGTAAATACGCATGATTGATGTATCTTAGTTATCTTATACTAGAATGAATAGAAGTTACATCTAAATTTCAGATCCTCTTATTGACGAGCTTTCTCACTTTCATTCTGAAGAGTGCACAGCGCTTTGGAAAAACTTGTCGACGACAGAAACTAGAATAAACTTATATAGAGCGTCGCTGCAATTGCAACTGGCAGATCATTGCGTTAGGGGAATTCCACGGAAACGTAAAATCGTCGAATTTCGGGTAAAATATCTTTGTTATATTTAATTTGTTATATTTTTAAACTTTATAACGCACTTTTTTGCAGATTACTCCACTATCTCCGGCTCTTACGGATGATCCTTTCGTAAGCATCGAATGCGATGAAGTAAACGCTACTCTAGTGCAGCCTATGTATCCGTTTAGACTCGTAGCTTGCGCATCAAAAGCGAAAAACCTACCACCAGAAATGTTCACTCACTGTCACGCAATCACTAATATAAAAGTGAGAGCAAAACTTTTTTCTGCGATATTATTATGTAAACATTTTCTTGACACATCTTAAATTAATTAAATCAAAATAGGTGACAGGAGCAAAAAGTCAACTTCATTTAACGAAAACCTGCGATACTTCGATAGTAATGCCTTATTCAGTGGAAGCTTCGTCGAAGCTATTAGTATATCCGCAATATTGGCGAAATGTAGATATGGTTTCGAAATCATACTCTTTCCGATCGGACAGTATTACCGTCACGGGAACTAAAGCAAAATTAATGGCAGCAGTGTCTATAGTAACTTCAGTTTTTAGTCCTGCGGATGCAGCAAATTTACTTACGTGTTCTACGTTATTTAACGATGCCTGTCAGGAAAAATGTACGTAAATGCTAAACATTGTGTTTTATTCAATCAAAAAATTTAATGTTAAAAAAGACATTTTTAAATATAAGTTTTTGATACGCACAGGTCCGGTGTATCTAGAATTATACTTGGAAAATATAAACTGCAAGAATGTATTGTCTTCGGGCACTATATCAAGCAAAGTAAACATACATTCTGTAAAAATATTTGCTCTCAATGATTCTCAACAAACTATTATCTTGTCCGGACCCGAAAATTGTAATGGCAGGTAGATATGATAATATAATATATGACAACAGTTATATTATACATATAAATAACGTTGAATAACTGAATTTTTTTAGCGATACAGAAAATGTACCGCTTTTCTCTGCCGTAGTGCAGTTTCCGAAAACGGTAGAACAACAAACACACCCGTCTCTTGTTTCGTTCAAAATTGCCGAAATCAGAGCCTCGTTGGATCCACTTTTTCTCGAGTGGCTAGAATACCGTGCCACTTATCACAAATCGGGAAGTGCGCCCGTTCTTCGTTCCAATAGTCGACAATTGGTTACCGAAACGTCATCCGACACAGCCACGCGGAAGAAAACATTTCCAAGTCTTCATGAGAGCGTGCACAGTTCATCGGATAAAGATAAGAAAAAATCAGCTGTGACGGAAAAGTCGAAGACGCTACGAAATGATGAGGCGCAAAAGAAAAGTGAATCCAAACTGGAAGAGCAACAGCAAGTATGTTAAAATTACTTGTAAAAATATTATTATTGTACACGTATATGTATTATCAATTGTTGTATCGATTCCTTTTTTTATGATATAATAGAAATAGTAAAATGTATGACAGAACTTACAGAAAACAGGAATATTAGTCAAATTAGCAGAGTCATATTCATGGTGGTGCAGCCTTGTGTTAAGCGGTTACGTAGGGCATATAATTATATACATTCCATCTGAAACAATGAGTGGTATTGGAGCTGATGGTAAATACTTCATTAACATACAAAACAACGCAATGTATGAGAATAATTAATAAAAATATGTTGCTAGGCATAGAAAAAGCCAAAGATAGAGCGTTAGCCGAGAATCAGGATCTACAAATAATGATAGTAAAATTACCAAGTCTTCAAATACATTCGTCTAACGTGAACGCTGAGTCACTTAGCCCGTATCTGCGAACTCTTCCCGTTAAATTACAAGAATCTATGTGGACACGTCGTAAGTCTATTTGCTTGCAAAAAGTTGATATTGATTGCCAAAAGATATAATTAACTATTACTGCTATTGTCGTTTCAGACGTACAAAGTTTTCCATGGACGTTAAGTCTTATCGATTTTCATTGTTATACATTGCAACAACAGATACAAAAGAATTTTATAAAGAAAGTAACATTAAACGCCACGGTAGCTCTCACAACTAAGACAGCTACAACTCAATCAAATACACTTACTGCTTTAAGCGTTTGTGTGCACATTGACAATTCTCCTATTATTGTTTCACTTTCGGAAGAACAGGTGTTAATTTTTACACTTTTATTTGATTACAGTAATATAAGAGAAGTTTTATATAAAACAATTTTTTAATAATTATATTGTGATTTAGGTGATTTTTATGAGAAATATAGCATTAAATATTATAAAAGTATTACGAACTCAGTGCAATTCTCAAGACGACGTCGCAATTGCGTCACAGATAAGCAATGACACGCAAATTGTTCTTCCTATTATACCCCAAACTTCGTCTTCTCCGACTCAAATAACGTATCAAGAAGACACAACTACCAATTCGACCGTGTCCACATCAAAAGATGATCAAGGATGTGGTGAGTTGACTCTTCTTCCAAAATAATGTTTTTTTTTTTTTAACTTGAAATGTCTTATGTTTTAAAAAAAAAAATTTATAATTTGTTTAGAAAGAGATGGTTTAGTCATAACAGCGTGGATTCAGTGGACCATAACAAAAGTAGCAGTGAAATTGTACATTATAAGACAGAATACATCCTCTTTAAAACTGATGTTAGAACTGGAAGATATTATAACATCCTTGGATTTGCAGTCAGTTTACATGCAACTAAAAAGCAAAATAACTACAGCTACGATATTTCATTACGTTAGGTAAATTTTAATTTCCGTGAAAAAAATTTAATAATTTTTATTATTGTGTGAAATATATTTGCAAGTTTTGTATTACTATTGCGATTTAATAGAAGTCCACGCGCATTGAATTGGGACGTCGGTGATTATGCCGGGCTAGTACTTTGCGGAAGAGAAGACAGCTTGGAAAAAGGCGACGATTCTGGTTTCGTGAGTTTTACGCTTACTCGCGCAAAGTCGGGAAATGTGTATACACGCTGGGGTACTCATAAACGTCAAAAGTCTCAAAAGGTGAAACATTTATATGGAGATCTTTTTTATAGATAATAACAATAAAGAAAGGTGAAACATTTATATGGAGATCTTTTTTATAGATAATAATTTTATAGATAATAACAATAAAGAATAACATTTATATTCAACTTTTAGAAAGAATTACTGGTGGACTCCGCATTATCCAGAAACAGCTATATTTCCGAAATATTTATCAAAATGCAAATGGTCGATGTGATTTTACCACTTAGTGTAATTAGCAATTACACCCAATTGATACAATCTTTTGCGTTGCTTGGTTCGTCTATTGAGAAGAGCACGGATGTTGCTCGTAAAAGTGCGAGCACACCGTTAATCGGTATAACCAATTTGAATAACGAGTCATTACCCCTGATTCACTTGGAGTTCAAAGGTTTCCGACTCATGTTGCCAGTTTTAACTGACACGATTAAATTGCAACATGATTTGTTAATGCTTCAGGTAATTCTTATTTTGGTAGTAATAATTTTCATCGAGAGATATGTTTGGCGGTAATAATTTTCATTAAGAAATGTTTGAAATTGTTCATTATAGTTGGACGGAATTCGTATCACACCGGACGCAGAAAACCCGATTTGCAGAACTCCATTGCGAACTGATATTTATCAGTTGGCAGCTCAAGCAAACATATTAAATGTCCCAGGTTCGGCTGTGGAAGATCGCCAATATCAAATTAGCGTCAAAGGAGTGTGTGCATACACTACTACGTGGAAGAATTACCAGCTAAGCATTAATAAGGTTTGTTTATTAAAATTACAACAATCTCGGAAGATCTTAAAAGAGTTTACTTTTTCATATTTTATATGTTCTCATTTTAGAGAATGTCTCAATCATATTTGTACACAATGAATGAGAATCCTGCTCTGGAATGGAACAAACTCGGAAACGGAAGTAGCTTAGATCCGTATTTCTCTACGTCTCCCGTATTAACAAAGTGTGTATTAACAATTTTGTATAAAATTTGTAAGTGTGATATAACTTACGTTCGTAATTTTTTTTTCTTTTGTTTTTTTTTAGATTTGATCTCTGTTTAATTATTGCACCGGCTGTCACATATAAAACAGATACGATAGTCTGCGGAAGCGCCATGGAAGTGAATTGCATTACGGACATAGAATTGATAATAAATTTAGATCAAATTAAGTTAATATCGGTACTTAATAACGAATTTATGACGCTATTGTCCGAAAGTTTCGAAAAAGCGGAGAACAAGAACGATTCAAACAATCTAGTGCAAAGAGTTTCTTCGGGATCTCAAAGCGTTAAACCTGTCAGTTGTCTGAAACAAGTGTCGGATGATTCGGAACTTGACTTTGCAAAAGATAGTGGTGTCGATTTTGAGATGTCTAGTATGCACTCGGCAATAATTGTAAGTGATATATTTATTTATGAAAATACATATTAAAAAGTATTTGTTCGATTTATTTTTTTGAGAGTATATTTTTCTTGTATCAGGGAAAACCTGGAGTCGCCAAAGCTATGATATTTCCACCGTTTGAATTTTTAGTAAATTGTGGGAAGATGACGTTTATTCTTTATGAAGTTCAGAATACATTCTCTGATTTAGAGGATGATGTAGTAAGTATTAAGTATAGAAACTAAACTGCTAAACCAAGTGTGTACACAATACTTCAAATTTCGTAAAATATTTTCAGGATGTACATAAAATTGACACAGAAGACGATAACAATAACATAAAACAGCCATTGCTTTATTTAATGATCAATCAACCAAACATTTATTTCTCCCAGCAATATTTGTACAAGAAAATACAAGTACGTATTATTATTTAAATATTTAAATAATAATATTATATAATAATAATATTATGTATGCTCCTCATCTTATACTTAAATGTTAATATTTACAGGTATCTTGTTTCGATATTACGATAGCACTTGGCGATGCACAATCTCTGAATACGATACCGACTGAAAAAGATTTCAAAATTTACATGATAGAAACTAAACACGGCGATCCGCATCCAGATACGGGCATTCCGCCTTCCTTCGTGACAATAAAATCGGAAACAATTTTAGGGAAAAATCGTCAGGTTCTTGTTGAAATGGGACGTCCGACAAAAGTTCATCTCTCTTTATCACGAATTAATCAATTGTACACTATACAAAATAAGGTATTTTTATACAAACCGTACAGTCATCAGATACTCACATGTAATTTTGTACATATTTTCAGTAACTTTATTTTTTGTTCTTTAGGTATTGTCTTGTTTTCTTGATGACAAAATTGCGCAAGTGCCTGTAGAGGAAAAAGAGGCTGTGCTCACGGAAAATTCAACAGCATCGACAAAATCGAGAAAATTCAATATACCTGATCTGCATTTAAGTACAAAACAAATCGTGTTGTCCTTGAAGACTGATTCCGGAGCAGAAATCATTGCTAGTTTAGCGTCTTTGAATAAAAGTCTGTCGACACTTGTAAGACCAGACAGGATATATTCAAATCTATCTATAGATTCTTTTATTATATCCGCAATTCTGAACGGAAATATCAAAGTGCTGTTAAATCCATGGTGTTGCAACGTAACCTCTTGCTTGCTCTGGGAATCTTCATACAGCAATGAAATTGTACCGCAAATACAGATACAGGCGGACAGTGAAAGTCTCTATCTCGACTTTGGACCGGATCAGATAAAAATTATAAAAACAGTCGTGCAAGATTTTCAGTTGTTGTTGAGCGAATATGCCTCGTCTTCAGCGAGCAAAAATAAAAATGAAAAGCAGATGGTATTGTTGACCGAACAGCACTATAAGGACGATTTGAAAGCTGGTGCATTCCAGTTCGTCGATGGTACTGCAGATGAATTGCCTTTCCCTTATCAAGTTAGTTGAGAACTACTTCAAATTCAAGTCAAATTTTAAAAACCACAAAATATATATAATCTTGTTTTTACAGGTAGTGTTCTTTGCTTATCCTCAGCAAGCAATGGCTTGGAGATATCCGCAACCGCGAACGTTAACAAGAATACATATATCTCCTGTCCCATTCGAAGTAAGCAATCGAACTTGATGTTTTAAAGATAGAATATTTTATACAAGTTTTTTTTGCCGATATATAACTACATTGTCAATTTATTTTCATTTTCGTATTCTAGACAGTGGACGCCAACGGCAATTACATCGATAGAATTTTCTGCGTTCTCGAGTACTGGAGCGACAGTCACATGTCGTATCAGCGTTACGCTGACTTTTACTTGTCGGAAACGGATTCCTATCGAATAGAACTACCGGAAAAAGCGCCAGCGCGAGCAGTAGCTTGCGTATGGCGTGTGGTTATCTTATCGAGTAACAAGAGATCGCTTTCGAAAAGTGTAGTTTCCGCTCGTGTTCTTGCGGCCTGTCTACGCATCGACTCGTATTTCAACCCCTTAATAATACCGAATATTCAGATCGCTCTAAATATCGGTGTGCTTCATATATCACTGTACAATCATATCGATACGACCGTGTACAACAACTTGCCGCCTCCATTAGACAAATATACGCTGAACGGTAAAATTCCTGAAATACAGTGTTTTATGTCGATAGAACAGAAAAGAGCTATTTTGGTGTTTAACAAATGGATGGACAATTCCACGCTGGTTGATATTGGCGGTACGCTGAGCGTGCACGTACTGGATTACAGTCATTTAACTATGCAAGAGGTATTGGACGCTCTGGAAGGAAGATTTCAGTTGTCATTGTCGAGCAAAACGGACGCTTCATTAACGTGCAGTCCGTTTACACTAAAATTAGGGCCAGCAATTACCCATACTCTTACGGTCTCCACTCATTTGTGGCTAGCATCTTTCAACGAAGAGGAGAAGACCGTGATTATTCTAACGCGTTATGTGATCGCCAACGATAGCAATATATCTATCCGTTTTGGTCAAAGCGGCACCGGGGACAGTATACTCCTCGAGAACAGACAGTGCAACTTTTACTCGTGGCGGCAGATCGGCAATCAGATGATACGGATATCGATCGAGGAACAGGCCTGCCGGCCTGTATGGAGTCGACCATTTCCCGTTAACAAAGATGGGACCCAAGTGATAGAATTCAACAATTCGACGAATAGCGCGGTAGTTTTCGTAAACGTTACATCACTCTCTGCTACTCAGAAACTCGTAACGTTCTCGGGACAACTTGTGATTTCCAATCAGCTGATTGACAACTTCGAGATGAGATTGGTAAAATACGAAGCCGAGGTTGGATCTAAAGTGACAGTCTCAAAAGAAGTTTATCCTATACCGGGAAAGAGTTTTCCGTCATCTATTGTGCTCGAGAGCAACAAGAAGATGGCTATGCGGCTACGCTTTACGAACTTGACGCACTTATCTTGGACCGGAGATATTCCTCTGCAACCCAACGTCAAATGGGGTCAACCTTGGCTTGTAAAAGTGCCGCTACAAGAACGCGGGCAGTTTTTAAGTATTTGGGTGCGGATAGTGGCGCAGACAATACAAGAGAAAGTAAAAATCCTTGCGGTGCTGAGTCCTCTCTATATGATCAGATCGCATTTGCCGGTACCGGCGAGAGTGCAGATAGAAACGCCGTCTCTGAAGACGACATCGTGCACGACAGTAATCGGTCGTGGCGAGTGTCAGCAGTTATATTGCCCCGGTACGTTCGAACACTTCCATCAGTTGACATTTCAGCTGGAATCCGGTGTTTCCGCGTCGAATCCTTACGTGCCACTCTCGTATAGTTCCGTGGACCAACGGAAATTTTTCAGAAGACCCGAGGTTGAAGATATCGATAAAATTCTGCGAGATCTCAAAGACAGAAAAGACGAAGTAAAATGGCCTTTCCAAGAGGATGACATGGAAGACTGGATATCTGCGGAACAGCCGCAAACGCACGTGCAAGTGAAATATCAGGATGCGGGATTGGTTTCCAGCACCTTGTTGCTAGAACTGCAACCTTGGTGCTTCGTAATGAATTCGCTGGGCTGTCACATCTCACTGGTGTCGGAAGACACGGAGCTGTGCCAAATCCCTCACTACGGCATCGTTACGCCACCTAAATTAGAAGGTACGTTCTACGTGGGTGTCGGAATCGGTGACACTTATTACACGTCCCAGACATTGCAACTGACGCGACCCGACTGGAACCAGGGCTTTTACATGCCTCGGATTAACGGCCTCATACCAGTTGAAGGAAACATTAAGACATCTGTGGACTGCGGCACAAGCGTGTCGATATTGAACATTGGCTCCTCCATGCACGAGGACATGCGTCTGGTGCGGATTACAAGCAGCCACGTGATCGCCAATTTGACGACTCAAGAATTGTGCGTTGCTACTCTGGCGGTGCACGAAGAGGCGAAGGATCTCCAGTTGCCTCACGATCTCACTCCCTGCAGCCTGAATATTTTACCATCTGAGGATCAGAGACAGGGTACTCCGATTGTGCAGTGGTATACACTTTACACTGAAAGCAACGTAGAACCGCTTGTGTTGTACGTATCTTTCAGCCTCGGTCACAGATGGTCCTGTCCAATTAGAGTAGATCAAACTATGAGCCGCAAATCTGTTGCGATTCCGAACGGCTCCTCCTCCATGCCAATTATCGTGACAACGCAGGAGGACAAAGATATCACGTTTATCGTGATACACGTCGACGATCATCCGCAATTGTTGATCGAAAACGCTTGCGGCTTTAAAGTTCTACTCGGCCAAGCCGACGAAAGCGGGAATAAAATTTTATCTGACAGCGCGCACTTTTCGTGGATATGCGAAATCGACAGCGGAGCGACGTTCCATTATTCTCTGCCCTGTGTCAGTAGCAGATTGCCCGATACTGCTGTGCCCAGCGCGTCGAATGTGTTGTTATTTTCCACCGTGCAAAACGATCAGGCGGCAAGAAAGGGGAGCTTAAAGTGGTCGAGAGGCGTAAATCTCTCCGCGTTGTCATCCACACCGATAGATCAGTATCTGCGACTACCTTCGTACGGAGACGTAAAGCTCATAATGCAGAATTGTTGTTACACTATTCACATCAGCATTGTGCCCATCTCTCAAATCGAAATATCTGCTCAAGATATCAGAAGCAGATTGTTGCGGAAGAAGAACACGGCGAAGGATTACGATGCAACATACGACGGTTTTTCCCCATTAAGATCAGAAGAAGAAAAAGTTTTAGCGCACATACAGAGCTCAAGTAGTTCAACATCACTGACGAGTTTTTTCTCAGCCGAAGAAGATGCCTTGCCCGCGGAACAGATTGTTGCATCGAGTGCGAAACAATTAATATCGAAATCGACAGATACGAAACTTTGCACTGATGAAAGTCAATCGAAATCTATCGGTAACGTCAACTCGAGCAGTCGCAAGGAAGGCTCCGCAACGGTTTATCTGCGCGCGTGTACCATCGTCATTCTTCATGACATCAATGAAAACGCGCAAAGAATCGAAGTCGCAAGCTTGTCCATGACGGACGTGATTGTTACCTTAAATTCGAAGGGCCGATTTATTAATCTATATTGTTACATAAGCGACTTGCAATTGGATAATCAATTGTTTGATCAAGGAGGTTTCGATTTTCCTGTGGTATTAATAAGCCAGAATCCGTTGCCAAACAGAGAACAACTGGTGTTTTACAGTAATAACTGTTTAATGACGAATCTGGAGAAGATCAAACAAGATTCTTTAATAGCCATCGAGTATGTCTTGGAACTAAATGGAAATATGATGGGTATGTATATTTTTTGTTTATTGTGTAAAATATACATCTGTTTTTTAATAATGTTTACTATTGTAGCATCGAAGGAATATCGCATGAAAATTGCGCCTATTAGCGCATATATCGAAGACACGTACGTAACGCAGTTATTGGATTATGCAACTTCGATGATCCCACCTCGTTTAGTATTGAATGATACTTCTAAAAAGATACAAACTGTAGTAGTGTCAAACGCGGTGTACATTCCAGACTATATTATGATTGACTCAAAGATCTTGAGCAAGCCACTGAGACTGCAAACATTCGTGATAGAACCACTGTCCATTTTATTAAGTGTTCATACTTCTGTAAGACTCTACGTTGCCTTGGATCATTCCCCGTTGTATTTCGGCACATTTGAAAGAAAAAATCTGCTAACCACTCCTTACAGACTCGGTAATACGCTCACAATGCATTACTTATCTGGCGCCATATTCGGAGCAGGTCAGTTACATCTACGCGCAAACTTTTATTTTGCGTTAACAAAGCAACTAACGACGTCTTTACGTTATAGGTTGGATAGTTGGGTCACTAGAAATACTTGGATCACCAGGAGGTTTAGCGCAAGCTCTTGGATCTGGTCTCAGAGATTTCGTATCGCTCCCGTTTCAAGGACTGTTGCAGGGCCCATGGGGCTTTATTGTTGGAATCACACATGGATCGGCTAGTTTGATGAAACATGTGACAGCAGGTATGAAAACTTTATTTCAAATATTTAAGGTACGAAAACTTTTTTCCAAATATTTAAAAATAAATCGTTATTGTATCAATTTACATACAGGTACTGTAAATTCCGTAACGAAACTAGCATCCAGCGTAGCACGAAATTTAGATCGTCTAACATTAGACGAGGAGCATCTTCAGCGACAAGAGGAATCGCGCAGGATGCGTCCTCAAGGCATGGCGCAAGGACTTTATCAAGGCTTGACTGGTTTCGGAATGAGTCTACTTGGTAGATCTTTTTTTTTACTATACAACAATATATCGGTTTCTCTCGTACATAGAATGTCTAATTTTTAATTGTAATTAGCGGCTGTGGCTGGTTTGGCACATCATCCTTTACAGCAAGTGTGGTCAGGCGAGGCGACAACCAAAAGTTTAGTCACTGGGGTTGGACTCGGCCTAGTTGGCGTCGTTACCAAGCCGTTAAGCGGCGCTGCAGAATTGGTCGCTCTTACCGGACAAGGGCTGTTACAAGGAGCTGGATGGAATTCACTGCCTACAGTAAATTCAAACAATAAAACCCCAGTTTACGAATATGTTCTGTTACTAACATTTAAAGTTTTCTTCTATTTTTACAGCCGCGTCAAAGATCAATTGTGCAATATACTACCGGCAACAGCACATCTGTACGATATATCTGGCGTTTGTCGTCCTTACTCGATCACAGTCATGACAGTATTCTTCACGTGACCAGTGCGGACTACGTAATCCATCAAGGCAGTAATCGCGCGGTAACGCTAGTTCTCACGCGACAAGCTCTATTGCTTGTTAACATGGCGGAAGACAGCGTAGAACGGATATTTTCGCTGAAAGAGCTTACAAGTGTCGATCACATCACAGAATCCACGATGTTATGCTTGTATTGTCCACCAGCTGCGACGCAAACCAGCAGACCGTTATCGCCGACTGAACACGAGGTAAAGTAACAAACTTTACGAACTTTAATAGTTTAAATTTTAGGTAATTAATATCTATTTTTCGTTTAAGATGAATCAAGAAATGAGGGCGCGAGTTGAAGAGTACGTACGAACAAGCAGTACTGGTTTAGCCAGCGTGTCAACGAACAGCGACAGACAGTCCGATACTTTTGAGAGAGTATCTCCGCATCCAGAGCATACGCTTACATTTTATGTTTGCCCGGATACTCGAAATTACTTGCTTTCGTTATTTAATATTGCTAAACGACAAAATCAAGGTTCAGGTTTCACTGTATTATAACGCAAATGAACTCCCAGCCAATTCCTTTTAATATGCAATAATCGAAAAGAATCCCACCAAATAACTGTTTTTAACAAGCAATGTTTAAAACCATGTCTAAAAACCAATATTTATACAAAGTAACTGTTCAAACACTCATATTTTTTACTTTTATGAAAAAACACTCATTGCACACAAGTTTTTTGATAGTTTTGTTTTATATAGATAATATTTACAAATTATTTCTCGTTGAGACTTTTATGATGTATAAATTTATATTAAACGATGATATGTACGCAAGGTGTGTAAATCATACAAATTATACATATAAAAAATTATTGCAATTTATTTAACAAAAAACTGCTACAAAACTGATACAAAAAAAGGACATATACTTTATTTATGAATGATTCTATAATATATGTCATATTTGTATATATATATATATATAAAAAAATAGAAAGTAATAAATTTTTTTATAAGTGTATCCAGCAAATTGTCCATTTCATCAAATGGCCCAAATGACATAACTCCTCGTATACATCATATCTCATATAATATTTTTACCAAATCAAACTTAAAAGCATGCAAATAAGTTCTTAAAACTGAAGAAATGTTAAATAACAAATTCTCCATAAAAAATCATATGTTTCAATTCTATTAAGATCTTGAGAGTTTTTCCCCAAAACTGTATTTTTCAACCATGTTTATCGGTTGAAAAACTATTGGGCCTTTAGATAGAGTGAAAAACTCGAATTTTCGAACAAGACACGAGGTTTGATCCCGTGTCCATTTTGTTTCAATTATTTATGATAATAAGAAAAAAAAATACTTATATTAAAACCCTGATAAAAGAAAATGCAGTGACAGCACTTGCATAGTTATAGAGTTATAAAAGCTTTCTTAAAGACTTTTTAAAGCCTTCAAATCAGAGTTGAACAAACTCATACTTGTTAAAATTTACCTACCTAGATGAGTAATTTATATTTCGCTACATATACGTATGAATTCGTTCAACTTCGTTTGATTTGTAAGGAAGTCCACATAATGTACACTGTTTATAGACAGCAGACAATAATTGTTTTCTACATATCTTATGTCTGCATGGTAGTTTATAAAGAATACAATTTTCACAGCATTCACACCTTTCGCTTGTAGCAATCGAATCTACGTTTTCTGTAATTAACTTGACTTCGTTGTTCAACAAAAGTTTGTTTGAATTGTCATTTAACAAATTATCATTAATATCGATTGATGATGATTGTACGTGACTTTTTGGTTTTGTTACAATAAAATTTGATTGTTTCAGTGGAGACTGTCTTGTTACAACTGCTGGTAACTGATGACAAAATCTTTTTGTTTGTTGTGAATCATTATTATTATCAATCTCTTGCTTGCATGCATCTAATGTAGCATGTTTAACAGTTCTCTTTATGCGCTTATTGTTTTGCAAACACTTTGGTATTATTCTCAGTCTTCGTGTCATAATCGAAGTATTACTATGACCTAGAACTCTTGGCATCTTTTTTATTTCATCCTTATCGCTATTTTCTAACAGAAATTTATCAATCCTTGATTTTAAAACAGGCAGTAAGATTGGATTGATGTTGTCAAATGGAATACCAGTAAAGGGATCTGACACTGCTCTCCCCCAAATATTTTCATTTTGTTCAAATTTTTCTAATGTGCTTTCATCTATCACATTTCCACTAGGCAGTAAAACAGGCTGAGTCATTATTTCCCATGTAATAGGATCCAAGAAATCTTTAGGTATTTCAAACTGTTTTTTAATTTCTTGATCACTTTGATTTTCCTGCCTATATATAAAGATGCAAAAAATATTTTGTTTTAAATATCAGAGCAACAGTTATAATTTAATATATTAATTATATACAAATTATTTAATAAAAAAATTAGTGAAACAATTCTGTGTGCACAATTACTTATATACAATTATAACTTACTGTTTTTCCACGACGTTTTCAGGAGCAGGAACAGTTTGATGTTTATCATGTGGTGGCAATGCATTTAATAAAGTCCTAACTTTTTCTAGAACATCCGGTCCGCAGATAGGCGATACTCTTCCCCACACTTCCACCTTTCTCAAAGCTGGCACCGATTTTTCAGTCTTTGTAATAGTTATTCGTAAAACTCGAGCAGACATGACTGAAGTCGGTAGACGTGGTTCAGATCGTGCTTTCATGATATGTTTCACGAAATTTGGTGGTGTGGAGATTGTATTGGGTTTAGTACTACGCAGATAAAACAACACTCCTTTGTCATGAGGTGTCAACATCGCGTTAGCTATGGGAGTATATCGCTCGTAAATGGTATTGCTGGTTTTGGTGGAAAGTATGAAGCCCGACGACTTCTGCGATCCAACAGATGGCCAAATCAGTATGTGACTTATACGCACACTACACTCGAAAGTGATTTCTATATGAACTGGCGGTTTAATTGTTGAATAAGCCAAGAATCCTTTTTCAGGATCCGTTATCAAATTGGTAACTTCATATCCGTCTGTACAAATAGTATCGCTCCGAATATTCGAGCATAAACGAGAATCACAAAAGTTTAAATACATTTTTGTGAGTTTTGTAACAATTTAAAAGTACTTCCCTCTTCTTTGCTAGTGTGGTGCTTTGCTCCTTCGCGTGAAAAACATATGCCAGTCTGGGATTAAATTGTTCTCCGAAGGTAAACTGATGTAAGACCACACAAAAAATTACTCAAAACTATCTTCTACGTACGTACGACTGTTACGGCCATAGTTCAGACGCTTACAGCATGCTGTGGCGGTGAAACGGTGGAAGGGATGCGCACAAAGTAGCGAGTAAATACTTGCTGATGTTGTGCGCATCTCCTCCACTTGCTGCTGCATGCTGCAAGTGTCTCAAAACTGGCATCTCTGCACTGGTTAAAGCCATCACACATAAAATTACTTAAGATAGTAAAACGTAGCCGTAAGAAAATTGACCAATCAGAAATTTACGTCCAAAAGTGATTACGACATAGTATACATTGGGTGCGTTCAGACAACTCAACGGTTGAGAGATCATCACTTATGATAGGACTATTCTTCAAAATTTGCTGCGATTCCAAAAGTATGATCCAATCAAAAGTGATTATCTCTCAACCGTTGTGCAACTGTTGAGTTATTTGAACGCACCTATTCTGATTGGTCAATTTTTTTACGGCCACGTCTTACGGTCTTAAGTAATTTTATGTGTGATGGCTTCACTTCTCTGCGAAGTTCAAACGAACAACAAGCAGCAAACCGGGAAAATTTTATTGTTGATACTTATGCAATAACTATATAATTCCATCAACAACAAAGAATGGCATCGAATGAGAGTTAGGTAAGAGCAGCAAATATACCTAGCGGAAGCAGTCCTAGAAAATTTGAGTCACGTGACGTTTTGCTGCCGCAGCGTGCTGCTGTATGAAAAGTACCTTAAGACGATTTTTGACGATCGTATGGTACATATACCAAAGTGTACCAAACCATAGTTCGAGTGACTTCAAATTATAGTTTGGTACACTTTGGTATATGTACCATACAATCGCCAAAAATCGCTTATAAATTATTGGATTTTACAAAATCATCTCACCGTGATTGGTTGATTTCTCATCATAACTCGACTGCATCTTAACGAAGTATTATCGATAACTATCACTATCGAAAAGATCGATACTTCGAGCTGACGTTTCTCTACCTAATTGTTTTCGCCGTGCTCGAAGCTGACGTGTGTGTCTCATACAACACCACCTGGCATGTGTGCGCATGTTTATTCATAGTTTATAATCTTTTCTCTCGCTAACTGGTACTAAAATTATTATGCAAAATATGTTAAAACACGGAAGTATTCTTATTGTTCTTCTGTGCATTTTTGAGTTTGGGACCGGTTTGTATTTTCATATCGGCGAGACGGAGCGAAAATGTTTTATCGAGGAAATTCCTGATGATACCACCGTTTTGGGTAAGATCTAATGTGAAATTATCTAAATTATCTCTCTCGTAGAATAAAAGCTTAAGTAATTAAAAGAGGAATAACTCATTACAAAAAGTACTATTTGTAATTTTGCAGTCAATTATAAAGTAGAACTCTATGATCCAAGAAGCGGTGGTTTCATGCCAAGTACTCACGGTATTGGCATGCATGTTGAGGTAAAAGATCCTGATGAAAAACCAGTACTTTCTCGAGTCTACAGCGCAGAAGGTCGATTTTCTTTCACTTCGCATACACCAGGAGAACATATTATTTGCCTGTACTCTAATAGTACCTCATGGTTCAGTGGTACCCAATTGGTAAAACATATATGTATTCTATGAAACCAAGCTTTTGAGAGTTAGCAGAAAAAAGTAAGAAAAGTTTCTACTTACAGAGAGTACATCTAGACATTCAAGTAGGAGAACATGCCATTGATTATGCCAATGTGGCACAAAGGGAAAAATTATCAGAACTTCAGCTTAGAATACGCCAACTCCTAGATCAAGTTGGTCAAATAACCAAAGAACAAAATTATCAGAGAGTAAGAGAGCAAAGTTTATTTATAAAACAATTTACATATATAATATGGAGAAAACATAGTGAGAAGTATCGTACGTGTAAAATGTACATTTATAATTTATTTATTTTTCAGTATCGGGAAGAACGTTTCAGGCAAACATCAGAAAGTACCAGTCGCCGTGTGTTCTGGTGGTCTCTGACACAAACCGTGGTTGTCCTGATTATGGGTGCCTGGCAAATAAAACATCTGAAGAGCTTCTTTGAAGCTAAGAAATTGGTTTAATTATGATTAATTGTTAATTATGTTGTAAAATATGATACTTTCAACGCAAAACACTCATGTTTACATGTCTATATTTCACTTGTAGTTTGTCATCATAAGCAATTTACGTTACACATTTAGTGTGGCTCACATATTTGTATGAACATACTACATATATTTACTATACTATATAATAAAGTCCTTGTAATTATATATATTGTACGCCATATGGCATATACAATAACAATGTAAAAATAATTTATATTATTCTATAAGTATTCTCTCTTTTTCTTTTCCCGCTCATACATTATACGTTTTAGAAAATGACACTGCGCGTTGAAAGCGTTTGTGGCAATCATACAAGTACATAGAATTTTTTTTTTGCACGTAGAAATTTTCTTCCGAGGTCACGTACAACGCGCATGCGTACAAAAACAACCTGACATACTACTGTAAGATTATTCGATACGCGGCGCCACATACCGGGTGGCTGTGGTTGACGCGTTGTTGGCGGTGGTTTTTGCGAGAGACCGTGTGCACGCGAAAGGCACGTGGCCGGACGAGGATTCGAGAAGCCGAGGAGCGAGCGTGCTCGTGCTCGAGGCGAAGAGGAACTCCGAGCGTAACTCGCAGAGGAGATGGTCGCTAAGGAGCAGTCGTGCCGTGCGTCGAAACCTTATATAATAAGAAGCCGGTCGTATCGCCCGTGCGAACCGAGCAGCTGATTTGTAACATAAACAAGTATTTTATTGTAATAAAGATTTATGTGATCTAGTGCATTGGAATTGGAGTGTCGAGATAATTTATTGAATTTACACTAGTCATTGTCGAGTCGTGAGCTGTCTGTCGTGTCGAGCGGGGAACAAGGTGTCCTTGGCTTCGGTATCTTTGGTTTGTCTCTGTTGTCCGGCTTTGTTCTCTGGAAGTGTGCCGGTTATACGGATAGGAAAAACAGTCGTGACTTTGAAGCGAAAACTCGGTTGTTTGGTAAACGGCTGTGAAAGTCGAAAACATTATGTAAGCCGTTAGTCGTCGGTATCTCGAGTGGAAGAGGAAAAATAAAATCGAAGTTAATATTCGAAAATTTAACGGTAATAAATAAATTACACTACAATTTAGATTGTCTTGCGTAAAAGGTGAATGATGAGATACGTTCGCGATACGAGTTTACACGTACTAAGGTACATTTCGGAGTTGGTCGTTGTTATTCGTCGAGTCATCGCGGTTAAGTAATACATGTTATTGGATTGAAATATGACATTTAAAATCAGATTTCATCATCGATGTTTTGACACTGGTGAGTTATTTCGTTTGTTGTTCGCGCGTTATTGACTTTTCTCGTGTTGACATTTTTTTGGTGAATCTTCAAAAAACATATTTGATTGTCAAATTTTTGTCAGAAATTTATGCACCGTTAAAAAATAGACTAGACGTTAAAATCTTTCTCGAATAATTCGTTATTCTTCGTCGTACCGGAGGTATTTCGATTTCAATTGCTGTGAGAGGTTATGATTTCTGTCAGAATTATTTATACATTCCATTTGCTCCGATTATAATTTATCATGTACGAATCATGACTATATTTAACTAGAAAAATGTAGCAATTTTCTTTTACATCTACCGCACAATACGTCATCAAAATTTATATTGTAATAAGTTAGGAAAATATTTATTAAGCTTGTTATTATTGTATTGCTATTCACATGATTATTAAGCATTTTTTCATTTTTTTTTAAAGCGCGTCGTCAGTAAACAACTGCTGAATAATATAGATTTTTATTTATCTGTCATAGGTGAAATCTTTGTATCTTTCCATACTGTAGCATGGTCTCTTCCATGTACAATATTAAGACGTGCATAACAACTTAACAACGTGTCTTCCTTGAAAATATTTTGTGGAGCAACATCAGTAAAATGGAGATTTCAATACGAGACAAAGTTCTCACTTTTGTCGATATTATAATGAGAGTGCCACCTTTATTTATAATTGATGAGTTACTCAAAATTTCTCTCGGGATATCTGTTAATGATGATTATATGTCAAAACTAAACATTGGCTATCCTATTTCATCAATTGCAATAGACTATGATGATTTTCTGATGAAAGAATTATTCTTTACTGATATTCCTTACAAATATTATTTGATAATCTCATGTAAAATTGTATGTTGTTGTTTAGGTGAGTAAAATCATTTGATTTTTACAATATTTACTCTAAACTGTATAACTAAGAAATATGCAAAGATACATATCCTATTGTATAGGTTAATGCATATGGGTCATTGGTTTCTTAATAAAGAGGCAACTTATATTTGTATGCAAAGTAATTTTTGTGCTTTATCATGTGAAAATAGTTTGGGTGATGTTTTTTAGAAACAAAAAATATATGGTTGCATATATCTTATAGTAGAGTTTCTTATATGTGTCATATTTTGTCTTTATATTTTTTATCTTTGACTATCTGATAAAAATAATAATAATAATAATATCTGATAAGATAATTTTTTTAATTCAAAAATGATAAAATACAAAGTTTGTTGGTTCTTTAATATATTTATAATATTAAAAGAACATTTTTTTATTGCATCTTATATTTTTCTTATATTTACTATCTTTCAGGATGCATCGCAGCCTTATACATGTTTATGTTGTGTACTCAACATTTAATAATTATATATCAATATCTGATATCTGTGGGACTGATATTTGTCTCATATTGGTCAAATGTCAGTATGATAAAAGCGATTATAGCTTACATGAATGTTCATGAATCCAGCGTTCTTGACAATGCATTAAGTCTGAATCTATCAGAACTTCTATATAACGGTCCAGGACTTCTGATTATTCAGAACTACATATTTCAACTTCTGCTAGCTAGTATGTTTTGCTACATTCATCTTGCTCCGAGACATTCTTTAATTCAGAAGCTTCTTGTGATGAGCTTCATGTCACCATCTATGTTGAGTATTCTTCCTTTACCGGTAAGAACTCACAAAATATAAGCTAAATAAGTTATTTTTATAAAAAATATAAAAATGTGTGCTTTGTTAATAATAATGTAAAAAAAAAATATTTTCTAGGTACAATATCTGCATCATGCGCCAGTGTGCGCGACAATGATTCCACTGGGTGTATGTAAATTCATCATCTGGTATAACGGTGTCTCTATGCTGAAAACAATCTACATAGGTTATCAACATAAACGTAATTTCATAATCAATTACGGTGTGTCCGCTCTCGCGGAAACAGAATGGATGCGTTTAAATGTACCGTCCGTGCTTCGTACATTTTGGATACTGCGCGTGATAGATCAAGTCAGACAAATTCTCAGCGATGACTACGGCGAAGACACATTCAATTATTATGTCATGATCAAAATGCTGTTGGTAAATGGCTGTGAAACTTTAACGGCCGTCCTTGGCATGACTAGTATAATCTCGTTTATTTGTCATTATATCGGTTGTTTCTTCCAATGGATACTGCTGACGGAAGACGAAGATGAGAAAAGTATAGGCACTGTGTCCGCCATATTATTCTACATTCTCGCTTTGCAAACAGGGCTCACGAGTCTTGATAACCAAAAACGTTTGGTACGGCTCTGCCGTAATTTCTGCTTATTATTCACAGCAATTTTGCACTTTGTGCACAACATAGTAAATCCACTCTTAATGTCACTCAGCGCTTCTCACAACCCGGTTCTGCATAGACATTTGCGGGCGTTGGCAGTCTGCGCGTTTCTGATTATCTTTCCAGTGTCGTTATTGACGTTTCTGTGGTCGCATTTCACAGTGAGCACGTGGCTATTGGCTGTATCAGTCTTCAGTATTGAAGTAATAGTCAAAGTACTAGTCTCACTGGCAATTTATTCGCTATTTCTGATTGACGCGTACAGAACCGGGTTCTGGGAGCAATTTGACGATTGCGTGTACATCATAAAATCATTCGGTAATACAGTGGAATTCGCTTTCGGCATTATATTATTTTTCAACGGTTTTTGGATACTAGTCTTCGAATCCGGGGGAGCGATTCGTGCTATGATGATGTGCATACATGCCTACTTCAACATTTGGTGCGAGGCCAAAGCCGGATGGAGTGTGTTTATTAAGCGCAGAACGGCTGTGAACAAGATCAACTCTTTACCAGAAGCGAAAGCCGAGCAGCTCGCGATGCTGGACGATGTTTGTGCGATTTGCTATCAAGAAATGCAGAACGCCAAAATCACTAAGTGCAATCATTATTTTCATGGCGTATGTTTGCGGAAGTGGCTATACGTTCAAGACCGATGTCCCCTTTGTCACGACATACTATACAAAGTGGAAAACGTGCAAAATAGAGACTCCGGCAATCCAGAGGAAAACAGACAGAACATTGAAGATAACGTAATCGTGCAAGCCGAACAAAATTCGAATGTTCAAAACAATCAAAGTCCATCGTCCAGGCCACGTAATGCACAAAGGTGAAATAACATGTACGTAGTTTTCCATATATATTGTGTGATATAATATAAATAAAACAAGATACTTAATAAAGTAAATGGTAACAATTAAAATAAAGTAATTAATAAAGTAAATGATAACAAAACCAGTTTCTCATAAAGTATCGATGATCGGAATCTCGCTCAAACACACTTTGCTCTTTATGTGTGAATCACTCTTTATGAACTTATATATAAAATAATATAATAATTATTACGAAAGAACTTAAAATCGTTTGTTTAAATTTCGAAAATCTATATAGACATAATTATTTTTAGAACAAAGATCACGATCATATTGTAAAAAGTACTTGGCGTATCAACGACCCTTTGACCGATTCAATAACTGATATCTATAGCTAAATGTATTTTTGGATAATTATTACGTTATAATCGCATTGTATACATAGACAGAATCATAGTCTCTAATAATATTTCGCTTCCGTGTATGCCATGTGCTTCCACAAAACACACACATATATGTTTAAACTATAATTTTTTTTACTGATTTCTATGTTACTAAGACTTTTAACCTTTTCACTGCTGAATATTTGATAAATTAATTTGTTCGTAAAATATGAGTGTTCATAAACGTTTATACGTAAATTTGGTCACGCATTAATGGCATTTGATCAACTAAAGTTGTTTGATATAATTAATCTAAATGATTTCCTCATTACTGTAAGACAAGCCTTTTAACATATTTTGCATACATGCTTTTTTCTAGCTATTTTTATGTAAAAAGCTATACGCTCACAGCATTGATCGCGCTGTTATAAATTTTCTGTTTATATCGTAGCATAGTTTGCTTCAAAAGTCAGTGAAAGGGTACAAAGAAAATTTTATTTTTCTATCACATAATAAATAGTTTTTTTCGTTAGATCATAGAGAAACTGCACGAGATATCATTATACTATATACATACATAAATATGATATAATATAAACTGAAGAGACTGGAGCAAATTATTTTTGAAACTGAGAACATTAGCTTTGTGTTTTGTTTTTTCTAAATATATGTAACGTAAATAAACGACAATTTGTTTTTAATGCACATCGAGTGCAATTGATAATAATCAGTAATTTAAAAAATTCCTGTTTACGTTTTATTTAATGAAGAAATATCAAGTGAAAATCAAGATGATTTGTTTCTTTAGGTTTAATGTTTCGAATGAATTGTGGTTTAATATACAGGGTGGCTAACATTCGGAGTGTTGTCACATGTAATGATAATGACAATTGAATTTGTTTTTTATGGTTTGCACATATGGGAAAACTGAAACACTTTTATTCAAAGAATCATAACAAACAAAATCTCTGAACCACCCTGTAAATTAAAATGTATATGATAAATATGTAGATAAATTATAGAAAAGATATATATATATTTATTTAATGAGTGAGTTCTTACACTTTTATTTTGAATGTTTTATTTTAATAATTTATTTCTTTTTTATTTGTGAGAATTCGAAATTTTCAAGTTTTCAGAAAATCGTTATATACATGTGCAATCAGATAGAAGTAGTATAACAAATATATATTTATAGAAATTTAAAAATCTTCTATTATATTTAACATTATGTTAAACTAATATTATATTTTTATATTATTAATTCTTTTGTATCTCGCGAGGTATGGTTCATGTTTAATTTATTATGTTGACACATATTTGTTATAGATATATATAATCAGTGTTTAATAAGAAATTTATATAAATTTATAGTTATGTGTTTAGAGTATGTTGAGAATAAACATTATATTTTTAAACATTAAGACTTTTCAGTTTTTGTTCTCCCTTCTCTTTAAAGTTCCTGGCAATTTCAAGTTCCCGTCTCGGATAATGTCAAGAGCAAGAAAAATTATTGTTTGAAATTACTGCAATTCTTCGTTAAAAAGACTTTTCGTACGAATCCACTTCTACTCGATAACTCACGCGACAGTGAAGAATATATGTATACCGGGTCAAGGACGGATAACTTTATTGTCCTATTAGCCACTGGTCCGAGTATATTTTTATTAAGAATTTACATCGTTGAAAAGCGAAACATACCATTTACATACATGCGTACAATTTTCTATACGATTTTGTATACTTAAACAAATCCTGAATATCAAGAAAGTTGTATTTTCGTAAAGAGGAATACCGAGATTGTTGAACACGATCCATTTGCGCATTTGGAATTTGTCTTTAATACCTTCAAACTATTTACATCCATAGATAGAAAACAGTTTCGCCTCCCACTCGGTTTTGTATTTTATATTACGCAGTGTTTAGCGCTCGTTCCCCGCAGAAAGTCAGTCGCGTGCGTACCGTCGTTGGACACGGATCTTCTATACGTTCTCTGTTCTTCTATTCCGAGGCTACAAGTAAGCTACTTCTAATCCACCGTCATTAGATCGTAGATCGCATTCGGCAATAACCGTACACATTATTTGTATCTCGTGATTTATGTATAAGTTTGGCCAAACGCTCATTTCCACCTGTTTGTTGTTTCAACGCGTGATCCAAGCGTTTTGCAAAATATTCTAGAAATCAGCAAATATTAGCATCCGTTAAATAACTGATAAGAATACATCGTTACGCAAGTGACGATTCGATGTATTTGCGTCTTGAGAAAAAGATTTTTGCTTTGAAAAGCTATTTTGATTTAAATGAACCAAACAAGTGTTCCTTTGTTTCATGTATCTTTGTGATTCAATTTTTATTACAATATAATAACGAGAAATAAATAAAAGAAAGATGAGATAGGATCTAAGCAGATTTTTTTGTGTTATCGCAAAAGTCGCGCGCGATTGACTCCCATCGTCTGAATAAAGCACAACGCTGCTCCATATGCATCTATCATTGTACTGATAAAAGTGGGGAGAGTAAAACGACGATGGAGAAGGCCTTTCTTACCGATGGATATGTGCGAGAAGGGCTTTTTTTTCCATAGTGCGTACGCAACGAGGCGAGAGCGAATGCGTTCGCTATGCATTGCAACGCTATCGACATTTATGTAAGAATAAACGCGCTAATCTACGGAGCGTAGTTTTCGCACCGTTAAAATTACAACTTGGATTATAACCGACGGAAACAATTCGAGTAAAGATCAAAATCTCTGTTTTACTACTGGGAACTTATAAACGTAATAATAAAAGGTCCTTTATTGAATCTCACTTGATTACCACGATGATGACATTTACAAATCAGCGTTTTTTAACGAAAACTCCGACGGGTGACAGTCTTACGCTCTCTTCCGCGTTTTATTTCGCGCGGGAGTTATTAATAAAAGCATCCTCGTCGCGCATTGCGTCGCGTTGCGCTCTACACAAGGCCTTCATATATGCGGCGGTTTCTTCCGCGGCGAGATTGTCTCACGGCCTGTAATCAGAGTCGCTAGATCTTTCCGCCGGGGCTAATTAGAAGCGAGGGATGAAAGGATTCCTGCGCGGACAATCAACAGCATTGCACTGTCGTAGACGTGATGGCTGTCTTCGTTTCGGACTTTCTTGCTAATGAAGTTAACTGGCGATTACGTTATCGCTCTCTCGGTTGTTTGTTACGTGGAACATACTGTCGGAAAACTTACGTATCAATTATACATATAGATCTTTGCAATAAGAAAATTACTTTCAAATAATGGAGGTTTAATTTTTTCGCGCGAAAACAAACAAACAGAAAAAAAAGAAGCTCGTGATCGTAAAACGGTATCGATTCAAACGGTTCAATTTAGAATGAAAACAACAGAGTCGAGAGTGCAACGAACCGTAGCGATTGTTCGTCATATTGCCGATTTCCGCGTGTCGTCGTGTAATAGTCACGTCGCCGTGCCGCTTTTACAGACGTACATATACCCTATCTGCGCGCACGTGCACGAAGAGAAGACTTGCGGCGTATTACATGCATATCTAATAACATACGGCGCGGGTAAATAGCTTCCGTGAAGAGCTCGCGCATCTTCCTTTCGGAAACACTCCGAGTCGGTGTTTGACGCATCATTTATTCCGTTATTGCGATCACACTTATTATGAGTAAACTCTGGGCAAATCGAGAATAGCAAACAGTCTGTAAAAATCAATCCAAGTATATTTTCTATATAAAAAAAAAAAAATAAGTATAAAACTTTTATTTTGTGACTCTATATTCGTAGATCGTTTGAGCAGTTATTGCAGTCTCTGACTTTTGCTGACATTAAAGTTAGTTGAGTCTGTATAATTCAACTTTCCCACGGTTCAGTTAACACCCGGTAATTCCGATTGATTGTTTCCTCGCATAAAATCATGTTTCTCATAACGCGCGCGCGTTGGCGGCTGCCAAATCAATCTCCACGCTCTCGCGTGTTGTTACACATATTTCGTAACTTCAGACTCGGAAAAAATTGAAGTAAATAGAGAGAAGAGATGAACGATATTTCCATCAGATTTACACACATTTCAATAATCGCTGAGTAAAATGTGTCCTTAGCTAATCGAAAATCAGCGAAATCGATTGCAAATGAAAATCGCATGATGTACAAGTCAATTTGACGGTTAAGATTTGTCAGAATCTGCAATTTCCAACATGTCAACAAGTAGCAATGAATCGGACGAAGACTTTCGACAGATTTGTGGCAAGAAGCTGCAAATCTCGGGATATCGTCGCGCCGAACATTCGGATCTCGTGCATTTGGATCGTCTAATACGTCCGGCGACTTACGAAATCTTCGGTGACGTAAACGTGGGACGAGTCTAGTACTTACAGCAAGAGTTTTCTTTCCGCTCGCATTATATCGGCAGTATAAATCGCATCATCTTCGCGCTCTTTCATGTACCGTTACGTGAAATTTGCAGCGAGACTTCCTGCCTCTCGATGGTCCAGCATAACGAGAGATACGACATCATTTCGGGAATATGTCTCTGCAATTATCCCAATGTTTCGTCCGTCCCGACATCCGACTGGTTGACCTGGTTAAAAACGCTCTATGGGTAAATCTTGTCGCGTCTCGCTTTCTTTCTCTTAACGAGTTTTGTTTTTTGCATAAAACGATTCCGTATCTCGTGAACGTCGAATTTAAACCGCGACTTACGTTTTTCTCGATAAGGATCTCCACCGTGACAGAAAGAAACACGAAGTTCGTGCATTTTCTCGCGTGGGACGAGCGCTACACGGACGAGTTCCTCAAAGAGTTGTTGATCGCGGTCTTCGACATCACTGTCTATTGCCAGCACGTGATCCTCGTGATACCACCTCGGGTTACGCCAGGTGACCTTCTTATCAATCTGTATCCGCTCGCCGATCCTTTTCAAAGCAGCGACGCAACGGTCAGGTAGTTCGCTGGAGAGTAGTAAGTAGTAGCAGCTCTGTGTAATTTTCCAGCGGACGTGTTCGAGCGAGAGATGACTAGGATCTTGCCTGAAAACACGCGGGATACTGACGCGCCGCAATTTCTGTATCTGATCGATCGGTATCGGTTATGTCCAAAGTTGAGAATACGGAAAGTCGTGTGAGAGAGCCAATTCGTTTCTAAATATTTGCTATAAAAGTGTCATTTTTGCAAATATACTATATGAGTTTCATATAAATATATCTATGGAAAAACACAACAAGATAGAGAGGAGGACAACGACGACGTGATAGAGATCATCAACGGTGAAAGGGCGCAATCGAAAGAGTTATACGGGGACTATTACGTCAGCGAGATAATTCGTTATCCGGACGGCCGTCGTCAATTGATTGTCGGCGAGGATGCTGACGGTACCGCGCAAGGCGTTGCGTGTCTCACCTCCAAGATCGACGTCGACACGCTGAACGAGAATTTCGAGTTGACGCCGTACAATGGTCTGAGGAGGCCGCACGAAAGCGACGACGCGACAATCAGCGTTAGCGAAGTAATTACGGAGCTTCTCCGCTCTGTTTTTTCGCGGGAATACACGCCGCGATTCGATCGCAGTGCGAAATACAATGCATCTTCTCGAGCGACGAAAGAGATTGAAGACGAACAAATCTGTGAAGTAACAAGTCGGTGTTTTATCGAGCTCGATGATCAATTCGATGTTATGTTAGCGTTGTTAAGACAATTAAGAGACTTATGATAATTACTTTCAAGGCGAGAAGAGCATCGGCGACGTAATTCCGCGGCGTTTGATGTATCGCGGCGAAGCAAACGCCTTTATCATGGAGATCTTAGCGATGCGCGAACCAGCGAGACCCCATTGGTCCCACGATTTCCTGGAGGCCGCTTTCGATTGCTTCCCGTGTTTGGAATATTGCGCGATTCTCCTCCCATCGTCGCATCCGTGCTATCAGTATCTTCAATATTTCACGGTCTTCAATATTTCTCAATCCATCAAAACCGTTCGAAATTCATGAGAAACCTTGCGATTCGAGTTTTCATAAAAAATGTGTGTTGTTATTTTAGCGTGTACCGTTGAGATACAACAAAGATTTTCCGATGTCGTTGTACGTCGTGCACCGAGCGGCTCTTCGCGAGAAGATCGAGTGTCGTCGAGCTCAAGCGCGCGATCGAGAAGCCGTGAAAGAACTTTTGTCCGTTGTATCGACGAAGCAACTAATCCTAACCGACTTCGATCACGCGACGGATCGTCTGCAGCTCGACTTCGACTGCTTCATCTTCGAATGCAACGACACGATACTCGGGCTCGCTATATTGCGGTACTCGTTATCGAGAATTGAAGTTTCTCTCTTTTAGAAAAGATTCGGATTTCTAAAAAAAAAAAATTCAAGTATCCTCTTTCTTCTCTATCTTTCACAGTGCTGAGAAACAAGCAAATCGCATCAGAAGTCATCACCATATAGAAGATTACGTATCTGTGCGGAATATTCCTCACGACGGTTACGGTTGTCTTTTGCATTTTGTTCTTACACCGATTTTCTATACTCATCATTCTTTTTTTTTCTGCGAGATCGCGCGTCTGAGCGAATTAACGGTAATCTTCTCGCGTCTTCATCATCAAGATGAGAGCACATCGGTGAGCGTTACAATATTTTATTCGCAGAGTTTGCGATAAAAAAAAGACGGTTTCGCGCGTCGTCGTCGACTGACTGTAAATGAAAATTCACGTTGAAGACTAAAAGTTACGAAACTTCATTTACAGACTTCTCTCGCGTCTTGCCTGGACAGTATGATTCCGGTGAATCCTCGCGGATCAGCTGAATATGAGTTTCCAATTAGTCCGAAACATCTCGATACCTTCGGAAACGACATAAATGATGAAGTAAATGATAATAGATTTTCCTTATTCGTGACATCTCCGAGACTTGCAACGATGCCTCGTGTCAATATCGATACGAAAATCGTTATCGTCGGTGCGTCAGACTGCGGAATCGCTTTCGCGGAACATCTCGCTTTACGGTAAAGCAATTTTCAGGGTTAATTGTTTATCTCTCCAAGTAACTACACGTTTTAGTAATTAACAATGTCGAGTTTTGTAGATCAAGGCAGCGTTACGCGCACTTTACGAATCTCACGTTGATATCGCCGCATGGAATACCGTTCGATAATAAACCGAGTCGCGCGGAGACACGTTTACTTCCATTCAGAGGAAAATTCTGCTCGGAATATCGTCGTTGCGTGGCTGCAAGAGCTTGGATTAATACTATTTACGGGACTATGACATCAATTAACAGGTGGTTATTCGAGTTACACTGTAACGCCGAGGTTTCTTTAACTGTTGAATTTTAACACACAGAAAAGAAAAATACGTCACGGTAATGAATCAGGGAAATCTCGCTTATGATTATTTGATTCTAACATGCGGTCTACAGTATCGGAAACCGAAATTGCGAGAGAGAACGAGAACGCAAATGCAAAAGCACGAAGATAATCAAAAATTACCGTGGAATTGCCTGACAATAAACGACGATACAGAAGCTTCTGTCTGTTTGAGAAAAATTCGCTGTCTAACAAAGAATCTAAAAGAGGAGAGCAAGTGTTATATTATAGTCAAGTGAATTTTACAATAGATTATAGATAAAAATGATTTTTCTATATAACAATATTCTCTCGAATAGAGGAAATACTCTTTTACGGTCACAATATCGATTGCTACTGCACACTCGGCGGTTTGATCGAGTTCGGCGTAAAACCCTCATGGATCACGTTAATCGAGTCGAATCTAAATCCTGATGAAGCACACGACAAAGTTTTCTTCTACGATAACGAAGTATGTGCTTGAAAAAGTACGCTTTAGCATTTGCGTTATTTATCTGGTCAGTTGTTTAAAAAGAGCTCGTCTCTCGCTTTTGCCTTGGATAAAGGTCGATATTGCAGTGACGAACGCTATCTTACGAAGCGGAGTTCGAATTTTTTCCGAATGGAACATGATCGATTGGACTCTGAAAAGTGACGACAATGGGAAGTTGATGATAAAAAGCGTTGCGATCAAAAAGCGAGACGAGACGAAAATATTGAACTGCGACGCTCTCTTTAACTTCGACGAAAAAACGATCAACTCGGAAGCGTTTTCAGGTGGAGAACATAAACAAGTTACCTCGTTTAATCGAAGATATTTCGAGTTCTCGCTCACGAGATTTATACCGTCTCACAGCGTTTTGCCGTGCCGGTCTCGTTTTCGACGGTCTGCTCGTAATAGATCTGCAGCACCGTACGAACGATCCGTCGATTTTTGCCGCCGGTACCGTGACGAAATGGTCTAGAAGGTTTCGCATCGACTCCTGGCACCACGAGCACTACGACAGCGTGGAGATTGGCGAAAAAGTTTGCAAATTTACAATTAAACACACCGCTGTTTTCTTACAAGTATTAATTATTCTCTCACCTGTTTCGTATGCGCACATGTTTCCCGGAAGCTCGCTCAAATTTTACGCGGAATGATCGACGCTGATCGACAGGACAAACAAATTCCCGATTTACTTTCCCCTTTGTCGAAGAAAGAAGTGCATCTACCACTTCCAGCGTACCGTGCACCCGTTGTGATCGCTTGCGTTCTACCAGGGAATTATTATTATTTGCACGTCCGCAAACCTGGAAAGAAACCACGGCGCGGAATAACGATTAGCGACAACTCTTATGTGAGTCTTAACGGTAGTTAAACATTGCGAAACCCTAGTAACGTTATTCACAAATTGCAAATTTACATCAAAAAGACATATGTGCGTGTAAAAGTACACATTAATGATCTCCAATGCACGCAGGGTGAAATATTCGCAACCGGTTCTTGTAAATCTGAAATTGGGTATTTTCGTATTCGATTGAACACATGGAACTCCGTGGAAACTGTTACATGCTTCAGTGGAAAGGTAACGGTTTTTTTTTGTTCAACGAGAGAAGAGATACATTTATATTATTCCAGGCAATTTGTGTCGAGTATACGCGTCCGTCTTGTCATGTAAAAAATTATGGAGATATAATTTTTACTTCGTAATCTTGCAGATATTCCGAGTGCGCGATATGATCGCGTTACACGGAAAACACGAGAGCATGTTGAACGAGCTGAGATTCCGTTTTAGAGTAAGCGCTTCTGATGACGAAGTGACATTTTCCGATATTTATTTTCTTGTGCGCATTGACATTTCTAATTTCCGATTTTCTCTGACTCGAGTATAGAACTCGTGTATTCCGGATTTTTACGCGTACTTTCGCGAACCTTGGGCCGCGGCGATTCTCCACGACCGATTCGAATATCTGCGCATCGAAAATCGAGCTATCCTACTGTCGCAGAACGTAAGACGCCGTTTTCGCATTTGAACACTCAGTACACAACGCGATTATTATATTTATTTCTACGTAGGACACTCACGATGATTCCTTGGTCAATAATTGCGTAAACGCTCTTATCAAGTCCGATTGGAAAGCGGTGAGTGGTTTTATTCACGAGTTTTCATTATAGTAAAGATTTCGCGATTGAAACGCTTCGCGCGATTGAAAGAGCTCAATTTTTGTACAGATATCTAAAGAAGATAGCCGTTACATCGAGTTCAAGTACGCAAGCTCGACTTATCGTCAAGAACTTGAGAGAAATCTCCTGAATTTTCTGATATTTTGGGAAGACGATTTTCCAATGTACTATACCCCGTATAAGAAACGCCAAATGTACATGAACGTTGAGGAGAGTCCATTGTATTTTGAGCAATAAAACATTTTTTAACTAATTTATATATCAATAAAGAAATTCATAAGGTGTAAGAAAAATATCGAAAATATAATATTTATACACCTTCTTATAAAATTTTAATCAAAGATTTGCATATTTGTTGCCAAATTTGTAACAGATACACAGAGAAAACTAGTTGAAGTGAGATATGATATAAGAACTTTTTTCTCGAGATGTGTGATGTCGAGATTTGTTTTTACGCACAAGCTGTACATCTACGCGCAACGATTGTGTAAATACAGTCACGCCTCGGCAAACATTTGTGAATTAAGATCAAAGTCGCGCACGATCATATCGAAGTCCGTCCTCGATCAACGTGTCTACTTACTTGGCGCGACTCGATCTGTAGGTCAAGTTTAACATTCCGCAAAGTTATTCTACACCGAGGCATTTGTAATGCCTGCGTCGCCTACGTTTTATCTGACAGCGGAATGTCTCAAAGAAATCATAATAAAAACATCGATACTGTATAAGAGTCGTAATACGTACCAGATCACATTGATTCGCTTCCTGCGTGTCTGAAGTCCGGATCTTGTTGCATATCTATTTCTTGAATCCATAATGTTATGTTTATCGCACGATGTATGAGTCAGTTCTTTTGGCTTATTTTGACGGTCATGTCGCTATACTTTTGAAACGCGTCCAAAATTGTGTCCGACGTTGGGTCAATGTCGTGCTATTCTTGCAACTGGCTCGCTTACTTTATAATCGAGATTCTTGCAAACTTTTTTCAATTTCTAATTCATCGCAAAGAAATTCTTTCCTCGAGGAACATCTTTTCTTGTTTACAGACATTAAAAATCTAAATTGAAGAAATTGAAATTAAACAGTGTTATTATAAAATACTTTAAACTTTCATACATGTTAATTTATGATTTTGATGTGAGCATATTGCCCAATTATTTTCGTAGCTGTTTTGCTGTGTCATTATGTAAGAAGAGCTGATCTGGCAAACGCGTTTCATGATAGAACAGAATGTTGTCGCTTTAAATGGCAATATAGGAGAATATTTGCGACATTGTAACGATGAATCATTTCTCTTTTGTCGCCGTAATTACTATTTACCGTTCCAATTGCTGATCATCTACTGCGGAAACTTTTACAGACGATATTATCGTATTGTCAAAGTGTCTAGCAAACAAAAATATTGCAGAAAATAGATAAAAATGTGATTTAAAATACAAAGTGCTTTTTTTTTATATGATATTATGCATCATATATATTATTATCCACTTTGATCGGTCTGATCGATTCGTTTTACTAGCTTATGACTCTCAATAAAATTTCTTTTTTTTGCAGAAGAAACATGCTGAAGTCTTACCCCTCGCGATATCCCGCCAGCCAAGCTGGTATTCGAGTGATCCGCTTGACAGTGGATCAGGAAGCTGTTCTCCAAGAGCAGTTCAACAGATGGCCAAGAGCACCTCATACCGCGGACATTGTATTGCTCGCAGCTGAAACAGGTCTGTCCGAGACTGACGTTGAGGTGAGTAAACGTATTTCAAAAGTAATGTAACAAAAGAGCAGCAAATATATTAAACATAATATGATTAAGCAAATTGCATGTAAAATTTAATGAATTATTTTTTGTTCCAGGGATGGTATGCTATCAGGTTGGCTCAGTGGCGAAAAGAACAAGGACTTGGCGGAAATCTGGGATTGCATTGATCGAAAGCTTTCTAAAGAGCTCCCGCTGGACAAGCTCCATTCTTTGTACCTGAAACTGACGTTGATCTGTTTATGTACAGTAATAACCGGATTGAAATTGCGCGAATTATATTTTATGTTTTGTTCTTCAAATTGGTGTTATACTGAGAAAGTTTCGTTAAGTTACGTAGAGCGTTATATAGAGTTTATTTTATTAAATTTTTAAAATGTATAACAAAGTCTCTTATCTGAACATACAAAGTAGCTAAGTAAGACAGAGAACACACAATTATTAAATTATGCAATTAAAATATATATAATTCTTAATGTACTTGTAATGTTATTTCAAGGTTTTTCTTAATACAGAAGAAAATTTGAAACATTTTACGACTGTTTTTTTAAAAAAACAGTGTTAAAAAAGATCCGGAAGAAATTAAAAGGAAAGGGAGAGTTTTGGCTACTTTAGGAAGAATAAAGCGTATCGCATTGTTTGCGTCGCATAGGATATTCAAGGTTTTTCATTATACCAATGGCCAGTCTATGTACAGAAATGTTTTATTCTTAAATTATGCACAAATTGCAATCAATACAAATGTATCTGAAACAAGCAAGTTGGGGGATATCTCAGTTTTTTTTTTGGCTGCCATAAGTATATTCAGATAAAATGGCAGCGGTTTTGTTAGGTGTCAATATATTGCATCAACCACCATGTGGTTTTGCAAAATTCATGAGACACGTCCGATTAGTTGTTGTCATATCCGGAAGAAGAGACAACTGTTTTAAATTGATAACTGAGTTTTTAATGATATTGATAATCAATTTAAAACAATTGATATCTATTTTTTTATAGCTTAGTATAGTAAAGCTAGTTTATTTGTTCAGACATCCACATTTCGACTAAGTAGTATTATAGTAATAAAGGTATGCGCTAAGTCTGCACTTTAGCTAGATATCATAAAACATGTATCATTCCTTCTCTCTGGCACATCATACATTGGTATTACTAAGTATACGTTTACTTTCTTTTTTAAATCATGCGAAACAATGCAGAAACCAACTCGATATCAAATCCTAAAGTTTGATATAGTATGCTTAGACTGTAGTAAAAATAAAAAAAAAAAAAAGAAAAAAAAGGAAAAGACTAAATTACGTGACAAGTGTACTCAGAAATGAAAACCGACTCCTTGTGCATATCTGATCATGTTAGATTCGAATAAGTCATATTTTTTTTGTAATTATTATGATATTATTAAACACTCAGCATTGAAACATAAAAATCTAGTGTTGTTAAATAACTCTACTAATAATTGTAAATCAAAAACTCAATTTCCTCAAGTAAATAGAAAGGAACATCATTGGGAACACCTTTGAACCAGAATTTCTTTACAGCTGCCACCTACCATTGTTACGATTAACAACGGAAATCCATTTTTTTTTCTTGCACCACGTCGAGTTGCATCTTAGTTATGTCGCATTCGAAGTTTAGCTCATTCACAGGAATAAAATTACTAATAACAGTGATTTGTCGATATACATATAATTGGAACAATGTTTAATATGTAACATTCACAAAAAATATCTATTAGATAATTTGTTGACAAATTGTTGTGAAAAGTAAATCAAATCGTTCGGAATGACACCAGAGCGAAATGTTTTTTTTTTTATGAATATCGAATTAAATATTTGTAAGTACTAAAAAGCGACATATCTAGATGAAACCTACCCAGAGTGATAATTGACATACGAGCCGCGATTACTCAGCCTAATATCGGATCGTTAACGAGTGACTAAGGCGCGCCGTGTGGCGCGTCCGAAGCACTGCCACATAAGTTAGGAGCTCGGTATAAAAATGAGGCACAGTTTCACAATCAGGGAATCCTTCTTACCAAATGCTATATCCTCTATCTCCCAATGAATGTATCCATATATCAAACATGACAGTGTAATTACCATCATTTAAACTAAACCATGCATGGATATTAATATGTGTCCTTAAATGTGTTTAAGGAGAATGACGATTTCTTAAACAACTGTCGTATTTCTTATCGGTAGCAAACAGTCTTAACAACGAGCGTAGACTAATCATGTCGCATTTCCATAATCGTGTAGTCCTTGCGTCGGTATAATAACGTCATGTTACGTGCTGGGAGTTAATCGCTCTCATCAGGTGTAACGTATAAACGTTAGTGGCAATTGTCGACAACCCAACGATTGCTTTAGCCACTGGTACCATTAACCAGAGCTTCCTTAGGCTTATTGCTCTGCTGCATACGAGGAGGACGAGACCGATGTTCTCTTTGGCCTTTAGGTCCTTGGGAACTGTTGTTGGATACGGAAACATCGTTCGCGGGTGTTCCTTCTTTGCTATTCATTGTTGACTGGTCGCACGGGCCGGCATTACTGCCTAAACAAATGTATATATTAACTCGAAATGTTTTCGTACATATATATTTATATGTATGTATATGTATACATATGTGTGTGTGTGTGTGTGTGTACGCATATGTGTAGTGTGCTATAACAAAATATTAAAAAAAATAAAAACTTTGTCCTTTATTATAAAACCGATCGTCCTAAAGAAAAGTCGCGCAACCCTACGCTTAAAAATAAATTACCTGTTTGGATATTATTTGTTGGCGTTGAACTTCGTTGTCGTGAGCGTCGAATCCGTCTCCGTCTTACTCCTTTAGATCCTCCCTCCACACTCGATACTGATTCTACACATATATACAAACCATTGTGACCATCTTATTTCGAGATTTGTTTTGTAGCACAAAACATGTGAGATTTAAACGAAGATAGTGAAAAGCTGCCACTGCATACGTTAGTAGCATGTGTTAGAATATAAAATTCGTTAACGTTAATAGTAGTGTTAGATGGTCACAAGTGTTTGATTCGCAGTTCCATGCCAATCCCAAAGCGTTCTAATTATCAAATGTCGTTGTCTTTAGGACGAAACGGTTATAAATTGCGCGCGTTTCAACACATGAATATGTTAATCAATAAATATTATTACCTCTATCAATGCTAGAAACATCTTGACTGTCTAAAACAGTGTCTTCGTCATCAGTGGTGCGACGACGTTCGTCTCTACGGTCTCTGCGTTGAGTCGGAGGACGACCTTGTCTACCGCTCATGTACCCTGAATTACCGGCGCCTCCCTGATGACCACCTCTTGGTGGTAAGTCCCGGACGCGATCTTCACTGCCGTCTAAAGTCTCTCTACGTAATCCTGTCAAATATATAATTAAATGTTAATCACTGCACAAAAACGGCCAAATTACAATTCGCGCAAAATATTGAAAAATGTTTAGTATTACCGGCATTGTGTCTGGTGGGAGCTCTACCTCGAGAGCCACGTCCCCGAGACTGACCGCCACGACCGCCACGACCGCTAACACCCTCTTCGGGTCCTGCAACCATTCCTCGTCTTGTAGGTGGAAAACCACTGGGCATAGGTCCTGTGTTCGACCCATGCATGCTTCGTAGTTGTTGATCAATTTCCAATTTTTCTTGTCGAAGCTGCTCTACCTCCTACGATACAAACAATATGTATATAATTAATATAACTTCTACTTCTCTAAAGTTTATCAAAATATATATTTTTTAATGTAGAATTACATACTTTTAAGTGTGCCAAGTGATATTCCAACAAAACTTTAGCATTGGCGATGCTTTCAACAGTGCCGACAAAGACAAAGGGCACCTGACCCTCTTCTCGTGGAATCGTTGGTTGAGGTTCGTTGTCTCCTTCTATTTTTACTCTTACCTGAAACGATCAAATCAGTAGTTAGCAAACTTCCGCTTTCGATGCACTTACAAAGCAATTAATTACCAATTTGGGACACATTTAACATTTGTATTTCATATCCATACCATCAGTTTTTAGTCACTGGCGTTTGTCATTTTCATCAATAGATTTGTGACTAGTCTGTGAAAATTTGCTTAAAAAATATTTTATATTTTTTGTATACTTTAAAAGGGATCGGTTTTAAAAAATATATATTATATCAATACCTTTACCTTTCTTCAATATTTTACAGATATTTCATCTCTTTCTCGAAGTTACATATCTTTACAGCAACCAATTATTTTCTTTCAAAAAGTTTTTATTTTAACGTTAATTTATTATGAAGAAATAGACCTATATTTTATAACATAAAATATCTTCTATGAGAATATTTTTTGTTGACAATTATAAGAAATTAATCATTAAATTGTTAAAGTTTATGCGAGAATTAAATTTACGGAATTTTAACGCACATTAATATGCGATTATGTAAAAAACAGTTTTATAAAATTCTTCATATATATATTAACGAAAAATAATTATATTCAATTATCTATCTTCAATCTAATGTTCTGATCAATAAAAAATTAGCTTGTTTTGAGAAAATTTTAAAATAACATTAAATAATATACCGTAGAACATATAATTGAGACAAAAAACAAATGCATGGACATGGAATGATTTATGCATCAAATTTGACGCATACATGTACAATGCATGTTTGATTTTAAATCGCGGCTAATGATATTATCAGCTCGTAACATCAAATATGACTTTAATATGTAGTTAATATACACATAACATTCAGAATACGAGATAATTATGTAGATGTAAAACAAAGAATATAGGTTTCTTTAAACACTATATATATATGTTATATATATGACATTGATTATATGTAACTCTCTCAAAAGAACTGACTCGAGTGGTTCATGTAAGTCTTGTGCGTGAGTGCTTCTCGATATAAATAATTGATCGAATGAACTGTAAATGAAATAAAATTACAAACAATAGAAAATGACATACTTACTTTATCAATATGTACATTCCCACTCGAGTCAGATGTTATCTACCGAGAACAAACAAGGTATATCATATATATAACCTAATCCCTCATTAAATTATAACTTCCATTTTCAATTGAATGCTGTATTATGGCTTTGATTGTTATGGTTTTAAAATGGAATCCAACGTTATGATAATTGGAAGTCTATTATGTGTTGCGCGATACACAGCGCCTACAAATGCATGTTAGAAAATTTTCGGACAATTGCTACATACCCTGAGCGATAAAATATATCAGTAGATGCAGAGGATCTGTAAAGTATTACATATAATCTGTATATACGAAATTTAATAGTTCCAATAAAATCATATTGTATCAACTGAAAATGAAAATTGATGCGCTTACATAATATCATCTATTTTTTCAGACTGCTAATATAAATATAAAAATACCTACCCTTGTGATATATATTAATTCTGGAAAGTAGCAGTATATATAAAAATGTTATTGCTTAATTGATAATATGAAAAAAAAGTACTTACTACACCACTTTTGTCGACAATTTCTTGGATAATGCGACCGTTCTTCCCAATTACTTTTCCTACCAAAACACGTGGAACTTGTATAGATTCTTCACTATATTCCAGCATAGACCGAGCCTTCTTGACAGCTTCATGCGTCTGTAAAAACGTATGAAATACAGTATAAAAAAATATTAATATTAATATTAATATTAATATTAATATTAATATTTTTGAACCATTACCTCTCCATATATCTTAAATGTGCACGAATTTTCTTCTAATTCTATATTTGTAATGCCATCAACTTTTCGTGCCTGTTGGATGTTTGCGCCATGAGCACCGATAGCTAATCCCATAAGATCTTCCCGAACATTGAATTCGTCAGTGTATCTGAAATATATAAAAGAAAACAAATAAAACTATTGCAAAGTTTCATACCAACCCTGTTGGTTCTTATCTTCTTCACATTAAAAAATGTATAAAATTGTAAAATGTAATACAAATTATTAGATTTAGAGTATTTGTACATTTTTTAAAATATGTTTTAATTTTAATATTGACTTCACTAATACTTCAAAACTTTCTTCTCTTAGTGAGTATAATTATCTACTTTATAATAAATAAATTTATTGGGTATATACGTATTATGTACAATGTTAGTAAATATATTGGCAACTTCTTGAGAAGCAAAATGTAGCATATTTTTGTGTACGAATATCCTTATCAATGGCTTGCATTTTGGCAGATACATAAGAAATAAATTATTTCTATTAAAGCTAGAAAGATATATCTGTAAAAATGGCAATTTTGCATTGTGTTTGTCTTAATATGATACAATAGCCATGCAACATATGTAAATATATAGTTAAGAGCACAAAAGGGACAAATTTAAAGTATTTTTTTAACTGTTTGATTAAGTATTTTTAACTTTGTGATTAAACCTACTATAAATATATTAAATCCTATGTCACATGCATCCATTAATTTAAATTGTGTGTAATACAACATTAATGATACAAAATACATATACATATATATACATATATATATATATATGCACTTTAATATCTTACGAAACTGTAGAAACGCAAATTAACAAACATTGTCTATATATAAATTACATTTTATTCATTATTTATAAATATATATATATATATATATATGTATTAATATGCATATTTTTAAAGTAAAATGTAGTTTTGATTTTGATAAAGTTAAATTGCTTTTTCTCTCGTAATTTTCGAACATATATCTTATATACAGGTTTTTTTTAAATACACATGGGATAGAGCCACCATTTACATGAATATATGTGCATGATGTGAGATATATCAGTGTTTCTCAAACATTGGCAGGCCAAGTTCCAGCGTTCTTGGTAAAAGATAAATAATGGAATATATATCTACTTGTATAAATGTATAAATTATAAACGGAATTAAGAACTGATCACAGCTACACGTATATATATTTGTTGGCTACCTCACCAATCACGCAAGATATTACTCTACACAGCACATAATAAATGGAGAATGAATACAAATAATCATTTCGTATATATATTTATATATGTGGTATTTAAAGCACATGGATTTCAGTGAATATACTACACAACGCTGAAGCATGCACGTTAAAAAAGTGTAATATTCCATTTTTCGTTTGAAAAATGTAATTTGTGTATTCTGTCATACAGTAAGCTAAACTTAATTCTAAACCACGCTGCTGTGATCTCACCTTGAATTTGTTTTCACTCCTGCCTCAAAGTCTGAGACACGCTGATATATAAAGTTTGAAGATCTAAATTTGCTGAAATGAGAATGGTGTAACTCAGTGAAAACTTGTTATAAGATGGCCCTATCCTATGTCCCCTTGCCATTCTGTCTGTTTAATATTGATTACTACATGCAGACACTTGAACAGACACTTGCCTTCCAAGTTTACTTGCGTAAATAATTATGCAAAATTTTTTCCATCTATTTATATTTGCACAATATTTATATAACACTTTTAGGAAAACATACACATGTATTAACATGTTAAAATTGTATAAGATTTGCTTTTATGTGAAATTGTGTTTGTTATTTTATGTTACATAAGATCCAAAATTTTGCTATTTGCGAATTTTTCTCTATATTTTGTTTTTTATAATTTTTTAACGAAAACACTACACACTTTTTCATATAAATGTTTTAAGTTTAGCAAGTATACGCAAATGACGTATATAATAAATAAATCTTACATATGTAAAATTAATACTACAAAATATCTGTACATATAGCACATGTCTACCTGCAATATATTATTTTTTTTATTATTATAATTCGAGAAACAAATATCTATTTTTTCTTTTTATCTGTATCTGCTACAGATAAGACACCACAAAAGCAATATAAGTATGTGCGAATGTCTGATACAATCAGAGAGAATATTTATGTATATAAAATAATTTTTATGTATAATATATATAATTTTTTCTATAAATTATATATCGTGTAATATTTTTACTATACCTCGTTAATTATTATGAAATATTCAATTAGCATATGTACTTAAAATAACATTCTCTTCTTAAAAATTAACGTTTCAATAAAATAATTAGTAATAGTGTCTGCAATGCATATGATCATGCTTATGATCTAGTGTTGTTTTAGTGAGAAATATCTGCCATAACGCAAGGATAAATGTAAGGTATAATGTGTATAAAAACTCTTATTATATATTTGTAACCGTTTTGTTACAATAGAAAGACAAATGTGATTAAACATAGTTCGATACAAATCTTAAAAATGTTGAATTTGTTAAATATTCTATCTGTAATATATCTAGTTTTATGATAGAAATGTGAAAGAAAAAATAACGAAATGTATGGTAAGAACTACTTATGGTGTGTGCCCATGTTATCACATTCATGAAGTTACGTGATATCAAAGCAAACATATATATATATATGTATATATATGTATATATATATCAATTAATGATGATTATCAAGAAATCTTGTGATCTGATTTTCTGCCAGTAAATGCAAACCACAGACAGGATGGTAACCAGGACAGTATATGGATAAGGGCAGGTAAACAATCTCACAAGATTTTTTTGTTATTTATGAAGATCGAAAAAAAATTGTTTATAACTTACCCCCCTATTGTTTGAAGTTTAGTAGATTCAAGTTGACGCGCTGCCTCTTCTGTTCTTTTCAATAACAAGACCTGCAGAACATTTATATTCTAAATAAAATGTAGAATATTAATAAATCTTTTTGTTTTTTAATAGGTTTATTGCTGGTACTGCCAATTGTGATCTGTTAGTGCTAGCAATAAAAACTTTAAAAAAAATTACGCAATTTTGATATTTTAAAATTAAATAAGTTTTAAAACCAATCTCAAATAAATATTTTTGATAACAAATAGTGCATATATGACTAATTGCAAAAATAATTCACCTTTTGCGATAAGTTCCTAAAGTGCATTTCTTGGAGCATGCTACTGTGACGATGTATATTTTCATGACGGGAGATGGCCAGCAGTACTCCTCGTTCAGGCACATATCGGCACACTGCTGCCCCTATCGCCTTTTGAAATTCTTTATGCGCATTGTCCATCTTCGCACTGCAATATATGATACGCTTTGTTATTACCTTTTATATTTATAGATATATCAAAGCAACTATAATAAATATAATTATAATAAACATTTGCTGCACTCAGAGTTAAATATATTTATGCATAAATTTTTGTTTTTTATTTTTCAGTTACAATTACTTACAATTCTCTGAGCTCTTCAGGTACTTCAATTTCGATCTTGTGAAACGTGTTTTTATCAATAGGGGAATTTGGATTTTTGGCTCTCAGTCGCTCACTAGCTACAATTTCGGTGTATGTGTAATCCCATCCCAAGTATTCAACTACTTGAAATCCACCTTTACTCATCTAAAAAAATCCCATAAAACAAATAGATACAGATTTCACATAAAAGAATGTAAAATTTTCAATTACTTTATAAACAATCTGTATAACATAGTAACATAAATCTGTACGTTTATTGACTTTTGTCTCACTTTGCACACCTTGATAAGTGCCTTCCACCAGCCCCATGCTTCCTGATCATTGGATCTGGAAAATACTTCAATTTCCTGATTCTCCTGAAATTCTGTTTTGGAACCATCTTTTGGAGGTAGACGAACTTGAGCAAATGGAAATTTTGACTCAGGCTGCCAGCTGGAATAAATGTTACAAGGTTATAAATACATGTATTTTATATTGCACTTCACATTAGAGTATTTACATAAAAAGGAATATTTTTTAAAGTTTTTTGTAAATATCAAGAATCAAATATTCAATAAATATAAAACAATACAAAAAAATATATAAAGGAACATGCATTTATTTATATTTATATTTTATAATGTCTGTGTTGTACATGTGTGGTAGACATTTTCTTTCACAGTTTATCACAATCTATAATTAGATATTGTGTCAGACAATGGTTAAGATATATTTAATATATTTTTAATTATATATATATTTAGAAATACAAATGTTATTTTATATATATCATATAATTTCTAACAATGAATTAACATATTTTAATGTTTTTTTTTACAAACATTTTAAAAAACTATTCTCATAGTCTTGTTTAAAAAAATAATGAATAAAAGTATAATTGTCCATGTGTGTCTCAAGCTATTGAGTAAAAGAATTAGTTATTGATAACCAAAAAAGTGAATACACTTAACAGCTCTCACAAATGATTCTGTTGTAGCAAAGCTTATCCCTTACAAGGATATATATAAAAAAAAAAAAACAAATACTCTACAACAAATGTAGCAAATCAAAGGGAAAACTTACTCATTCTCGAAAGTTACCAAAACTTCGTCGTCAAAGACATCGTTGACAAAGGCCTGTAAAAAAAAAAAAAAAGATATAAATCATCGCGAGATGTGCATACAGTTTGTTGCCTTTGTAGAAATCAGGAGTGTAACGAGTCGTGCAGACGAGTTGGAATGCAAAATCACGACTCGGTTGGAAGAGGAGAGGACGATGTGAGCGGGTCGCACGGCCACGGGAGTCTGCACGTCATTACGAGGACGTGGCCGGCGAATTTTCGAAAGGATTGCAGTGTATTTTGCGTGTACGCGTGGTGGACGCGAGCCAAGGGAAAATCACGCCCTGTCAAACGAGACATGGCGTCGGAGGAAGCCGCGTTACCTCGCGAACATTTGAGGACCGTGCATTCGCAAAGTACGGGCTCCCGTCGCGCGAGAATACAACTGTGCCGTGGCCCGCGGCTCGGTCTATTTATCGTCTGAGTTCTCCGCTCATTTTTTTCTATACTTTCCACAGAACGAACCTTATAGTAAGCTCCGTTTTCGCCGCATACTTCGACTGCGAGATCCTCCATCTTGCTTTTGTGTGACGGTTCGCCTCCTTTGCGCCAGGCATGCTGAAGAGCGGGCACCCGCACGAGTTCGGAGCTGAAAATTTTCCCTGCGCCAATCGTGCAACTCTTTTCCATGACGCTCGGACAGTATTGGGCAGCCGCGATCAGTAATGCCAAAGCGTCGTGCTTCGACGGAACATTGCGCTAGAAAAGCCCTAGCGCTAGTTTCCTTCTTATCGTTTATCGGCCGAATAGACGCTCGCAGACAGGACGCAGCAATGCGTTATGTACAACGCGTTAGCCAATCAGTATATTACTCTTACAGGAAACCAACATATTTTCTATAAGAGCAAATATGTTGATTGGCTACCGTAACGCATTGCCGCGTCCTGTCTGCGAGCGTTCGACATGCAATGGTCGTTTATTGCAACAGTTGCGTTTCAATTGAAATCGAGTAATCCTGATTGAAAGAGCGAGGATCGTCTTTGTCCTGACTAGTTACTAAAAGCTCTTGATAAGTAGGAAAATGCACGTACAATTAAAATTGTGATCTTATTCTTTTCCTATTTCTAAAGCCTATATCAGAATACGGATTAGAATTGAGAGAGAATTAAAGTTTGACCAATCAGAGCTAAATTTACTAAACAATAAAATTAGATTTCTTGATTCTGATTGGTTAATAAAAATCCTATCTCTCTCAATCTTAATCCATATTCTGATACGGGCTTAAAATGCAAGTCTTTAAGTAGGGTTAGAAATTAGGTGGTGAAAGTGAACTAGATTGGTGGTGTTGCTGCACTTGCCGAGTGCATTTGCGGTAAGGTGTAAAGTGTTGCAAACGTCGTTGGAAGTCGAAACATGACTTGGTGCAGTTTGGGATCGCGTAATTGCTCCTGTCCAGTTCTCCCGTTTGCGGACGAGGGACGTGCGTGACGTGCGACGACGACATCGATGCGAGAACGAGGGTGTCCTTGCGGATCAGCTATCGCGGACGACGATGTCGGGTAGTAGCGATTCTGATGAGTTCTTCGACGCGGAGGATGATTCGTTCCATCGTGCGTCACGGTAATTGACGTTTCCTCTTCCAGGTCGATTATGTCACAAGTCGTAAATAAAAAACTTCGCGCATCTCGCGCGTCGTATACAGATAATCTGTCGCGTGCATCATCATATGTCACGCCGCTATTTCTAACCGTGATTGTGTGCGAAGAGCGTTAAGTGGTGTATACATATGAGAGATTAATACATGTTTAATAAAACATGTTGTGTGTTTTATTTGCTATGTTATACATTATATATATATATATATTTTTACATGTATCTGTGATAATTTATTTATGTTCAACTCTTGTTTCTTCTCATAGAAAAGGTAAATCACGCGAATCTCCAAACACAGAACTGCAAAATGAAAAATCACCTGAAGTTTGTAAGCAGCCAGATGATCATGTTTTCTTAAAACCTGCTGAACCTAAATCAGTTATAGAATCAAAAGGATCTATAGACTATAGACAGAAAGTAAGTGACCTTATATGCTGTAATATTTTATTATACAAATGTTAACATAAAAAATATATTTTAGGAAGATGATAGCAGAGAATCAACTACAGATAAAATTGTCGGAAGGAAAAAGTTTCGTGAACTACGGCAACGTATGCAAACGGAAGATGATGACATTCCGATTAATAGTTCCCCTCCGGATAGTCAGACCTCTTCCATCGAGGGTGTTTATCCCACCCCTTCAAAAACAACCCATCCATTCAGAATTATAGAGCATGACACTCTTAGTTTACAAAGTATGACCTCTTTAGGACGAGTGGGCCGAATTTTGGCAGGAGTCACAGACAACGCCTCTGGCATACTTGTACCTGGTATATCCCAGTGTCCTCCTTCTGCCGCCCTTACTCGTGAGGGTCAGATGTCCTCCATTGCTAGTATACCAAGCAAAGATGAGGACACAACCTCTGGTAAGGTGTCCCAGTCTTCCAGTATCCTTACGTTATCAGGGGATGTCTTGCAAGACTCCTCTGTTAACAATAGATCCAATTATGTGTCTCGCTCACAAAGTGACAAGATTGTTATGCTTCAAGAACCTGATGTCATCGCTAGTACAAAGAATAATGGAAAACTAGCGGAAGATGCGTCTGGTGTACCGGTAGCTCCTCCGCGTCGTAAAAAGAAAACGAAGGCTCACACACCTGGCGACCTCGCTGTAAGATTTACCGCAATTGTTTTTAATGCGGTTTAATTTAAATGCATATTATATATATGCATAACAAGTTTTAGTTTCAAATGAATATATGTATACACATGTATACATAATTTCAGCCTTCCGCAGAGGCACTTGTACCTGCATCGCCACTTCCGAGTCCAGCAAGTACCATAGAATCGATCACAAGAGAATTTGAACACTCTCTTGACATCCGATCCGCGATAAAAGGACAATATGTTGTCAAACCACAAGTAAATTTACAAACAACCTTGAAAATATTTCCAAAAATGTGATATTAATTTTCTTTTAAAATGTTTATTACATATTTTTTAGGATGAGGACAAATTGAAAGCCGAAGGGCCATCGACTGAGGAACTGGAGCGAGTAGAAAGAATGAAAGCAGAATTGCTTGGTCGTTCTAGTGAAAAATCAAACAGTCCATTAGGATCAGGCTCTAGCAATAGTATCGGCCGTTATTCTTTAGGTCCACATAAGATATCGGGCATGAGTCCACTAGGTTCCAAAGAAAGACGCAAATCCGCTGGCGATCAAGATATGATACAGCAATTAAATTTGTTCGTACGAACTAGAACGGATTCCGGCAAGCGTCTTACTGATATGGTTCGTTATTATATGTATAAATTATTTTATCTTATAAACTATTATTTATGAAGAAAATATCATGATGGTATATTTGTCCCTACAGGAAATCTTGGAACAAGTGCCTGTAACAAACTTAGATACAGGAGAACAGGTGCCATTAAGTATAGCGGAAGATAAATTACCACAGTGTATTAATCCTTTGTCACTGCACATTATGAGGCTTACTAAAGCTAAATACATAAGTAATTCTAGTCTTGAGAAAGAAAAGGAAAGCGATGAAGAAAGTGTGGACAGTAAGATGTCCAGTATACCTCCGGATGAAGATGCATCTGTAGATAGAGTTCGCAAGAAAACGCAAAAGCTGAAGCGATTCCTAGGATCCACCGTGAAAAAGACAATGGACAAGGCTAAATCCATTGCACAAGAGGTGTCGCATGCAAGACACAAGGAAGACGTCATGGATATAGTAGACGAAGTTTATCCCGGTGAACAACAATACATAAAACTGAAAGCATCAAATAGCCACAAAGGTCCATACGAGTTCAGTTGTCTGCAGCATGTTCAAGATCTGAGTGGAGAACACGTAGGTCCTGTCTGGTGCATGAAATTTTCCGCTTGCGGCCGACTGTTAGCCACCGCGGGACAAGATCGAGTCTTGAGGATTTGGGTTTTGCGAGATGCTTTCACGTATTTTCAAGACATGCGAACGAAATACAATGCGGAAAAAGTTAGTCCTACTCCCTCCCAAGAGTCGTTGGTTTCGCAGCAGTCCATGGAAGATCCTAACGTTGTGGCTAGTGCCTTCAGCGAGATAGAAGGAACGAAAAGCCCGTTCATGCCAAAGCCATTTTGTATATATACCGGTCATACCTCGGATTTGCTCGATGTTTCGTGGTCGAAGAATTATTTCGTTTTGTCCTCCTCGATGGATAAAACCGTACGATTGTGGCATATATCGCGCAAGGAGTGCTTATGTTGCTTTCAACATATCGACTTCGTCACTGCTATAGTATTTCATCCGCGGGACGACCGGTATTTTCTCTCAGGATCGCTGGACGGTAAATTGCGCCTGTGGAATATTCCGGACAAGAAAGTTGCTGTGTGGAACGAAGTGGATGGGCAGACCAAGCTGATCACCGCGGCAAACTTCTGTCAAAATGGAAAATTTGCAGTTGTAGGATCGTACGACGGCAGATGCATATTTTACAACACCGATCAATTGAAATATCATACGCAGATACACGTTAGATCGACAAGAGGGAAAAACTCGACCGGCCGTAAAATTAGTGGAATTGAACCTATGCCGGGAGAAGACAAAATTCTAGTTACATCAAACGACAGTCGCATTCGGTTGTACGATCTGAGAGATCTAAATCTATCCTGCAAGTACAAGGGCTACGTAAACATCAGTAGTCAAATTAAAGCAAGTTTCAGCCCTGACGGACAGTATATAGTTAGTGGTTCCGAAAATCAATGCATTTATATTTGGAAGACACATCACGATTATTCCAAGTTTTCTAGCGTGCGTAGAGATCGCAATGATTTCTGGGAAGGCATAAAAGCCCACAATGCTGTAGTAACGTGTGCCGTATTCGCACCAAATCCAGATAGTATTATTAAACAAATCGAAGCGAGGGAACAGTGGGAGAACAAAGAGGAGCCGAGGGATGTGGACAGTGTGGGTGTTCCTGTTGATCCTGTTGTTGAGCAACGCACTAAAGGTTGTGGAGGCCATGTTCTTGTAAGCGCCGATTTCAATGGGTGTATAAAAGTTTTTTTAAACAAAACAAAACCTAAACATAGTTCCCTACCAGCATCTGCACTCGCGTAATAACAAAAAATAATATATAAATTACATATAAATTTATATATATACACTATAGATAATGGAAATAACAAAAAATATACCGCAAAGTTTCACTAAACGCTCACTTTGATTAAGAAATATTGAAAACAAAAGAAAGCAACTAATTTTTTAACGGTATATATTCTTTATATTACATTTATATGTAAGAACTATTTTACTTTTTATCTGTCTTTCTTTATACACATGTGTGTGAGAATATTTTAAATAATACAAATACTGAGATAAATTTCCGTGAAATCATGTTCAAATGTTTAATTTTCATGATAATTAACATACATTTTTTGCAAATATCAGGTATATATGTACGAAGATTGGAATAATATGAATTCTACACGTTAAAAACACTTACGTTACGTTAAAAGGTATGAAAATTACCGCACTTTTATATTTTATTAATAACTTTTTTGCCAGATTTTATAGATTGTTCCTATCTCTCGAGATCTTTTAGTTGCATTGCAATTTGCATTGCGGTGCTGGTTACCGTAAAAGTTACTATTTTACACGAAAGAAACTTTATCGAGATTAGTGTCGCAAAACGAGTTGTCAATGGTAATATTTGATGAATATCAAATTGTTTCTGCGCGTATATCATACACAAATACAAAAAAGATAATGAAAATAAGAGCACCTTGGTGAAAACAAAGTATAAAAAAAAAAAGTACGCAGATGATGCGACAAAAGATATTCAAATATAAATTCTTTTTATCAATTACATGTGACTCAGATGTACATATTATGAACCTTTCGAATATCGTTCACCAATAGTTAAAAATGTTCAGTGTAAGAAAAGTTGCTAATCATAGACATTACTTCCGATTTTTTGTGATGATTTCTAGAAAGCGCTTGTCTCTCGAACGTAATATAGTTACATGTAAGATAACATAAAACTACATCAAAGACAATATATCAAAAGTCATCTTAAAACTAAAATTTATTATGTTTACGTTTTTTGTTTACAAATGTTTTACATACCTTATGTAGTGTAACACGCTATATATTTTTATCGCAAAAGTTTGAAACAACATTTTTGTGAGATGTGTCATATAATTTGACGTTGCGCTATATATGTATAAAATGTGTTTAATTTAATTTTCTTTCTTTCTCTATTTTTTTAATATACATATGTAGTAGTATCTCATATAATTAATTATATAATAGAAATTGTCACACACACATAATTACGATATTAATTAATGCTATCTATATCTATGATATGTGCGTACATGTATTTTCGTATAGATAGCATAAAATATCACGCATTGGTTCATTGTTAATATTTATTTATCGGTCATATATTACGCAAAATACACACTTTGTGTCCTGACAATGATAAAACCAAGATGATACTCTTTTTAATAAATATGAACGAATTCTATAGGTGAGCAATTTGATGCTTTCTGTTTGAGATTTTGTGTGATACACGTGTACGCAACACATTTCGAAGTTTTTACAATAGAGAGAAAATTCTAGGAAAATAATAATTTGAAACAATTTGATGTGTAAAATGTGGAATACAGTTACTTAGGTGTAAAATGATCTAAAAAATTTATAGCAATGAGTATATAATAATCCGATTTGCATAGGTAGCATATAAGATGTTTGAATTGTATCGTATAATTGTAATGTAAATATAAAGATAAAACTGTGTGTAGATATTTTGTGTAAGTGCAATTGTAAATATAATAGTGCATTGATATTGCTGTGTACAAATGATGCCAAAAGTCCAAAGATTATAAGATCTGTGAGAAAAACCTAAAAAAAATAGTAAAGAAAAATAGAAAAAGTGCAAAAAGATGAAATTTAATATATTTGAGCAGTTTTTAAATTTTATGCTCTGTCAATTGAAAGTAAATTTACTTTCTCTTTTGTAAGAGAATTTTTAATGATTTGAAGAAATTTTAATTGTTCCGATATTCACTGCCAGTACTGGAGATCTATAGCGCATGTGACATGAAGTATAGATTTTTAGTACTGGCAGTGAATATCAGAACGCAGCTCAAGATAGCTGTCGCGCGTATAGAGGGCAGTAGAGAAATAACTAAATGCATTTACTTTTCAAGATTGTTAGCTCTGAATGGTATTGGCGATACTGTCCATAGTTGTAAACAACGTGATTCTATTGCAGCAAGGTTAGATAAATCATCTTTTTCTTTTAAATTCCTGCAAACATAACTCATACGTTAACAGAAATCTATAGAACCATACATCTATTTTACCGTTTGTACGGTTTTTACATATTTTCTTCTTTAAATTAAACTTTACAGAGACATCAATTTCATGCTGTTTGCGACCATGTAACTTTACCGAAATCAAAACAAATGCATCTTAGACTGAGACTATCTATTGCTAAATGTCTTCATTGTTGTCGACGGAATTTGTCGTCGCAAAAGAACGACAAAACTCGAACAGGCAATGACACAACAACTTTGACCGACGACTTGACGGAGCCAACCAACTGCTGTATGTCAGGTTGCGCCAACTGCGTATGGATTCAGTATGCAGAGCGGCTGACCAGCGCATTAGAAGCTTCAAATGTGGATTTGCAGAAGGTCATCTTGGAAAAAGTACAGGATCCGAACATGAGAGCGTTTCTCGTGATGGAACTGAAATGCCGAAATCTACTAAAATAAAAATCGTAGTTTATTGTAAATTATGGCAATAATTCTTTATAGAAAAAAATTGATCTCTTCATAAGTAGAAAAAATTTGACGCAGAGGACTCTGTGTATAGAGATCATAAAATAACCCACACAGGACATTTTCTATACAAATCTTCATTAGATGTTCATTAGATATCACATAGAGTTATAAACATCCAATACACATTTAATAGACGTTATGCCTGTGTGGAAACTAAGTAGATAGACAAATAAATTAGAAAATTATACATATTTTATATTTGATCATTGTTATATATTTGTATAAATGTAATATAATTAACGTTACACACACTTGTTAATAAGTAAATATATGTATATATATAATAACAAAGCTATATGTATATATATATATATGTAATTTTATTATGAAAATATGCTATGCCCGCGCTTTGTATGAAGAACATTCAGTTTTGAGTGCTTTCCAAATCAAGACCGAAATAGATTCTTGCGAGAATAATCTTTCTAACGTTGTGTGTCCTTTTGCCCTTTTGCATTAAATTAAATTTAAAAAATTTTAATTATTATATCTGTGCTTTTCGCATTTGTTTTCGATCAATGGCAGAAGTACAAAGTTTGCGTACTTTTTTAAAAGAAAAAAGATTTCAAGTATAATAAAAAATAATTGTGACTTCACGTTAAAAAGAAATCCTATACTAATGTCATTTCGATGTGAACTAACCCAAGTGGCGATATATGTATACAAGGTCAAGGTTTCTGCATGACCTTCCAAAGCGAATATTTATCGAAAGAAACAACAAAGTAGAGTTTAAAAAGAATTAGAAGAAACTGTCTTAAATCTTAAAACTCGATGTATACATTCTTGACAATTTTAATTTATCGCATAGTAATTGAGCATAGTAATATGGTTCTGTTTGTGTGTAAATTGTTTCTAAATTGCAAAATTAAAGCCGATAAAACCATCGGTCGCGATCTTATCTGTCTCAAGTAGCGCAACCACATAATCACGTCACGTCCTTCTTTCCTGGTGACGTGCGTGCGGTTGCACGCGCTCACGCTCACGCTCGCCCACGCGCTCTCTCGCGATTTATTTTCGCTGGACGATTCTCGCAGCTATCACGCGTTGCCGCAATCTCGGCGGAGTCTTGATCGAGCGCGCAAATAATGCTCGATTTCAACGATCTAATAAATTGATAGGATCTTGTCGTATAGATATTCGTGTAAAACGCATCGATTTGCGCGAGTAGAAACACCAAGTTACGTATTGTGTAACCGAGAGACAAGCTTGTATATAATTAAAATTTGATGACGCGACGCGCGTGTCGAGTGAATTTGTGTGAGTGTAATGTACGGTAAGAGAACATAAAATTGTAATAAACTGCAAACAGTGAGGAAAAAAATTTAATTGTTATATATATAATTGTTTGTTATTTTAATCGTATGTAAATGTATAAAAAAAAAAACGTAAAAGTTGAGTAACATTAACTTAAGAGAGTCAGACAATTCCAAAGTATATGTACGATCAACAGGTGTTCTAGAAGCAAACAGAAAATCTAGTCGTGATCAGTTCGCGCACTTAATCTTCGAACAAGTTTTGTTGCAATTATATTGCAAAATTAAATGTTAATTACCTAAATGTATGTATACAATTGTATACGATAATCAATTTGTAAAATAAGTTAATCAGCTGAGCAATTAATACTCTGTGAATGACAATTGTTAACGAGTTGAGAAAGGTTCGAGACGGGCATAATAAGACGAAGAGAGAATGGTTCACGAGAACCACGAGGACGAACCTTCGTCAATAACAGAGCCTGCGACCATACCGCTGGGCGAATTATTGGTGCACACGTCGATGCCGGCGGCGACGGCGGTCGCGGTAAAGTTGTGCGGCGACGATTCCGCGGAAGAGACTTGCGAGGTCGTCAATCAGAAAAAAAAACGAGACATCCTGAGCACGTTTAAAAGAAGAGCCTTCAACAGAATTAGTCTCAAGGCCGAGTCAGGTCCTTTGCTGAGCAGGTAAGACATTCACGAGCGAATCTAAACGGCGTATGAAATTTTTGTCGAACGTTCTCACATAAAATTTAAAAAAAGAAAAAAACAAAAACCAAACAAACAAACAATAGTAAAGTCTTTAACCAAACAAAAACTACGGGAATGACATCAGTAATCCGACTATCATGTAAATTTCTATAATCATTCGGTAACAAGCACCATGGGCGTCCGCAGGGGGGGCAAACCCGACATTTATCCTCCTCCAGGAGAGGCAAGTTTTTTCACAAATTGTGTTTTTTAATCTTGAAACAAGTTTGAAATCCCTGGTTAACAAATTAAATCATACATCTATTCGTGAAAACTCTGTACAGTGAAACCTTTCTGTAAAACTCATACTTTTTTGAACGGAAAAATTGCTTTTTGTCTCCCCTGAAAGAAATCCTGCAGACGCCCATGACAAGCACGCAATTTAGTAGCTATTGCAATTCGAATTTGCTTTTGCTTATCGCGAAAATTTTCTGAGGAAAAATACCGACAACGTTGGTCAGTTTGTCAATTATTCTTGTGCTGTTTACACCGCAAAATACGCCAGTCGCAAGATGATTGGTAACAGACGACGATGTTTCGTCTCATTGTCAATCGTTTACATCTAATATTGTAAGTATACAGCAACAGAAAATTTCATCTGTCTAGTTTTATTTTTAACTTGTCCATATTATAGGTATATATATCTATATACATGTATATAATAGACATATCTACATATTTATATATTTTCTATTTAAATCTTAAAATTAGTAATTAAAAATTTTGTTACAAAAAATTACGTACATATTTGTATAGTTCTAAAATAATGTAACTGTAATATAATTTTTTTTACATACACTACTATTAATAATTCTTTTAGTTTAATGAAGACTAAGCAGTTTTAGTAATCTGTCGTTATGCATGCAATGCATAAGCTGATAGAAAAAACGCTTATCGTTTCCGCATACGATAACTTCGTCACTTTTCAACGTTCACATTCCTTTGTAAATGCAAGTTTTCAAAACTGAAAGAAAGAAACGCAATAATGCACGAAATTTCTGTACGTTATAACAAAACGAGTTCAACGAGAATAATCAAGTAAAAAATTAAAAACTTGTATCATTTGATGTGTTTTTACATTTAACTGTTCAAGTGCTTATTAAACATATCACGCATTTATAACGTTACATATTTAGCAACAGTGTGACCGAAATAGGCAGGATGTAAAATTCGCATCACAATGCGAGCTTTTATGAGATCCGAAAATAGCGACACTTTGTGACTATTATTTTTACTTGCTGAAATTGGCAGAAGACCGTTTTCTTTTTGTCGGAAATAAAAACCCAAGTGCAAAAATAAATCTCTATTTTAAAGAAACGAAATTAACGCTTTCCTTAATTAATAGAGGTTCTCTTAATTAATACGACATACACACACACACAGTTTACACAAAGAATAAAAATTTGACGCTTGAATATGTTTTTCTGAAACATTTTTTGATTATAATTTAATAGAATTATTGTGATAAATAATATAGCGATAACAATCTCTCATTCCCCTTCTTCTTTGCGACTTTGACAAATTTAACTGATCGTGCCAAAGACAAAGGGAAACCGATTTGGCTTGCCAACGAACCGTAATTGCACTCGCAGTATCCGGCCAGCTACAGATTCGTTAACGAGTAGTTCTAATTAGTCGCATCTGTGTCCGATTACGAGTAAATGAACGTTGGATATTAAAGGATCTCGCGCCGTGTTGTGTTGCGAGAAAATGGAAGTGTCGAAATCGAAACGACGACGTGCGTCGGACACCGAGAGGCTTCGTCGTCCGGGCGAGATAGACAGGCTATCGGGGTTGCGACGAGCGATCTCGCAAGTGTCCATGATGGTCGTCAAAGCGACGACTTCCGGTGAAGCGGTTTGGTGCGAGGAATTGCTCAAGTAAATTGCTCTTCCTTAACATCTCTTGAGCGATCACGGCCTGTTTTTCTCATTTTTCCTCTCGCCATTTCGAAAATTGCAAATTTTGTTTACGGTCAATTACTACATACCGGTCAATTATTCATAGAATTCATAAACGTCCTATTTTTTATTGTACACGTACTTGACGGTAGCTGTTGCCATGGATATTTCTTGTTTCGAAATAACCGCCTACGTGTAGTTCAGACACGAGAAAGTGTCCGCGATTATGGCAACTAGCTGCAATAAACTTAATAGTACAAGTGTCGGTATCAATTTTTGCTGGAAGACGTGTGTCGGACAGTTTTAATTTAACACTTGCGATAGCAATCGCAATTACAAAGTTCTTATTTATAGTAAAATAATGAATTTGTTTTTTATTGTCAAAAAAAGATTATTGTTATATAAGATTTTTTAAATCTTTAATATTATATGTTTTTATCAAAGAGTAAATGTTTAGTTGTAATTTATTTAATTATAATTATTAATAGTTTAATATATTTTCTTATATTGCGTAAAATTAAGACGCATGAAGTGCAAACTATTCTTGTTCTATTTTTTCATTTAACACGATATATTGCAGTAGATATCTGTCGTATAGCTATCTCGCAGTAGGAATGTGGAGTAAATACTGAGAGAGAGAGAGAGAGACAGAGATAGACCAACTCTGTAATAATATTAATTTCGGCCAGACGGAATCTGAAATTAGCCGGTCTTCTAATTCCGAATGAAACATCGTCGTCTGGCGCGCTAAACTCGCGTGATTTTGCGTGACTCTCAACCCTGACATATTGACCCGTGACGCAAATAGATCGGCGACGACTTAATACCGCGCGCTTTTTGGCATTACGAATATTTGCGAATGTCTGCGCGTTTCCGCGAAAAACAAATTTGGTTTCTCTAAAATTTATGCTAAATATTCCGACATGTTTGTACGCGAATATTTTACTTAAAAAATTATTCGATATTCTTTTTTCGATCTGTCTAAGCCACTGGTTATATTCAGCAGTGAGCGCGATACATGTAAAATGATAAATACGCGCATATCTTCGATGAGAGAGAGTTCAAAGAAACAGAACTGTTCAACGACCGGCATCGTGTCAAAATTTAAGCCTTGAATTTTCAAAGCGTCTTTGATTTACCAATTCCGCGAGATGACGGAATTATGTAATGACGTTCGTAAACATAGTTGCCGGTTTTTACTTAAAATATTCTACGATTGTTTAAATTATTTTTACTAATTGTCACACACATAGTTTATACATCTTTATAATTTAAATAGAAAAAATAATTAAAAAGTTTGAAAAAAGTGGTCTAACGAATTCTCTTTCAAGATATCGTCAAACGAGATTCAGTTCCAGAAGAGTTCGCAAAAGAGTAGTTTTCAAGCAAGGTGACTGTAATGTTGTGCAGGGAAATGTTGCCAAAAGACGACGACGATACCTTCAAGTAAATATCTTTTGCAATGACGATATAATAATATAAATGTTTTGTTTTTTATTTTATATGCTATGTTTTACATACATTTACTATAGCAACAATTACGTCTGTTTGCAGGATATTTTTACAACGTTGGTAGACGCACAGTGGCGATGGACGCTTCTGGTGTTCTCCATGAACTTTCTGTTATCCTGGTTAGGATTTGCGCTCATATGGTGGCTGATCGCGTACAGTCATGGCGATCTTGATCCCGCGAATTACAACAACAACACTTTCACGCCGTGCGTCATGGGGATCCGCAATTTCGCTAGTTGTTTCCTCTTTTCCGTGGAGACGCAACACACAATAGGGTAAGTGCGGGTTCTATCTGAAAGTTATTTATATTACACTAATAAAATTATTATATACATATATATTAAATATATTAATGATGTAGATACGGAGCGAAGCATACGACGGACGTGTGTCCGGAGGCGATCTTCACGATGTGCATCCAATCGATGACCGGAGTAATCCTGCAAGCGTTCATGGTCGGCATCGTGTTCGCGAAGCTGTCACGTCCCAAAAAACGCACGCAGACACTTCTCTTCTCGCGGAATGCTATCATCTGTCAACGAGATGGCCAACCTTGTCTCATGTTTCGTGTTGGCGATATGCGCAAGAGTCACATCATTGAGGCTCACGTCCGCGCACAGATGATCAAAAGGAAGGTGAAGTAACGCAATTAAATTATCTTTCACTTTTGTTAAAAGAGAGCCATATGTGTGTTTTGCGTCCGCACTTATGTATAAATAAATAAATGCGAGTGTGTTTCAGGTTACGAAGGAAGGTGAATTGTTACCATTCTTCCAGACTGAATTGAAGGTAGGATGCGAAGACGGAGAAGAAGACAAGATCTTCTTTATCTGGCCCACGACGATAGTGCACAAAATCGATCGGCACTCGCCGCTGTACAGAATATCAGCAAGTGATATGTTGCGCGAACGTTTCGAAATCGTTGTGATATTAGAAGGTAAAAGTATCATAATGACAAATTGTAAATAATATTTACATTGGCAATTTGTGAGAAAAATATACATAGTTGTTAATATTACAGGCGTGATCGAATCGACCGGTATGACGACACAAGCAAGAAGCTCGTACTTACCGTCGGAGATTTTATGGGGTCATCGGTTCCAACCCATCATCACCTTTCGCAAAGAAACTGGCGAATATGAGGTCAATTACATGCTCTTCAACAATACTTACGAAGTCGACACTCCGCTTTGTTCCGCCGCCGATCTCGATCGCATTCGAGCGATGCATCGCACAAAAGCTGGCAAGAATTAATTTTTTTTTTTATCTTAACATACTTTTATTGATATACTGCTATAATTATTATTAATTCATATCTTTCTTCTTAGAACATCCCAGTTCAAATGCATTTCCAGGATATCACGATACCTGTAGTAGTAGTTCCTCAATGACTTCCGGATCGAGTTTGGGATCTTCGATTGGTGGATTACACATGCAAATGCCGACAATGTTGCCGCCACCACCACCTCCAAACCCGATTTCGGTTATGATCACCGACCCGGATGGTTTCTGCAGACGAGAGAGCGTCAACATGCATCGCGACATGTTGCAGTTATCATTTTATGCACAAGATGAAGTGGTGAGTAAAGAATAAAATAAATAAATGAACGAAATATGGAAAATACTTTATTATCTGTTTGATATCTTTTTATCTAAATATCTTTTATTTAGATGAAGAAAGAAGAGCAAGATGAAAGAGCAAGTGAAAATCCGAAAAATGCGGAAGAATATGATTTTTTAGAAGATGATGACGTCTATTTGAGGAAAAGCAAAAAAGAAAATGAGATCAACAAATTGCAGAGACGTGAATCCAAGATTACCTCAAATTCGAAAAGAAGCGAAGAAGAGAGGAGGAGATCGAATTTCAGATCGATCGCGGAAGAACCTAAAAAAGGCAATCTAAAAAGATCGTTCTGCAGAAGTAACGTGGATATTAGGTAAGCAGAAAAGAAGATATTTCTTAGAAATATCGTTTATTTTCCGAGTATAGTGTATTGATCGTATGTAGATATGTATAACACCGATCGAATTCAATTGTTTGAAACAGACAAAAGAGTTTCACGGATTCCGCAGAAATACCGTATTCCGAAGTGCTTAGAAGATCCAGTTTATGTGACGGTTACAAGAATGACTCTAAGAAAACAGACTTTATTCTCGAGGAAAAAGACCTTACAAATCATTCCCAAAATACAAATCTGACTAAACAGACATAAGTAAGTATATACATAATATTTATATACATATACTGTGTGTGCATATATATAATATTAAAATAAATAAATACATATATAATATAAAGAAAATAAATTTTAAATTATCGTACATGGCATATAAATATACATATTTTAACTCGACTTTTGCGCGAAAAAACAAACACGCATATAAAGAAGTTGCTTCTCAAAGTTAAAAAAATAATTCTTCTTTTTTTTACAAAAAATTTAAGAGAAAATTGCAACGTTTTTACTTGCGCGAGAATCACAGTACAAAGAAACACGATACGTATGACACGTGGTGACGAACATTTTAAACGCGCGACGAGATTAAACGATTGACTGGTGTGATAATGAGGGCACTTCCCGGCAGTAAGCTCATTCTGCTTATCTCCCATGACCCTCTGAACGCGATCAGTTCTTCGCACTCAATTGTCTTTTTAAACACCTCTCGATGTCACGCGCGCGCGCGCAGAAAAACGAGAATATCTTTTATAAATTTTTCCACTTAACCGTGATCTAGATTTGACTTTTATACGTGTAATAGCTGTAAATATCTTTACTATTTCTTTTAAGTGTCTTGGCACACGTAAATCAAATACATTTTCCGTCATTTATCATACTTGTTAGTCATTAAAGAAACCGGTCTCTCTTTCTGAATTAGAGATGAAAAGCTTTTAAAGTTTTCAAAAGCTGAAGAGGAAAATGAGATTAGGATTTCGGGTGAGGAAACAATGCATTAAATACAAGGACGTACAGCGAGAACAGTTTGCTTAGCCACTCTTTAATAGTTAAAACCCGGATGTTGCGTAGTTAGAGGAACTTAAGTCGCACGAATGCACTGCGTGACGTCTTTGTGTCCCAGTTAGGACAATTTAGACAACTTTTATTGTTAAATTCGGACGTTCCTGAATGTGAGGACGCGCAAACAGATTCCGGCACTGTTTCTGCGGACTTATGAAAGAAATGTATTTTCCAAGCTACATGTGAATAGAATAATATGTATATCTTATATCGATGTATCATACTTTATATAAACGCGAATATCACTGACTGCAAATCACAAAATGTTCGAACTATAAATAAACTCGCGAATACGAATCGCGATTCGCGACGCGACGGCGCTGAGTAATCTGCATATCAGACCGAGGACAGACGGAGCGTCCGCAATTTGCCATTGCAAGGTAATACACGCTTTTCCCATTCTTAACGTGACGACCGTGTCATTCTAGACGACGGCCATTGTCACCGGGATGTGATGCCAGTTCCCGCATCCGCCTTTTAAACTCGATCTTCTGCTCTCGTACTCATACATTATGGCAAAGTTGTAGCTTCATTTCTGTTGCAAATAAAACGGCAATAAAGTTATATAATTCACTATAGAAACGTTTGTTGTACACGCTGCTGTAAGATTAAAAAGACTTTGTAAAAAAATCACGAAAGCGCTGCTCAAATGTCGCGGCAAGGATGTGAATGGATACATATCGACATAATAACCGCAATTACGTCTGTATGTAGACGCGTGCGCGCGTAATTAGACTCAACTGAAGTCGTGAATAATAGTGAGAATGAATAAGCTATGGTCATATGATATACACTCATAGTTGATATGTTCGTATACTAATTCGCACATTGTAATATTATAAGTTGAATCAACGTTATGAAATCAAATTAAATCAACGTGAAAACCAATAAGCCTAAGATTCTGGGTGAAGGTGGGCGTGAAATTAAATAACAGCCAATGCAATTGTTATGAAATCACATCGTATTAATTAGATTAAGAAAATATTAATTGGGTGTTTGGGTTGTCAGAAAATATTGAGAAAATCCGCAAAACAGAAAAAAAAATTATAAAGAAAAACCATGCAAGAAAGTAACAAAGAACACACACGTTTTTCGAACCAGTGTAAGTACCAGCTGTTTTTGATCTCACACGGACGTGATCTCGCACTGGCCGTGAAGACGCGAAACTTTCGCGTCATTCTTAATAAACTCACAGAGATGAGTAGGAGGTAGAGAAGGTTGTTTAGAAAGGAAGAAGAGAGAATAAAATGAAATAAGAAAGAGAGAGAGAGAGAGAAAGAGATTAGAGGGGGCCGATGAAACGACTGTGTGGCAGAGGCGTCTGACGTCACCGAAAAAGCCCGCTGATGCGCGATTCTCCTCGTCAATGTGAGCTAACTCGCAGTTTCATGAAATGCTTTGCCGTCGATATCTCGCATATTTTCTCATCGCATGAAATATCGCCGACGCGATATTTTGTATTTTTGTAACACAAGCGCGTACGGGAACAAAAACACGCGCGCGGATTCTCTAAAGAGCGTTAAAATATCGGCGGAGAAACGATGTGTTTGGTGTCGTCACGTGAATCATTGCACACGCGCGAAGTCGAGATAGTGTGCAAATGAAAATATAAACAGAATGTTTCGAAGTGACAAGCGTGCTACAAAGAGCGCCAAAGTGCACGGGACAATATTTCCGGAGTTTCGGAGGTAACACACTTTGGAGATTTCTCAGAAAAATCGTTCTGAAAAATTAAACTATTTCATCAGAAGATTGCAAATTAATCAAAAATATTTATTATCTCAGAAATTAAAAATTCAATATTAAAACATAATGTGACTGAAATGGAATCTCGTATTCGAGATTTGAATTTGATGTGACACGCGAACACAGAGGATGTATGAATCTGTAAATCTATATAGAGATAATAAAGGCTTCTATACGCCCTCGCATGCGCCCGTTGGGATCTATTTCCGGCGCGAGAGGAAACGCACGAAAACGCGGAGAGATGCGCTTGTTCGCGCGCAAACATTCCGCCGCACAAATCTATGGCATTATATAAATTCATTTTATACGCGCTATGGTACATTCGATATTTTATTTAATTTTAATTTCATACATTTCAGTTTAAGTGTTGTAAATATTCTATTCCATTACGTACGTTTTTAATTATTTTTTACGTTGTATTTGTAGTTGTTTCGTATCTTAGCACAAGTCTAAATACTTTTTCAAAATGCAAATTTACGAATCTATACAAGATATTCGCGAAACAATTTTATATTCAAGTGTTCGTGACCTTTTTTACATTAGGTCGTTTGAAATAGGCTTTATATGCGTGTCCAGTGATTAAGGCGTACGTGTATTATCCCCGCCCGCGCGTTGTAAAGAGGTAAACGCCATGGCGATATCTCGTGCGAATCGAGCGAACGAACACGAGCGAATCTGAAACAGTAGTAAGCGCGACTTGCGTACGTGCGCTCGACACTGAGTTGGAAAATCGCGGAAAACCGTTACTTTTTAAAGGTACGCCGTTTTCAGTCGTTCATGTAAAAGAGTCGCGTACAGGAACCACACACGTGCTAGAAATACTTAAATTTATTTGCAAAAAAAATTTCGTCATAAGATAAGTGCAGGCAATAAAACTGCCACTTGTATTTTAAACGCAGATTTTGCACCATTTTATTTCTTTTTTTTACTATCAACCATTTTTAGTCGTTTACATCAAAAACGTTACGTATAAAGATGAATGAACAAAGATTATGAAAAAAGAACATTCGGGATTTATTTACTCATCGATGCTGCTTTGTTTCACAGGGTCGAAGACTATCGAGATGGGGGGGTTTAGGTGAAAATCAATCTTATAAACAATTTAAAGAAAAATCAAATAGAAAAGAAATGAAAGAAGAGCGCGTTTTATCGATATGGAATTAGAATCAGATTGATTTTCTTCCTGAGAGGGAAGAAAGAGACAATGGAGGAACCACCAAAACTCTTCCGGCTTCCTGGGACTATTGACGAGGAGGAGGAGGAGGAAAAAGCGGAGGGTCAGAAGGCGAAGGAGTTATTGGAGAATATGGCAAGGGCGGAATCCCCTCTACTGGGACAGAGAGTCATTTCGACTCCTAGTCTGCCGAGGAACATCACTCTTGTCAGGGTCAGCACTCAGAGCAGCAGCATCGCCGGCGGCATCGTTCGGCAAGACTCTACCAGGTAAAGCTACACGACTCTCTCGGGCCGTTATCTATCGATCTCAAATTCGTTCCAAAGATTGAACGAATCTCGAGTCCGTCGCGAGATTGTTCGCCTCGATAGTGCCACTAAAAGAGCAAACGCGCCATGTTTGTCGAAGTAATTAACGACGCTTCTGCTCAACAGGTGTTCTTTATGTTTTGAGCAGGAGCCAACGAAGGAGACAAATTTTGATGATAGAAATGTTAAATTTAGACGCGCGCGTTTACACTGCGTCACTATAAGCACTCGAAAAGAGAAGTTTCATTATTTGATATTTTATATGCAACTATTTGTGGTCTGTAACAGGCAGTGTCTCAGAAAGAAAAATTACGCAAATATGTAATTAGCGTTTACTTCTTACGTACCGTTATACGTACAACACGTGTGCAACATGCAGGCGCATATAACATTGCGATAATAATGTCACACGTCATGAGCTTGATAAATGACGACTCATTAGGAAAAGCGAGTAAAAGATAAACATAGACAGTACAGCAACGTCGCATTTGTGCACGCGACATACAACGTAAAAATGTTAAATAAATGTGTACAAACGCGCATTAATTGCGTTTAATAATATCGCTAACTTCAATGACAGATCCCCCTATTTACATGAAAGTGTTGATATTCAATTTTGTCATTGACAAGCAATGTTCTTGCACAGTGAAGTTTCGCTTTCGCGGTTGCTATTGCGTGTTCCATGAGAAAGTAACCTTCGCATCGTCACCAATGACAACAGCAAATTCGTTTTACTGATAAAAGATCGCGATAATGTTAAATACGTACTCAGAAAAGTTAAGGGAAAAGATACGGTCGCGTGACCAAGAGAAATCATCAATCGCGCAGCTTCCGTTGCGGAGCAGGCCGCTCGGTAATTTGATTAAACGGTTCGTTATCGTCGCATAATGACCGTCAGTTAGATCTAGTCCGTCCGCGATACTGATAGAACGAAAGACCGTTCTTATTTTTGTTGCATACGATTTTAATTCGCATGTATTCGAAATTGCGCCTCAATCATGGATCACAAGAGAGCAAACATTACGAGGAAAAGGCCCACTCGTAAAAAACTCAAACGAAACAGCTGGTTGGTGTAGTCACTTCACGTTTGCTTACCGTCTCAATGCTGAATTAGTTAGTAAACTCGCGGTTTGCGCAGCTATTAAGGTCATTACCAAACAAAACGACACACGTGTTATTTTTTTCGTTTTGTCTCCGAAAATAAATTTTTTCTGTTTGGACGTTTCATCTTTATTATTTTTAGATTCAAAGAATTTTGCAAAAAACCAATATAAAATGTAGTTTAATGAAATTTTTTTATGTCAGTAATAAATTAATAAATTATATTTTAATAAATCAGAGAAATCATTTAATGACGATATTTGTCACAATTGTAAAACTCGAGGATTAAAAAAATTAATTTACTAAATAGTGACGGTAATAATGATTTATGAAAATAACGAATAATGCACGAAACCTACAAGAAACCTAATTGCTTAACACGTCAATTCCATGTATCTATTTATCACGAGTCTACGCATGATACACATAACTAATAAATTTTTTTAACTATATCAAATGTAAATATATCAAATGTATAGTAAAATTTAAAATATCTAACAAAAGATTACACCGATTAAAATATTTCACGCCAAGAGTCTCTTGTCTTGACGCGTTTCGCGTACATCAGCGGAATTTTCAGCAGCCAGTCGGGTCCTGATAACAAGATGCCAAGAACATTGATAAGAAGTACGCGTTGCATGTCAGTCAGTCGAACGAGGATCGCGCGTCGAGGATCGTAAAGTCGTTTTGCTCTTCGTAGTGGCTCCACGTGTCGTTTCGTTCTGTCTTTCAAGTTTTCTACGAATTTATCGTAACTTGAAAAATTGTGACACTTTCGAAAGAAAACTTTTATAGAAAATATCACTTCAAAAAACGTGAAATTTGGGAGATTAATTTACAAAAGCACTCGGTAAAGTGAAAAACTTTGCTAATATAACATTTTAATGTATTCCTAATACACTTTGATCCATGTGCGTTGCGATGACAATCATCGCAAAATATCTTCGACGATATAACTATATCCTGATTTTGTTTGGTCATCAATCACGGGCTTGTCAAAAGCGAGAGCAATCGTTGTCTATTTATCACGCACGTGTGACGCAACGTAAGTTGTGAGTGATCACTTTTTTCTCGCGAGAACAGAAAGAACAAACGTTTGTTAGCGAACCAATAAATGGCGCCCGACGGTCACACCGCATGGTATAAGACGTCGCATATGACCGACTGTTTGCTACAGTCTATCTCGATGAGAAGTAGCAGATTCTCCACCACCATCCTCCGCCTTCTTCGATTACGCGACAATCGTCATCTGACCGATCGGATCATTTAGAAAAACTTGTCAACGACTTGCCGAGTGCGTCGCAGATTAGAGAACTGATTAAAAGGCGTTACAACTCGTGTTAATTTCATTGTGCGAAATTACGGCGAAGTGGAGAGATCGACAGAGTGAAAAGTGAGTCCTCTGGATAACATCGGATATCCTCGTGAAAAAAAACGACCTAGATAACAGAAGGACACAGTAAATAAGATCATTAATAGAATCAGTAGTAAGCATGAGACAGTTTTTGAATTAAGAAGATTGATCGAGAAAGGATCCAAGGAAAAAACCATTTTCTTGAGTCGCATGTTCGATTATCGAAAAAGAAAATCTTCGAAGTCTTGAACGTTTATGGAAGAAAAAGTATTTGGAAATCTGAAAAATTTCAAAAAGTAAGAAGCAAGAGTCAACATTTCAGGAATTGATTGAAGATACAAAATCAGAATAAAAAATAAAATATTGTTACAATTTTGTACTCGGTTTAAATTCACGTGCATCGAAGTGTCAGTCGTTAAAAAGTTTGGTGCCAGAATCGTGCGTTACAATAAAACGAGATAAACAGGATGAACAGGATAAATGGCGATGCGCTGAAAATGGGTGACAAATCACCGTCGCCCGATTGCGGGGAAGAGCAGAAACTTATTTCGCCGACTACGCCGACGACGCCGATGATCGTGCAAGTAACAAAGAATCCATACGCATCTTTAAAGTACAGGTAAAATAGTACAAAAAAAAAAAATTGAATTTTTGATACTACGCCTCCGAAAAACAGTCTCAATACTTCTGTAATCTTATATTGTTTTGACTAATGAAGTCGCGTGACAGAAATCAACCACAATCAGCAATATTTTTACATGTACTCGTCATGTGTCAGTACGATCTTCTGTGTTTGAAACGATATGTTGCGTAATATGCACGAACCATAACACGTTTTTCAGATGTAGATATATGTTTAAACACACGATAAATTATTTCTAAAACGATAAAAAATCGTTACTTTCACGCTTTAAGACTCTCCTTCCTCTTGTGACGCATGAAAAAAAATGCTTATCGCATCTTTTATTACTTGTGTGAATACAATAGAGAACATTGTATTCACACAAATCTATCATTTAATGTTATGCATAATAGACCATAAAAACATTTTGTCATAATTTTCTGAAAACTTACCATATTAATTGATTTTAAATATAAATCATAAACTTTAACGAGAGAACTGTCGAATATATTTATTAATATTGTGTTTATACACATGTTATTATTATAATACGTATAAGAAGTTTTGCTCACTTTAAGGAAATTTACACTTTACTGAAGTAGCATTCCAGAAACGACTGATATTTGATTATTCTGCGACAGTTACTCTTATCAGCGTCTTACGATGTTCGATAAGCGGCTTAGAGATCGGCATATCTTAAAGACGGATTGTTCGAGGTCGCGAGCTAAATCGCGTTTGTAAATACTCTAAATATTAGAACAATTAATCAAATTAAATTTAAAAAAACCTTTCACGTGTTTGACTTATAAGATATCAGATAATTCGGTATAATGTCGCGTAACAATGACCTAATTTTTTTGTATTTGATATCGACTGTCGACAAAAACAAATAAGCTAATAACAATCATTCTTCCCGATCAGCTGATCGGTGTATCGTTGACCCGAAGAGAAGTTGCGGAAGCATACAGTCACTGGCTTGGGAACTGATTAACGCGCGGTAATAAGTAAATTGGCAGATAACGGCTGCTCGGCTATCGTTCAAAGTCAAAATGGCGACTTCCCTTTTGTACGTGTGTACACGCGTTAGCAAAGGGAGATCCGGGAACCCAAAAGAGAAAGAGAGAGAGAGAGAGAATGAGTCTTCTCGGTGGTATCGAATAGCTGACAGTGATATCTCGCACACAAACAACATCGGGCCGTTCTCTCCGCAGCTTGACCGCTGTGAGATTAGTGCGTATGCAAGTGACTCGCGTGATACGATACGCGCTCGCCGCGTATTTAATATTCGTTTCCAAATTGATAATGATTTTCTATGCATATAAAAAAATACGTTTTGTTGAAATCCGTTCGTCAATACGTAAAAGCCCACGTGGAGGTAGCGCGATACCGTATGTAACAAGTGTAATTAATGCATAAATATTGACTACAATACAATACGCTATAGCTATAGCTAAGTAGCTTTTTTAATACGATAACGAAGCTAGTGGCGAGACCTTTGTTTTGAAACATTTTAGTCGTTTTCCGTTGTCATGTCAGAGTGCAAGAACGATGACGAACAATGCGCAGAGATCCATGGTGAGTGAAGACTGAAACTAAAATCTTTAACTTCTGTTAAATAAGCCGAAGTACAGCTGTGTGAGTTACATAAATGAACGAGGCGTATCTGTAACGCATATTTTGTAACACAAAAGAAGTTATAAAAAGAAGGCCGACAATGAAAAAAAAAAAAAGAAAAGAGTAAACTACTCCGGTCACAGAGTATTGATGAGAAAAGTTTACCATCATTGTCATGTAATATTATCTAATGTCTCGTTAGTTATTGTCATGTAAACGCGAGGAAATGCAAATACTTGTGGGTAACTTGTGTCTTCGAGATTTGTTATTCAAATTCCATCTTCCAATTGCGTTGCACATCTGGCACGACAGTATAATCCTCACATACCTTGTAAAGCAAAACCTTGGCAATGATATACATAGGTTTTACATTTTGCATTTCAAAACCGCAAATTGCGTAATGTGTGTCTTTCAATTTATGTCGCTATATATAAGTGATTTTCAAAAAACAAAAAACAAAAATAAGTTAATTATCACAGTGATGTCACTCACTTCATTCGTTGTCAAAAAAATGTTACTTTGATTAATTAAGTTTTTCAAGAAATTGATTCGAACAGTTATACAATATATAAATTATTTTCTAATGACGAGGAAATTAATTGTAAATTAAAGAATAACCCACTGCTCTTCAACACAAGTTGTACATTTGTATTTTCAGGAGCCGATACCGGGCTGGACCGACGCGGAAGCTGCGTCGTCGCGCCGTCCTAAAGAATGGCGACTGCAACGTGTTGCAATCACGCATTTCTCGGCGATCGTTGCGTTTTCTGCAGGACCTCTTCACAACCCTGGTAGACACACAATGGCGTTGGACACTGCTGTGTTTCATCCTGAGCTTTCTTTTATCCTGGCTAGGCTTCGCAGTGTTATGGTGGCTGATTGCCTTTACTCACGGTGACTTTGAAGAAGACCACCTGCCGCCGTTCCAGGTGGAGAACAACTGGACGCCGTGCGTCTACAACATCTTCAGTTTCACCAGCTGCTTTCTCTTCAGTATCGAAACTCAACACACTATCGGATACGGCAGTCGTTCCACTACGGAAGAATGTCCTGAGGCCATATTTGTCATGTGTATACAGAGCATTTCCGGTTGCATGATTCAAGCTTTTATGGTAAGTTTGTTCAGAAAATATTTGTTACATGCAAATGTTGTGTGATTTCAGAAGTTCCAATTTTAAGTATCTAATCGCAGGTGGGCATCGTGTTTGCCAAGATGACCAGGCCGAAGCAGCGTACACAGACTCTGTTGTTCTCACGGAACGCCGTAATCTGCCAACGAGATGGCGAGCTCTGTCTTATGTTTCGCGTGGGCGACATGAGGAAGAGCCATATAATTGGGGCAAACGTTCGCGCTCAGGTAATCCGCACCAAAACGACCAAGGAGGGCGAGATTTTGTCCCAGCATCAGCAAGAACTGACGGTAGGCACCGACGGCGAGAACGGCAATTTGTTTTTCATCTGGCCGACCACCATTATTCATCGGATCAATGAGTCCTCGCCTTTTTACACCATGTCCGCTGAAGACATGTTAACCGAACGTTTCGAGGTCGTTTTGATCCTGGAAGGTACAATTGAATCGACCGGACAAACCACTCAAGCCAGGTCTAGTTATCTTCCTCAGGAGATTCTGTGGGGTCATCGTTTTGACCCCATGGTGAGTTACTCGAAAGAGCGGCAAGGCTACGAGGTAGATTATTCGCTGTTCAATAGCACCACCCAGGTGGACACTCCATTGTGCTCGGGCAAAGAGCTCGCCGAGTTCTACAGGGATGAAATTCGTCAGGGAACCGGTAAATACTTCGTGATTTACTTTTTACTAACACAAGTCTTCACACAATTTTCTCTCGCTTTATGACACATAAACACAATAGAATAACAACAATCTCTCTCCAAGTAGCGTATACTGATAAAAAAAATCTGTTTCGTTTATAAATTATTAGAAAATATTATCAACAAAATTTTGTTTCGCAAACTAGTTTATAAAGTCAGAATGACATGAGTAAAAACGAAATGCAGACCTTGTCGGAACACACATGTGATTTTGCACAAAAATTATCGCATTAACACCGAGATCTTTGATTCTTGATATCATTATCAAGATACGAGCATGAAGATATTGACATATCGGAGAACGCAGATCTTATCTATCTTATCGATATACATTACAATTAATATATATACATATCTCATGGTCAACAAGTTTGTTTAACGAAAAATAATTTCTCGATGTATATTCGATAATTAGTTTAATATCACATAGTTATATCGATATATGACACTTGACGTTGTTCATTCAAAGTTTTTATCTTTAAAACTCAATGCTCACACACAACACAATATTTAAACGTTTTCCGATATAATACGCCTTTAAAGATAACCAGGCAATGAGACTTAGAAACCTAGCAATGCATCCTCTATATACATATGTAGATCAACTTGTAAGCTAAACCAGATCTTCCCACTCTATTTTTCTAGAAGGAAATATGAAACTAACTGCACATCTCGAAATCGATTTCATTATACTTTGTTAGGATGCATGTTCGGAAATTCTTATTCTTCTCAAGCGCTTTGAGATTCGTTTATTGATGAGGAAGATTAATAAAATGCTAAATGTATATTAAATGTGCAAGTGTCAGTTGGCATGTTAACGTTTTGCTTAATCGGACCTCTCTCGAGCATATTAATTTTCAGCTTTTTGCTAATCGCTCGTTAAGATCAAACGCTTTGCACATGTAGCTTGTTGTTGTCCTTGTCTGATCGTCTGGTACCGGCTATACTGCAGATGGAGGCCTGAAGAAAGTGCCTAGCGAGCCAAAGAGCGTTCCGGTTTTCAACACGCTCCCTCGAGTCGATAGCACGGGATTTCTCATTCACCAAGGTCACCATTCTCAGAAATCGTCCAAGCTGCATATCGACATACCGTCTATCGACGATTGCCCTGGAGTTTGATGACTCGGTTTCTCGTAGATTAAAAAAAGAGAGACAAAAAGAAATTTAAACGAAGCAAATATGAAAAAAAAAAAAAAAAAAACAGTGGATACAAATGACAAGATGATAAAGAAACGACATCGCTTCTGTTCTTCAAAAAAATTATACGTTTGCTTTGAGATTGGATAACCAAAAAAAGTGACAAAGACAATATAAAACTTGAATTCTCTTAAGAAAACCAAACTATTTGAATCTTTTGGAATGTTTGTTAAGCTTAGTTGTGATCGTTCATAAATTCTGTGTCGAACTACGCATTAAACATTGAGATCATATTATAATCATGCTGATTAGAAATTAAAATTCGACTCTGAACGATGGAGAGCAAACCGAACGTTTATTTCAATTTTTAATGCGTAGTCTTCATGCATCGTACGAACATAATGTAAACGATGTTGAATTGTTTTTCTGAAATCTGACTGTGTGTCGGAAAATATTCTCCTCTAACACACATTTACTTATATATTAAAATTTATTTCAAGTTTCAACGCAGACCGTAGGAGATAAAGTCAACATAATGCAGAGGAAATGTAACACAATCTATCCGTTTTGGCTTTTTCTTTCATTCTTTCTTTGGATTTGTTGTACATATAACGTTGTATGTTGTATGAAGATGTTCGAAGGCTTAAGTTTTGGGTGTGGGAGAGAAAATCTGTCCTCAGCATGACGAAATTAAAGTGGATAATAACAACATTAACCGATCTCAAGGTCTTGAAAATTATTTAAGTCGCAGACTACCTTGCAGGTGTTCTAATCGACGAGGATCATTTAACCGGAAGACAGTGTTGGTGCAATTGTCACGCGTCGATTAATCAGCGATGTCTTCGGACGCCTCTCTCACCTTTGACATGTTCGAACTGTACATGTTCGAATTGTACTTCGCACGAATTCCCAAGTGAAAACATGGAGCAGTCCAGAGTATTCAATTTCGATCCTGACGCCATTCAGGTGATGCAAGATACAGAATTCGAACAACTTCCGGAAGCGGTGAACAGAGAGATCGTTAAGAATAGCGAGGAGATTGTCTTCGAAGATGAAGAGGAAATTTCTCCGACAGATTTTAACAGAAATCCGAATTACGATGTTTTTGTAATAAATAACCGAAGTTTTCGAGGATCCGGAAGAAACACAACTAATCGAGCAATCGCGCCGACAAGAGAACAAAAACATTCGATGAGAGATTCTTTTGCAAACGAGAAGCAACAAAAGTCTTTGAAACAGTCCAGTCGAAATAATTCGTTCATTATAGATGATAAAAAGTCGTTTAGAGAGTCAAGAAAAAAAGCTGTTGACAACGTGAGGAACATCAGGATATTGGAGAGTCAAAAGTCTTTCAGGGAAACTCGAAAATACCTTGCAGTGCCTTTAGATCATGCAAACGGCAGACCGTTTTTTCATCAGAGATTGAATTATGATCTTCTGAGGCAAGGAAAAAATGACCATCTAATGCGACAGTATGATAACATCAGGATCGAAAACGAAAAGACACTAAAGAGACCTTCGTCAGATAGTCTTGCTAAAATAGTGGTACAACGTAAACTTTGTTCTAATGATTTACGTTTGCCGATCTCTCCGGTTTCCGATCTTTCGCCGGAATCGGGATTTTGCGACGGAAGTCCCCAGAGCAATCATACGGAACCTCGTCTGTTTACGAGGAGGATGAAGTACATTGATGAAGTTCTGGACAGAGAAAAGAGTAGTTCTTCAGAGAGTAACTTATCACAAAAAAATGTTGCTAGTGATGTTGACAATCTAAAAGAATGTGCTAAAGATTATACTTTTGAAATATCTAACTGTAAAAGAAACGACGTCAAAGATGATGAGAACACAATTGTTTTACACAGTAGTCCGTCTTGTAAAAATATTAGTGATGACAATGACATTCCAATAAAAAAAGAAGAAAATATTGACGACTCGAAACTGTCAATTATTGAAGAACAATCCACACGTGGAAAAGACAATATTCAAAATGTTGACGAAACGAGAAAAGCAGATAGTTCCTTAAATATCGATACATCTTACAAGTGTGTTATCGAAAATGATGATTTAGAAGAATTCGATAATACTATTGATATTGAAGAACCACTTATCAACAATAATAGAATAATAATAACAAAGATGCAAAATAGTGAATTTTCAGAGCACGATATATCGAGTGAAAATTTAGTAACAAAATTAATTTAGCTAACTAATTTTGTATAGCAAATTGCGATAAAATAATAGCGACAAAACAAAGATTTAGATTACAGGCTCTGATAGTAAAATTGAAATTGTGTCAAAGATAAAAGACAGTGATAATGAATGATGTAGAAAAAAAGTTGTTGGACAATATCAAAATTGAAAAATAATTATAATAATATAGGTAGAAAACAATGTGTTATAGTAATAATTGAGAATCAGATTAAACTTCATAATAATATATCGAATAAATTCAATATACATAAATAAAAACTCTTTTAAAACAAGTGATAGATTAAATCGCTGGTCGATTGGTTGTAATATTGTACAGTTCAAATTTTTATATATTGTATAGAAGATAAAAAATGTTGAAAAGAGAAATTAATTCGAACAATTTAAACATTGTTGTGTGATCGATATTGTTATTTAGTGTTGATATAATTCCAATTCTCTAGGTTTACAAAAATTTATTTATTATTTAAAAAAATCAAGAATGTTATATAGAACAATTCCAAGTAGAATAATCTGTGTATATAATAATTACGTCTTGTAATTTTTTAGCTAAGCCAATATATCGAATGTTCCACAAAAACAATAATATAAAATTTATTATAAAAAGTCAAATTTAGTAAAAAAAAATATATCAAAAATAATATTGAATCTCTAATTCGGACGGCTGTTTGAGAATTTTGATGCATTTGGTATTGTCATTATTAATATATTGTATTATTTAATATATTAATGTATATCAATGATGTTATATTATGTTTATAAAATAAATTATATTAATATAATAAACAAGATGCGACATATGAAAAATGTATCAGTGTATAGTAATACAATATGAAAAACGTAATTTATTATACAACATCTTTTGTAATAAAAGATATAAAAGAAAAATTATTATTCTAATTAATATATCTTATTGTTAATATATTAATCGTTGGTATATTAACGTTAGTACATTATTAATTAGTATTTACACTTCTTTTCACGTTGAAAGTGCGAATAACTGTTTGAGAGACTGTGACGTCATTTGATGTCGTGATTGTGTGAATTATGGCGATAAATTAAATTCTTATCACACGTAAGAAAATCAGAGCTGCATACGAATCATGTAATATTTGAATGTTTGCTTATCTGTAATGTTATCATCAAGACCGCGATAATAACTAGAAAAATTTTAACCGCGGTACAAGCATGTGGTTTTTTATTTTTTCCGCTTCGCACAAATTCTCATAAAGTATATAAGACCGATGTTTATTGGAAGACCTTAGTCTATTGAACGCCTTGATCGAGAAATATAACAAAATAATCTGGTATGTACAATATTTTAATTATTACAAGTTTTTCGAATCGCTTAAAAAAAAAAGTTTAAAATATTCCGTTATAAATAGACTATCTATCATCTAGATGATCTAAGTACGTTCTGTTTTATCCATGGACAAGTAATCTTTGCGATCACGTGTGTCGTACAGTTTATCGTTTACAAACACGCGCTGTACAACCGATAAGTCACGACAAGTGAAACAAATAAACGAGTCGTACCTTTCAATGTCACACAATAAACATGCAGGTGTCCGTGATATTTGCAGTAACAAATACGTGTTGAATTCGTTACCCAAGAAGAAACGTCGAGATTTGGAGAGATTCTTCGTTCATTTTAATTCGGGAAAAGTGTGCACACTGTTTTCGCATAGATGGCAGATCGGGAGGAAAAGATCAAGGTATGCGTGATCGGTGGCGGCGCGGCTGGTTTGTGCGCAGTCAGACACTTAGCGGCAAACTCGAAATTTGAAACGACGGCGTACGAACAGACGAACGAAGTAGGAGGCACGTGGGTTTACACGGAACAAGTGGGTCTCGACGAAAACGGTTTGCCGATTCATTCCAGCATGTATCGTAATCTGAGGTTCGCGATTTTATCATTCTTTTGTTATAATATATATATTTTTAAATTGACTATAATATTGATTGATTCTTTGGATATAAATGTGCAAGCTCACATTTTGTTTGCACTTTATGTAGAACAAACTTGCCAGCGAAGATTATGAACTTTCCCGATTACATTGTAATGGAACAACAAGAGCCCAGCTGTGTAAATCACGAGGAAATTTTAAATTATTTGAAAAATTACGCTCAGCATTTTGACATATGTCGACATTTTCACGTAACTGTTTTATTCTGTTAAAACCGTTTACAAAAAAAAGTTTGCGCACTTGCGTGTGTTCAATAATTAATTTTCATTCTTTAGTTTAATACGAAAGTCGAACATGTTCGGCTGGAATCGTCCGAGTTTTACGATAAGTGGTCTGTGCAAGTGAGAAAATTGAAAACTAACGAGACGGAAGTTCGACGTTTTGACGCGATTATGGTTTGCAATGGGTGAGGCGTTATATCCGTTATTAAATCAAAATTTAATTCGTATATGTAATTTCGCAATTTTAGATTGAATTTCTTCTCAAAATATTTTTTTCTATAGACATTTTTTTGTTCCTAATACACCAACTGTTACGGGAATAGAGAGCTTTCCAGGTTTGATAATGCACAGCCACAAGTATAGAAAACCTGATGGGTTTTCCGGAAAAACTGTGTTTATCTTAGGTGCAGCTTCATCTGGTATCGATATAGGAATCGAATTATCCGAGTACGCGAGTCACGTATACTTAAGTCACAACTACGAAAAGTGAGTGATTAATCGAGTTAATGATAAAAAGTTTTTTTCAACTAACATTAAAATTTAAGATACATTACCAAAAAAAAAAAAAAAAAATACAGAAAAATGTATGTAAGATAGTTTGTAAATATTTTTTCCTGCAGATTAAAGAGTCCTTTGCCATCGAACATGACACAAGTCGCGGGTGTCGAAAGCGTGCACGAAAATGCGTTTCACCTCAAAGACGGTACCATTGTCGACGCTGTCGACGTGTTTCTCTTCTGCACCGGATACAAATACAGTTTTCCCTTCTTGGACGAGAATTGCGGCGTGCGAATTGATGATAATTATATAACTCCGCTTTACAAGCATCTGATCAACATCGAGCATCCCTCGATGTGCATCGTCGGTGTACCAACGATTGTCTTGCCGTTTCCCATGTTTCATATGCAGGTAATTATTCACGTTATCTAATATATAACGTGATAACAACAATAAATTGTTGATAAGTCGCACGTAACTTTGTAATTACCCACAGTGGTGCGAGTAACTTTGTTCGTTAGCCGTCTGATTGTGAATGCTTGATCTATTGTGTGAAATTACGTCCGTATTAAATTTCAAAAGTTTCCGATGCAATATAATGAAATAAAATAAATATACGCGAAAATTAAGATAACTTTGTCGCACGATAATTATATACGCGTGGAGAAAATGTTTTTTGAATTTGTGTGTCTCAGGTACAGTATTTCTTGGCTCTGCTGGAAAATCGAGCAACTTTACCAGCTAAATCCGTGATGCTAGAGGATTCGGTCTTAAAAACCGCTAGAAAGAAGCATGCGCATAAGTTAATGGATAAACAGTGGGATTACAATGATTCCTTAGCGGATGCTGGTGGATTTAAGCGATTACCGGTATTCTACAAGATCGGTTATACAGCGTGGAACGTTAACAGAATATCGAATCTTTTGCGTTATAAAGATTCCAAATTCGTCGTTTCCGAAGACGGGCAAAGCGTCGAGGTGGTCCTACCAAATTGAGAAGTAAACTTCTACACTAGTGCTTTTTTTGATAATGACCTTTCCGAAAGACAAAAGAACGCATTATAATATAGAAATATTATAATATAGGCATGCATTCATTATAATATAGGAATTACATATTTTGTAAATATCAGAATTAATTTCTTACAACTATATATCTGTTTTAAGTTGTCGGCACTTTTTTCTCTTCGTTGATTTTATTTTTAATCCAATTTCGAAGTAGCACAGCGTCGGTATACACACCAGGCGAATTGTTATCGGCACAACTATTTCCCCATGAGGTTATACCGAGCAGAATATTGTCTTTATTAACTAGCGGTCCTCCGGAATCACCCTGTTTGTAATATCAAATATAATAAATATATAAATGCGCAAGTATAGTTGTATCTCACCTTACAAACGTCTTTAACTCCTTGCTGAAATCTGTAACACGTCATTCGAGGTGTCAGCATGTATCTGTATATGGAATTCTCGTAGCATAAATCTTTTTTTACATGAAATACATTGGTGCATTTCAGATCTTTAGACAGAACTGGTTCAATAAAGCCGTCGACTTCCTGCGTATTTCACAAAAAAAGCTTTTAACTTTTTTGAGAAAAAAAAATTAGAAAAAAAAAACGACAATTGTTTTTTCAATGCCAATATTGTAACGACGTATATTACCGAGTAATATCTCCAACCGCAGACTTTACCCCATTCTTTAAAAACGTTTTCAGCGTTGTCTGGTGCCAAGTCAACTGGTTTTGTGAAATTATTATAGCTAAATGGAGGAGTTACTTTAATGGTTGCAATGTCGTAGTCTTCATCGTTTGTGTTGTATTTTTCATGTATCGAAACGTCGATCGCATCATGAATGACACAGTTTTCAAGATTAGAGGACCCACTGCATATAGTTATGTTTATAAGCTGACTTGTAGTTCTACGATGTAATATGTACTTATTAGTTTTGTAAAAATTGACAAATTAATTTTAGACATTGTTTAGGTAATTTTAGACATTTTTAAAACACCATTGTTTTACCCTCTAACGCAATGAGCCGCTGTTATAGCCAAGTTGTTGCTAATTGAAGCAGCGCCACACACATGTACATTATCCATCATCAATGACAACTGGAAGATAATAATTTTTATATATCTTTAAAAAGGTTAAAAACTGTTGTGTTACATATCGTGTCAAATTTGATGTAAAATTTACCATGTAGGGAACTGATGTAATTTCGGTGTCCGACTCATCAATGACTCTTTCTCCTGAATCACTCAAAACTCCGCCATGCCACCATACTATTTAATTTGTAGATTTATTGTTTTTTAGATAATGAGAATAAAAATTTATATAAATATACTCACTCATAAAATAAAAAAGAACAACCGAAGGAAAACGAACGTTCATTTTGACGATAGAAACGATACTAGGCAACTTGGCAATTACTAATCGTTATACAGCCAGTGTTTTTATGCCGTAAGTTATCAAAGGACAAAACGTTTATAAACTGTTAATAGAGCACTTTATGCAAATGACATAAAAAGTGCTCTATTTGTCATTACATAATTTTCAAACGGTGTATAATGTTATCGATAAAGCGTATTGCAAACGTATAGTTTTATTCTAAAGTAATATATGTGCGCTCATTATATAAAAACCCATTCAAATACATACCATGAAATCAAACTTGAACATCCACAAAGAAAGCAAAAATGTTTAATAATTTTTCTCATATACTATTTCATACATTTAATATAAAATATATAAAAAGATAATAAAATATAGAATATTAATATAGAATACATTACAAGTAAAAAGAATATTTAAAAAAATATATAGAAAAAAAGCGAGATGTTTTGTAAGCTTGCAGCACGTCGGACAAGCTCCGAAAGCTCGCCGGGCGGACCAATCGCTTTGCGAAACAATAAGCGACGAGTGCCTGCGGTGGCAGCGGCGGCGGCGACGGTGGCTAGTAACACCTACGTTCGAGGGGTGGCAGCGGTGTAGCGGCGCGGCGCCGCGACCGAAACTACCCTCCTGTCAGTCTGAAAGTCGCCGCGTATGCTCGCGGGCGAAACGCGATTTGTGCGTTAGCTGTGGTGCGCTGTCGCCGCCGCCGCCACCGTCATCGCCGTCGCCGCTGCATTAAAATTACCTACGTGTATATATGTGACAGTATCCGTGTGTGCATATTATATACGTGTACATAACACACGTGTGAATTCGCGCGAGTAAGTGCTCCGCTCTCGCACAAGGGGATATAAGTAACTTCAGGCGGCTCTTCGAGGGGAAAGCAGCAACTTCAGGTGTCTCGGCAAAGCGGCAAATCGCCGGGCGACCAACGAACGAGACCACCGTGTCCCCTGCCTCCTCTCTTCCCGGTGAGTTTCTCTTTTTTTGAATGTTCGCCAAAAACTCGCTCGCGAGTGACATAAGTGGTCGCGAGCCCGTCGGCGCGAGCTTGAGCTCATTCGCGAAACGTCGAAAAGAGCTGACAAAAGAAAAGCTCAGGTTTGATCCATTCCGCCTTCCGGAACGCCTTTGTTTAAGTGACCTGGCATTTTCGTTCTCCTTCTCCTTTCGTTTCTTCCCTACTGCCTCGAATTAGGAGAGATCATGATTTCGCGCATTTCTCTTTGTTGTTCGCAAACAGATGTGTACAAATCGCATCTGGTATTATAATTAGCATTAGCGGAATTATTGAACGTGTGAAAGAGCTAATCCGTGTGTAATCCGCGACGACCGCAAAGAGATTGTGGTTTGACGAAAAATTGCTCGCGCAAATTTTTCTATTCGAAAGAACCGAATGTACACAGTAAATAAATTCGAGATGATAATGCATCGCTGTGATATAAGACGATCATTGACGAAGCATATTTTTAATTTTCACTCCTCGCTATTTTAACGCAATAAAGTGACAAGTTATATACGTGTTCTTTTTTTCGAAAATTTTGTTCCTGAATTCAAATGTCAGTTATAAAGCGATAAAGAGTTCCGAACCGATGTTCTTCAACGTTGCTTTTTATCTTCTACTTTTTATTATAAATCGCAGTAGTACAGCGTAAAATTTAGTCAGCCGGCGCGCGCGCGCGCGTGCTTTATAACGTTTTCTTTCACTTGCTTGAACGTGATTCGATTTGATGTGAATTCATTGGTAGGAGACATACCCGAGCATCGACCATCAACGGCTTGTAGACGTAAACCTCCGTGCGGACGGGAATTTCTTTCATTCGGTTTCTCCTTCCTCTTCTCTCTCTCTCTTTCTTTCTCACGTTTAGTCCGATCGTTCGATCTTCCATTACCATCTTTGTGCGTGCAAAGGACTCTTCGACAAGGACCTGTTTACCATTAATGTCCTGACTCGCAATATCCCCGTTTGACGGACCGATCGCGGTCACGCGAGGATGGGTGAAGGATGAGGAAAGGTGTGCGGAGCGGCATGTAAGTGGTTCGATCGAGAGAAATGCTTTGCCGTTTCCTATCCTCGCGGATACGCGTATATCTCACTTCACATCGCTCACGAACAGAGAGAAATATTCACGGATATGAAAGAGCGAATAAATTCCACGAAGCGATAAACGAACGTGTGATAAATGCAAGAAATGAGCAGAGCAAGCGACCGTTTTCCAAGGTAAACAGCGTCGCTCGCGGATAGCTCGGGGTGGTTTGCGATACAGGTTATAATTACCAAACCTCTTGAGCCTGAGAGTTAGAAGTTTGCCTAGTTACATGTGATGCAGTCTAATCCGTCCTCTGTCCAAAGGTACTCTGTCTTTTTCTTTTTCTCTTTTTTCTTTCTTTCGTTTTCTCTCTGCCTAAATGCTTCTTCGTACAATCTTACTCAAGATGTCAAAGACACGTCGTATGCTTGCAACAAAATTCAAACAAAAACACGATCCGCTCTCTCAATTGAATAGAGTTATTGTATAATTGTACAGTGGAAAATGCAAAAAGTAGGTTAGATGATGAGACCATAGTTTAAAATAAAGCATAAATGCAGTTCGTGTCTGTAACGAGCCAACAGCGCAGAAGGGCAGAGGAGGAAAGGGGATGTATACGCACACCATATATGAATTATGAGTGAATGTATCGATCCCTCTCTCTTTCTCTCTCAACACGTATTTTATCGAGGACCGCGCGTAAAAACCACTCTCATTACACGATCTCTCTCTTTCACACGTTATTTCCAGAATGACTTTAATTCGCGGGACTGTCAGTCGCGGCATCAGAGTCGCATGTTCGTATTTTACATCTACAATTTACAAGTTATACGCGTCACATTGTCTTTTCCGAGTCAAGCAAATAGACACGTATTTTCTGTTGTTTTTCAATGCATTAAGCGAAAATCCAATACACGTTGTTCAATGTCTGGTTCATTCATAGATCTGGCATACATTGCAAGATGTGTCCGCGACAAGTCTCTTAAGCACGGCTTATCCGATTTACAGAGGCGATAAATCCTCGATACATCGGTTACATTTGTAATCGCATTAAAGGGTTTTGCTGGAAAGCAGCAAATACCAGCGTCTCAAATTATACAACCGGAGAGTTATTCCGGTCAAGTCGGACACGCAATAAATCAAGCGAGTAAGATACGTGTTTGCGGGGAGAAGTGCTACTTGTTCGGAACAATTGGATTCTACATTGACGCGCTGATGCATGTGCGTTATGTAAAATTTGTAATTCCAGAAAGTAAAGTGCGCCACGCAAATTTGCTCCCGAGGGAAATACACGCGCGTATTATTAATAATGCAGGTAAATATATAATTGGATATCGTGTCTACGCGCGGGTATTTAAATCGGGTTGCAAGAAAATCGATTAATTAAGCTTTGTTTACCCCGTTGCTGACATAACCGTATAATAACTCTTGATAATTATAGATCGTGCGTATAGCATTTATAGAACACTTGACCTGATATTTATATTAAACATTCGAGCTTCGGAATTTATAAAAGTATATACGAGGATTTCTCAGAGAAAGAGAGAGAGAGATATGTACATATATATTCACGGTTTCTATGTATAAATTTATGCAGTTCTGCTACCAACGCTTTCAAGAAGATCTTCACTCAAAGGTTTTTTTACTTCTCGCGAATGGAGGTTTCTGTAACTCTCTGGGTTATTTTCAGAAAATTATCAAAATGTCAGGTTGACAGCAACGGAGAAGTAGGGTGTACTACTCATTTAGAACATGTGAACTTTTGACCTCATGTTCCGTTATCAAGTCGTGCGCAAGTAATTTCCTAAATTGTACAAATGTACTCGCGATCCTCAGTGTTCTCCGTAGATAACATCCGTGGAAATATCTTGGTTTTTTTAAATATCGATTTACAAAAGTATAAAACCAAAACTTTTTGACTAAAACCAGAGTACAAGATTGGTCAATGTCACACGGTGAAAAACAGTCTTATAACTGTATAAATAGTCGTATTTTCAAGTAATGTCCGTCACAAATCTAGAAGTCACTGAAGCGACAAAGAGAAAGGATCGCCTTGACTTCGAATAACCGGCGATATTTCGCGGTTCACCTCGATCGAATCGATCGTCCTCATTCGTCGCGATCGATCGTTAATTCCGCTCCAACTAACTGGTCTAAAAATAATTTATTGACTACGTTTTATTAGAACAAGCATACAAGTATTGTGTGCCGCCTGTCTCTTTTATACATACCTCCGTTCGTCGAACTTTGCATGATCGATCATCGGAATATTTGATGCGTGCCAGCTTTAATGGACCAGAGAAGATAGATATGTCACGTGTATCGTAATTGGTCGCGAAGCAAAAATCCTCGAAGTTAGCTTCTTCTTTCAATGAAAACACTTGATAAACAACAACTTCTTTGAGTAAAATCGTTTGCACGCTTGCAATTTTTCAAGTGCATGACTCTCAGAAAAATGTTACAAAAACAAACTTCAAGAGCAATAACTTTATGGCAGCCAACTTCTCTCTCCTTCAACTTATTTGAAATTTGTTTTCAAAATCTCTTGCAATCGATAGATTCCATCTTGAAGTTAGCTTTTGCCTAAATTTCTTTTGTAAATAATTTTTTTAAGAGATATACGAACGAAACTTCCGAAATGCGCGAGAGTATGCGAACAATGTACGAACGAGTCACGCGAAGAAATTGTCTCGTTACGAACGAACTACGAGGATCGAAGAAAGGTATTTCTTAATACGATCGGTGTCAAGAGAGATCTCTTTTAAATTCAATAAATTAAGGATTCAGAAACTTCAAAGTTTTCCTTCCTGACCGATCGCATAGTGAGCGAGTAGGATTACACAGGCTCAGCGCTGGCCGCTGATGATATTCGCAACAAAACGCTTCGTAGCAACCTTCTCTAGTGACCAAGCTCTTGTTCTGCATTTATCACGATCGTTGCACTTGTAACTTTGAACAGTTGGCTCGGATCCAAGTGACCGACATCATCAGGCGCGTATCGTAACCTACATGTACATGTAATATTTCTTTCCCATTTTTGGAAACCTCGTGCTAGACCAATAAAACCGTTGCCAACAACGGCAATAGAATTTCAAATGAACCAAGAGATCTGGTTTTTATGATTTTTAATCTCACATATATACGAAAAATTTTATACACCGCGAACCGAGAGAGTATGTTTCCACACTATATTGCGGTGAAAGTACTTTCTGAGTTTTTTACTCACTGAACGTACAATGTGTGTATTTTTTTTATTTCAGTCACCACAGAAAAACTTGATTCATTTGGTTAAAATATTTTATTTACCTCTCTCGGGCGGGTAATTTATATTTTTCACACAAACGTTTCATATTTTATCCAGCGCAAAAATGCGTGTTGGTTTTTATTTTCATTAAAGAAAAATTAAACGATATACAGCGACATATATCGTTATTATAATATTCAGCTTTTCCGTTCAGCTTGAGTGTGCGTGATAGCGACGTACGAACAATCCGTTGGCCGTTTTCCAATATATACCGGCGGTCTGCTCAATGTCGCGCGATGCACTTTGTCATATACACATGTGGGGAATCTAGCTAGTGCAATAGGCCATTGGCGAACACGGTAGTCTTTGATGCCCAACAACTTTGTCCCGATGTATTTATAACCGTCAGAAAAATCTGCGTTTTTCACGCCGATAAGCGTTATTCAAATTGTATTTGCGCGAGAACATATCAAATGTCTCGAACACATTGAATAGACTTCTTCAATTTTGTATTTTATTCTCTTGAGAGAATTTTTTCAAGTTTTTCCGGAATAGCTTTATTAAACACGGGAAAACGCAATTGAATTTTGACACACCGTTTTTTTCGAGTTTTCACGAGTTTGTTCTTTGCGCGCGCATAGTTTCTCTTTAAAAAACAACTAAAACAATAAAGAGAAAGGAAATTTTTTTCGTTTTTATTTCTTTGCGCAATTGGATACTTAAAAGCATCTCTGTGTTTAGTTTCACTAGAAGGAAACGAACTTAGTCAATTAATGGAAATCGAATCAATAGGTTCGGGGCCGAGAGGGCAGAAATTAAATTCCATCGTGTATCCATTTCAATCGATGTGTTGATTTGCCTTGGAAATATTGACCGGAATAGAATGAGAGGCTCCGATAGAGAATGATCTTATCATTTCGTCGTGATGAAATTAGTAAATCTTTGGATTGAGAGAAGCGAGAGAAGCAATAAATCTATGCAGTGCGAGTGATCGAGTCGTTTAACATAATAAAAATGTTTGTCACACAATGAGATAATTGGTTCAGCGCAAAATGTCACAATGTAGAAAAAAATCTGATTCACCGGTCGGTAGTTTTTTTTTTTGGAATTCACTTTTGATATGTCAATCAAATGATTATGTAAACTATCGTAGTCACGAGTATATTTTTGTCGTAATAGCTTTTTCTTACCGCAACGACGAATTATCGCTTACACGCGATTCTTGGAGCTTCTCGGAATTTCTAATCAATCAAAATTTCTAATCTTGTACGTGCCGTTCGATTAGTTCCGGGATTTTCTCATTTGCGAAATTCAGTCGCGACACGACGTTTCATAAGATAGATCAGACGCGCAAATACCATGATTTCTATCGCGCGATTTGCGCAAAGTACACGAACGTGCTTTATCAGGTATTTCTGTATGGATAAAGTCTGAGGTGTATCGGTTAAATTATACGTATTTCGTTCAGGCGCATATATTTTTAATTATATTCGAATATAAATATGTACGTGTTCAATATCGGAGAGTGATTCCGATCGGGATCATCGCCACGTAGCGGGAATACCGTCGATCAGGAAATAAAGAAAATATCCTGCGGGAACGAGGATAACCTAGTTTGGTTCATTCTCTGTTCTTTATTGGCAGAAGGGATAAAACACGAATTTTCCGTTTCGCTCTTCTTACGTATCTGCAGATACGACAATCTCCGTGCTGAAAATACATCCGGGTGTGTGTGTGTGTGTGTGTGTACATTCGTA